TGCAAGTGGTTACTCCCACCCGAAACACTGTTAACACTATTTGGATCAAAATTATCACTTAAGTTGAACAAAGATCAACAACTTGAGTACGTATGTATGCAGGCTCAAATTGGGAGACGAGGTCCAAACCGGAAAATACTGGCGTGGCACGGCATTTGACATTTAATTGAAATTTCTGTTACGTAAAGTTGGGCTCAGGACGGATTTAAACCTGGTGTTTATCTGAACACGTCAAAGGGAGAATTTTCAATTACGTAATACGCTGCATGGATTTATCTGACGGTGGAGGAAATTGGGACAGAAGTAGCAACCATCACCTGTAAAAGTTCTTTTCACTACGCAAATACATGCATGCATGTACGAACAGTGGCCGCGGAAGCTGTGGGGTCACCTGGGGACATTAATGGATACTGTAGGATAGGGGAGGGAGATTTTTACACTCAAAATAAGGTAGTAATGAATCATTACCATGTGGAATGACTATGTGGCTCTACCACGTCGGTTACGATTTGTCGTAGAAATGGTAATAATAAGTTCAGGGAAATTCAAATTCATTACCAAATATTAAGGAGGTGAATACCATTATGTATTAAATTTGAATTGCCCTGAACTTATTATTATCATTTCTACGACAAATCGTAACCGACGTGGTAGAGCCACATAGTCATTCCGCATGGTAATGATTCATTAATACCTTATTTTGAGTGTATTTAACATGTACATATGATGGGGACATCGAATAACCGTGGGGACATTGCCCCTCTGTCCCCACACGTGCTTCCGCGGCCACTGCGTACCAGCAGACAGATTGGGAAGGAAAGTTTGTGACAAATCCCGACCAAATTATATTTATACGGATGCATATTGGCATAAAAATAACCCTTTTGCCGCACTAAACTTTTTCCATCATTGTCTAAAAACGGTTTGCAGACTAATAATCATGCTCTTTGTGTGGAATAATGATAGTTATTTGTGTAAGCTGTCTGCAAGATTATGATTATTATATCAATCAATTTATGTAAATTGTCTGGAAAAATATTGCTTTGAAATATCTAACGTTAAATTATATACCATTTTTTGTGGATGATTTTTGCTAGTTATAAATTATGTGCTACTAAATTATAGAGGACTGTTGACACTCAATTTTGCACGTACGCACGCTTTGAGGAAGGAGAGCAACCTGTATATAATAAAATAGTAAAAACGCAGCTAATGCACTCTTAGAAAACTGGTATTACATCATTACTGACTGGAGTACATATATGTCTCTACCGGACGGTAATAAAGGGAATTACCATTTATTTAGTAGTGTCGTGGTACTGAAGAATTTACCACGCAGAATACTGATCAGAGTACATATATACTCTACCGGTAATAACGGGCATTACCGTTCAGTACAGATGATATGGTACTGAATAATCTACTACCCAGCAATAAACTATTACCAATCCGGTAGGAAGTTATTACCAAATCAATACCAGCACGCAATGTATATCTGACTCTACCAGATTTTTAATCGTATAATGAAATTAAGCAAAGCCAGCATTCTGCACGAACGGGGCTTCTCACTCCTTGTACGCATGTTATTCCAAAATTTCTACAATTTCTACTAAAATTTCATTGCCAAATTTTCGAAAATGCATATTTCACATTTTTTCACAAATTCTTGAAAATGAATGCACCCCACAAAATAAAGTCGGAACTTTTTCCACCACTAAATTAGTACTCCTTATGTGTACCCGTATTAATCTGAAATTTCTATGTAACATTCTGTCCACAGGCAGGCTGCCTCACACTTTAATTATTGAGGATGAGGAGAAAGTGCTCATTTCATCGGGAAAAGGTTACTTTCCATCCAACCTAAAAATATCTTTGGGATGGAAGCACGACTAAAAAGATGGATGGATTTGGGACTTCTAATCCTCTCCTTCTGCCCCCAATTTTTTTATTGCCCAACTCTTCGAACTTTGGACTTTCCTGCAAAAGCACAACCTTATGCCTGGTAAGGAAAAGAATGGCTCGTGGTGCTGCTGGTGCCTGTAGTAATTCAATACTTTTATTGAAATAAGGATTCATTTCACAAAAAGGGGACAATCTAAGAGAATTATCCGTCGCAAATCCTTTTACTCGGAGCTAACAGTCGGACTAATTTCATTTATTTAGTGTCCCATTAGTCTTCTAGGGACGTGCTGGTTGCTTAAATTCCATATGCATACAATGTATAGCTGATAAACTACGTAGGTACGTACGTAATATATCCGGGTAGAAATTACTGTGTCGAATTATGCAGGAATTGACAAAAGCATGTTGTAAATATTCTGCATAATTGTGTTTTGCATAATCCTGCAGAAACTTTCTATTGGCTTTCTTCTACAGAACTGTATGTGCATAATTCTGCATACTCGAGTAGAAATTACTCTGTCGAATTATGCAGGAATCGACAAAAGCATATTGTAAATATGCTGCATAATTATTTTCTGCATAATTATGCAGAAAATTTCCATTGGCTTTCTTCTGCAGAACTGTATTTGCATAATTCTGCCTAACCGAGTAGAAACCACTCTGTCGAATTCTGGAGTAATCTGCAAAACCATATTGCATTCTGCATAATTTGCAATTCTGCATAAAATTTACTATTCGTTTTATTCTGAACTGTACGTGCATAATTCTGCGAGCATAGCCCTCTGCACAAATTACCTTGCATAAAGTTTTTCTGCAGAAAATCTGGCCAAATTTCTGCAAGAAATTCCCCCGTCCAAATTTTTACTCGGGATGTATATCCTAGCTGAACAAAGACGTGCTGTGAACCGTGTTTATTTTCTAAAGTCGTGAGATCTGGTTATATCCAAGAATTCTCTAGTGACGCGGTGTTGCTGATGGTCTTGTGGATATTGCCGAAATAAGAGAAATGTTCCCTTCAAACATGTCAGAGATCAGGAAATTGCGCCATTAAGAATCGGTTGGGTGTAATTGAAAACAAATAGTCAGCCCATTTTCCAAGATGTCCGGGACACAAAGAGAACAAGAACAGAACAACCACTGTAAAAACAGCTTGAACAATTGAGTAGTAGGTACTTTGTGGGTTCAATCCTTCTGTATGCACACTTCGCATTCAGTTTTACACGTCGATTAGATATGCACAATGGCCGCGGAAGGGTGTGGACAGAGGGGCAATGTCCCCACGGTTATTCGGTGTCCGCATCATCTCCCCATCTTATATAAACCCCTCCCTCCCCTATCCTACAATCTTAATGCCTCCACATGTCCCCACGGCTTCCGCGGCCACTGGTACAATTTCGAGTTAGGCAACATTACCGTTATGACTGGAACAACTTTATCACGGCGACCGCACACACGAAATTGACACTTGCAATTAATTCTCAAAATAATCTACATACCGATATTTACAAAGGTCACCACACGTCAAACACCGCAAAGTGCAGACAAAATTTGAGTCGTTCAAAGTGTAAACTAATTCTTGGATAAAACACCCGAAAAGCAATGCATTTCGTGCTCTTTCAGCCATCCGTGGGATTAATATGGAAGGAAACAGATATCAATTTTATGTATGTCGAGGCACATAGTTCTAACTCGTGTTGATTTAAACGACGGCAGTGATTATGTGCTTTTCTTAGATTATTACTGTCATAAATGACTACATAATTACTTACTACGCATGCCATAAGTCTGTCGTAATGTGGAGCATGTGAAAAGTTGCTTCATCAAAAGTTACGATTTTGTACCAAGTTCTGCTTGTCCGATTTCTTGAAAAGTTTTAAATTTCTTTACTTAAACTTGTTTTCATTTCCTTTGACACTTTCTTTGACTGCTGCTCGGAATAGTACGGACGTACGTATTGTGAGGAAAGAAAGTTTTTAAGAAATGGAAAAGCGGAAAAGTGTCAGGTTTTCCGTTCGTAATGTTTGCATTAAACGTGCGACACACACAACTTATTACGCCTACTATGTCGACATGCATAATGGGATGAATAATTCAGTCTGATTGCATTTAGGAGAGTAGGATGAACAGTTTTTTGAAGCTTATGCAAATTTAATGAAACAATAAATGATACCATGTTATATATGATTCCAGTGGCCGCGGAAGTGTGGGACAGAGGGACAATAATGTACGGTCATTTGATGTCCTCACCATCTTTCCATCTTACATATAGGTAAACCCCTCGCTCCCCCATCCTACAATGGCAATGTCCCCACGGCTTCCGCGGCAATTGTAATGATTCCCAGTATTTTTTAAACGTATTTACTTTGATCTAACGTTCTCGTGTGTAGGCTTAGGATTAGTTTATGTACATATGTGTGCACTCTAAGAAATTTTATCCCCGGATTATCACCGAGTGCAGTATGTGTGACTTCACCAGATGGTGATAACATGTTACCGATCGGTTGTTGCAGTGTCACCACGTGGAAAGATTCCAGTCTATCTGAAAGTCTATCACCAGCTGAAGCATATACATATGTAAATTTTGTATCACCGAAATGGTAACAACCTCGATCACCAGTTGACACCGCTTTGCTAAGAGTGCAAGTCTAGGAAGTGGGTCTTAACATTTTAACCTTTTCAATAACATTTCAGCGTAAGAACCAACTTATGTAAAGCATCAACATAACATCCTTCCTTCCTTCACTCGTTCTAGGAAATCTTGTGCTTGTTTGCATTGAAAAGTAAAGCTTTTGTTTACGAGTGCGTGGCCATTCTTAATCCTGAGCTTTCACTTTTCCACTTTTAAATCCTAATCCAAGGTTGAAGCATGTTTTGGAAATCTGCCTTGAGTGCTTGCTTGCCAGTCTTATGCAGTGGCCGCGGAAGCTTGAGGGGACAGAGGGACAATGTCCCCACGCTTAGATATTCGATGTCCCCATCTTATACAAACCCGTCCCTCCCCCATCCCACAATGGCAATGTCCCCAGATGTCTTCACGGCTTCCGCGGCCACTGGTTTTATGCATGTACACAAGACTTCAAACAAAAACAAAAGCCTACCTGTTGCGGGTACGTGTAGAGTGGGGGACAAGATTTTGTTGACGATCGACTCCCACGACTGTCCCACTTCTTGACTTTTTCTGCCCCGTGTCCGTGTCCATAATCCGAGGTGCTGCCAGTACTGCTGCCGATTGACGATTTAGACCAGGAAGACCTTGAGCTTTGTCGAGAATCGCGTGTGCCATAGGGACATTTGCCAAATCCACTTTCCGATGCGGCAATACATGCACGACTCGGTTTCACACCGCCAGGTCCGACCAGTGGAGTTGAGTACTTTGAGGGCCGTGGGGATTCAAACCTTATCAGAGGGGACGTATCAGTTATTATCAAGTTATTACTACTGTAATGGTAGAAATGACTGTGACAAATTCTGCAGAAAGTGGCAAATTTTGAATTTTTTGTTTCATAGTCTTGAAGAAAATGTATATGGGTTTTATTCTGCAGAAGTATGTACGTAATTCTGCACAGTTATGCATATTTTTTTGCACAAATCGCTCTGCGTACAGTTACTACAGTTGTTCTGCAGAATATAAGGTCAAATTTCTGCAGAAAATCGGCCCAACTTTCTGCAGAAAACCGTACCAAATTTCTAATCAGCCCCAATTTCTGCAGAAAATCGGCCCAAATTTCTTATCAGGCACAAATTTCTGCAGAAAATCGGCCCAAATTTCTGCAGAAAATCGTACCAAATATTTGCAAAAATCGCACCAAATTTCTAATCGGGCTCAATTTCTACAAAATATTATATGAGCACATGCACATTAAACCACGGCAAAACTTCATGTACGCAAACGACCTACCTATCCAAATCGCCCCAATCCTTGTTCTTCCTTTTGTAATAGTAATGGTAGAGGATGATGGTTAACGCGACAACGAGGGCGAGGCCGGTCCCTGAAGGCAGTCGGACAAATTACTTTCTCTCTCTTCATTCTTTTAGTGGATTACACAAATGCCTACGTACCTGCAGCAGCTCCAAGGACGGCGGATGCCACCATCTTGGTGAAGAAGAAGGGTCACTCGAGAGAGTTATCTAAATCAGGGTAAAGATAGATAGGTTCTCATATTTATCTATTTCCGTCCAGCATCAAGGTTGCGTAGCATTTGTACATATGTATGCAGCTCCTTAAGGGTTAATTGCATGCGGGTTTTGAATTTAAATTTTTCTGTCTCAACTTTCCCTTCTTCAATGTATTCAAATAACAATTTTGAAACCATCTCTGCACGTTTTTAAAAACATATTTTATTGCGTCTAAATAAAAATCGATAATTTTTAGATTTGTAAAGTTAAAGGGTTAGAATTTATGTCTTTCCATCTATCTTTTTGTTTACCCAAAACGCGCATACAATGCTACCTTAACCAGAAAATCAACAGAAAACCCAGTGCATCACATGAATGAATGAAAAGAGCAAAAGATTTCCACCATTCCGTTCGCCCTTCCCTGATCGTATCTAATATTAGTTTTGCCTCTGCGTCATCTCGTTACGTAAGGAACGACGCTAATCAGAGGTACAAGAGGTTACGAAACAGTAATTTTCTTCCTCCTCCCCACACAATTCCAACTTTTGTTCGAAAAATCTTAAATTTTTAATTGCATTTTCATATTCATGAAACTACTTCGGAAACTCCTTTGGGTATAGTTTCCGTAGTACAGATAAGCATTTATAAATCATATTCTTCACTCTTAAAATTAGCCAATTACACAAAACCATTTATTACTTTGTAAGGAGAAAAATGCATAAAAAGAGGAAATTAAATCTCATCATTGTATTACAACGAGGTTACATATTCAATGAGTCATTTAAGCATGTTTACGTACAAGCAATGTACACATACATATTTACAGAATCAATCTTATACTTAACGTGATAATCACTGATTGTGACAAAATTCCTCTTCTCAACAATGGAAGGAAACCAGTTTTGGGTGGAGGTGGAGGTGGAAGGCCAATTGCCATAATCTCCTCAACAAAGAGCATCTTGTCTTAACCATATCTGCATCTGCACAATTTTCATACGTATATCTACTTTGTTTATAATATCTAATAGTGATTCATATCTCGCAATGATAGACCCACATTTGTGTACAATTTCCTTCTTAAGGAAACTGGTTATTTCGCAAGTCAAGATTCTTATGAAATTTGTTTCGTCTATGTATCTTTTTTCATTCGCTGGAAGTGATCGAGTCGACACAATTCTGAGTAATCGAGACTTTTTCATCAAGCCATTAGAATCGGAGTTGATGAACTGTCTGGATTCTTCGATTTCAAGAATTGGACTCAATTTTAGCGTGTCTTGTATAACAAAGAAATTAATTAATTGGTTTGTATAAGTGCCTGACAATGCCGGGAATAGACTCGAAAAACGTGCCACGCTATCTGCAAAACACGGAACAAGTTGTGGACCCAGAAGTGGCAAAGTTTTCAGGTAGGTGCATATACGATTTTTCAATTATTTTCGATAAGTAAAAGTACTTTTAATTCGTTTGGAGCAGCAAATTGTTTAATTATCACGAAGTACTTAGAGAAATTTAGTTGGTCGTATTAAGTATTCACTTGTTATTTGTTTCCTCCAGGAACTATTCCCCATTGGCTGAAAGGAAGTCTGTACGCTTCCAGTCCTGGCGTATTCGACTTGGAGAACGGTTCAGTAAACAATTGGTTTGATGGTTACGCTATTATCTCGAAATTCGAGTTTGACGGACGTAAAGTATCCTTCAAATCAAAATACCTCCAGTCCAACGCCCACGCGAAGGCGGTGGAGGCGAAAAGGCCAGTCATGCAGGAATTTGGAACACCTCCTTGGTCAAATAGTCGCAAACTATTTGCTAAACTTATCCCATTTGTGAGTCCTATCTACATATCTCTCTTGTTCAAGTGTGTATGTAAAGTGTTCAGGGGTGGGCAAAATAATTTCTCGAAATACAATACTTTGATGAGCTCGATTCTTTCAAGGGTTTGGATTTCCTAGATGTTACACCACCAAAAAGACGAGAATCTACGTGGAGAAGGCAAAAGTCATATGAAAGTACAGGTTTTGTGAAGAAATTAACTTTTTTATCTCTGTCAAAATAAATTTTTTTCACGATTAAAAAATATGAGATATTTTGACAGCCATGAAAAATTAATTTCTTCACAAAACCTCTATTCTAGTAAAATTGTTATACAGGTTTTGTGAATAAATAAAATAGCTTTTCATCACTGTCAAAATACTGTATTTCTTAAAAAAATCGTAAAAACAGTGTATTTTAACAGCGATAAAAAGTTACTTTCTTGGCAAAACCAGCATTTTCATATAACTTTCGTATTCTCCACGTGGATTCTCATTTTTTTGTGTGGGTGTAACACCCCCCTAGAAATCCAAACCCTGTTTAGAACATCGCTCAAAATCCTCTATTTCCACCCACTATTTTCCCCACCTCTGAATTCTTCTTCCCCCATAACACCTCCCATTTCCAGGGCCCCTACGACTGTACTGACAACGTAGTCGGCACAATATTCAAATTGGGGTCAAACCTCTACACTGCCGGAGACACGTGCTACTACCACGAAATTGACCCCACCACTCTCTCCACTCTGAGAACCCACCACACCATGAAAACCTTCGGGATGAACTCCATCAGCTCCCAACCTCTCGAGGACGCCGCCGGGAACGTGTACCTCGTCGGAGGTGCCATCCAACCCACGTTTCGCTACAGCGTGTTAAAAATGCCTGCCAGCGCTGGGAAGGACAAACCGCTGGAGAAAAGATTTTCCACAATTGCGTCCTTCCCGTCTCGCTGGATGTTCGGGGCTTGTCCATGCAGGAACTTTGGGATGACGGAGAATTACATTATCATGATTGAAATGCCGCTGGTGCTCAACTTAATGAAATTAGCGGCTACCTATGTCAAAGGGTACTGTTCCACGGATTGGCTCGACTGGAGACCAGAGGATGGCGTCCGTTTCTACCTCATTCATAAGGGGAGTGGAAACGTGGTCAAAACGGAAGTATTTTCGAAGTTGCCTTTCTTCACGCCGAGTGTAATTAATGCGTTTGAGGAGGGGAACGAGGTAATAAAAAAGATGGGATGATTTATAATGATAAGGTTTAATTTATCGTGTGCTCTTATCAGTCTTTTATGCCTTGAAATCTGCGGGTTTGCGATATTTCTTACATTGTAAAGCAACCAAGGCATGAAATGCGAGGTGCAAGAAACTGGGAGAAAGTGCAAGAAATAAACGCCATCTAGCCACGCGCCGTATGAAGTATTTACAGCGTCGGGGTGTCGTTTCTTGCACCTTGTATTTCTCCCAGGTCAAAATATTCACCTGCAAGAAACCACTTTCTCCCCGTTATTTCTTGCAAGTCGGTACTTCCACCCGAAACACTGGCTCTTACATAACTTTAATATAATAATAAAACTCATTATCTTTAATATCACTCATTATTCTTAACTCTAGATCGTCTTGGATGTCATCAGCATGCCAAATCTCGACTGTAACAACGCTACTTCACTCCACAATCTCCGTAACCGTTCAGATAGTCAAATCCCCCCTGAAAACCGACCCTTAGACGCCGGATCAATCCACCGCTACATAATTCCTCTCCTAACCCGCCCCCTCACACAATATCCTGAAGGCGAGTCCTTATTAAAATCATCTCCCTTCTCATCCTACAAAACTGTCCAAGCCACCAGAACCGGAGAAAGGTTAATTATAACGCCAGAAATCTTGTCGGATCCCGGATTAGGCATGGATTTGCAGGTAATTAACCCCAATTACCGGGGAAAACGGTACACCTTCGTTTACACGACGGCTGGCTACATGAGCACGACTTTCTCCCCGTTTGCGAATGGGATTGCGAAACTGAATCTGGAGACGAAGGTGGTCACACAGTGGAAAGTGAGGCCTGGTTGTGTGCCCTCGGAGCCTGTTTTCGTCCCTGCCCCTGAAACGAACGAGTCCACCGAGGATGACGGAATCCTCTTGACGATCGTTAAGATGGAGCGGGCCTATGAGGAGGATGATTTCTTGGTTGTGGTGGATGCCAAAAGCATGACGGAGTTGGGGAGAGCGCACTTAAATTCGCAAGTGGCTGGCTGGTACCATGCAACCTTTTTTCAAGGATAAGCAGCTTGATGCGACAAGAGATGTGGAGGAGGAGGAATAAAATAAATCGTGGGAAAAGAAATGTAACAATAGAGTGAAACCAAGTGGATTACGTTGTTTTCCATTAACTAACGTCTAAAATGTTCGAAATTAAAGATTTCGACACGGTCATGGGGTCGTTGTGCGTCAAAATGATACCAATTTCTGAAATCCCCACTCCAAATTAAGTCTAAAACAAAAAAAAATCGACATTTTTTCCGTGACCTTGTGACCTACACCCACCCATCGATTTAAAACCGTCATGGGGTCATTGTACGTCGAAATGATGGAGATTTCTGAAATCCCTGCAAAAACCTACGTCAAAACATCGACAATTTGACCTCACCACCGTGGCGCTGTGACCTTACGACCTGACCCTCAAGACCCATCTTTTGAACATGTCTGTACTTCAAAAATTAGGAACACGTTTAGTGAAAATTACATGTCGAAATTCGTATCAGTTCTAAAATTATCGTGAATACAGACAGACAAACGGACAAACAGACAGACAAGGCCATCCATGCGATTTTTCATCCAACACTTCAGGAGGAATACGCTTCGCTCCTTTAGCCAAAGTTAATATCCAACACAAAGAATGAGACAGGGCAAGAATACAAATGAAATAAATTTTTTTCGCCGTGTGAATGAAGCTACAAAGTTTTTGTGGAAACTCATTTTCATCCTGGACACGTCTCCTTGCAGTAGAACTGCAATAATTTTTAACTCTGTTTCAGTTGTGCAACTTACAACTAAACTAAAACATGGCAGAAATAGAATGGGAAATTTATTGGGAAAATTTCCAATTGTATTAAATTCGGGGTTTCGATGACCACAATTGTGATCATTCGGGAAGCCAAAAAATAATTAAAATCTGACAAGTTCTAAATCTGGAAACTTTTATTATATGAGTTGCTTAGATTCGGGACGATTTTAGAAATGCTCAATTCGGGAGAACGGCAAAACACGTTAGGAGAAAATTAGCTGCGGGACAACGTCAATAAATATGATATTTAAAATGATGACTATTAAAATTTAAGTGTGTAGAGTAATGCACAATAGTGAGAGAATAGGAATAATGGTTTTTCCGTAATAACTTCTTTCATAGTTAACATAGCTAAGAGATTAATGCATGAATAGAAAGATGAGAAGTTGCCACATTTCGATACTGTATCATTATCATTCCGAACGATAATTCAAAAGACCGATTTTCCATGTAAAGTCTGATACAGTTTGTGTCGAGCAGGGAATTTTGAGTAGGCAAAGATTCTCACAATCAATCTGGGCTTCTGTACGACCAATGTGCAGAAGACAGGGCTATCTCGCCTACACTACACTCCATACACGGTGTTTACCATACCGCAGGTAACATCTCACGGTAACCGGAACCGCTTACACTAAGTGACATATCTTCGTGTCAGATAGAGGACTGATCTCTACTGATTGCGGGTTACCATGCCCTGTACACATTATTGATACTGCTATAGCGTGATTATTATTTCCATTAGTAATTCGTACCGAAATTCCTATAGCTTGTTCTTATCCAAATTCTTCTTCATACTTAATTAGATTATCTCTGAAACCGATTATTGTGCTGAGCTCTACGGAATCTCTCCTGTTAGCTTTAAACCATAAATCGTTTCATTTGTTTGATTGGCACTTATTCTAAATCATATCTCTTTCCTATATCACTCTCGCATGTAGCTCCAATCTAGGATCACGAACCTATTCCAATGGTAATGCATGTATTTTATACGGAGTATTTGCAATAGGTGCATAATCGAGTACACTTAGCATATACCACTATATATACATATATCCATCACGTAATAATGTATTATTCTATACGTATTTACACGCATAATCCATTACAAGTGTAACATTGTAAAGCAAAGTTGCATGATAATTACTTAGAGTTATGAACTATGACTATGGTGCAAAATTATGACTATGCAAAACTACTCAAGACATTTGTAAAATAGAAATAGAGCTATTGGTCCAAAACAACATATGTTTGTGAAGGTTTTTTTTAACTTTGATCAAGAGTTCTGACTAACTTTATGCATACATTTCGTATATTTTAACTTTTAAATGCAGCCAAGACCTCAATCTAGACGAGGAGATCAATTAGATAATTTATGAGTTTGATAGAAGGTGTATATAACCCTTTATTTATTGGCGATGCTGGTTTTACCTCATGTTTAGTATCTTAAATAATCCCCTGTACCTTTTTTTATGTACCTTTATAAATTATCTGAGATAATTGGTGTACTAACCAAAATATTTGTCAAGCTTCTGGAAAAATCCCAAACTAATTTAAGTAGTTTTTCATCAACGTTGAAATTTAGCAAAAATGAACATGTCCTGGCAAAACCAAGATTACACGAGACGGGTGTGGTTTGGCCTCAATAACTTTCCGTTATAAATTTCTTGAATAGTTTTAGCAGTTAGTAAACCAGAGTCAAAAATTTTACATGCAACCCATCCTATGCAAAGCAGGGGCGAAGTTATATGAAAATGACCTAGTGTTACCACGGACGATTCTGATCCAAGGCCCTAATAATTTTAGTTTTTAGTGCCAACGTGTTTCGCCGTTTCCCGAATCAGCTAAATAATTTTTACCACGGAAATATCCGTTGTCCCGCACCTGACATGGAAACGTGAAAACGTGAAAAGCCGTTGACCCCGAAGGCAGTGACTTTTTTTTTGTGAACGGCTTTTCACGGTCTCCCGAATTAAAGCAAAAACTCTAAAACGTTTTTAAACTGTCTCCCATGGCTAAGGGTTAAACTATTATGTAGCATTAAAAAACATGATGTATGTACATTGACCGCGGAAGGGTGGGGACAGAGGGACAATGTCCCCACGGTTATTCGATGTCCTCATCATCTGCCCATCTTATACAAACCTGTCCCTCCCCTATCCTACAATGTTAATGTCCCCCAAATGTCCCCACAGCTTCCGCGGCCACTGTATATATATATCAGTAAGTTGTGTGTCATGAATTCTAAAAATATGCATATTTACATAACTTATTCTTCATCCCATATTATTCTCTCCACATAGAAAATTAGAGTTTCTTTGATGTTTGGAATATCGATCCACCTTTTTGACAAGAATATGATTTCCATAAGATGGAATGTGAGGCTTCATGAAGGGCCATATTTATGCACATACGTGGCCGCTGAAGCTGTGGGGACATCCGGGGACATTAACATTGTGGGACAGGGGAGGGAGGGGTTGATATAAGATGGGGAGATGATGGGGACATCGAATAACCCTGGGGACATTATCCCTCTGTCCACCCCCTTCCGCGGCCACTGGTTACATGCATATGTACAGAGATTTGTCAAAGAATCTGTTACCTCTTTGACCTCGAACTTTAAAAACATCAGTCATAATTACCAACTGAATAATATGATATACTTTGATTAAATATGTTTTGTTAAACCAAAATTCATCTATTTTTGCATCAATCACTGCCACCAAATGTGAACGCCTATCCATTTTCGGTGAGATAAAGTTACAAAAGTTATCAAAGAATATGTGGACCTATGTACAGACGGACGAACAAAGTCATTCTTCTCCATACTGACTCCAGACCAGACTGAGGTATAATTATCTTTTGCCACCCACCCAGTGACCACGGAAGAGGTGGGGACATGTGGGAACATTGCCATTGTAGGATAGGGGAGAGAGGGCTTTTTATAAGATGGGGAGATGATACGGAAATCTAATAACCGTTGTCCGTCTGTCCCCACGCTTCCACGGCCACTGCACTCATCACACCATTTAACCACAAATGCATGCGACACTGAAATACAATATGCACTCTGGAACCGCAACCAGCAGTAACTAAACACCTCATCATTTGCACGTATGCACGGTTCTTGGTGCAAATATGCAGACAGACAGTTAGCGGGAGCAGATACCGCGGAAGCAGGAGGGACATGTGGGGATATTAGCATTGTATGTTGGATAGAGGAGGGAGAGGTTTTCATAACATGGAAAGATGATGGGGACATTGTCCCTCTGTCCACACCTTTCCGCGGCCACTGACAATGAGTGGAGACCGAACTTTAGGTAACGACAGAGGAATCAAATGATATAAGGATTTTGTAGATAATTTTCATTTGCCTACTTTCTCCTTGTTTTTCAAAACCCTCGAAAAAATTATTGTGTTTGCAGAACTTTCCACTTTTCTAAAAAGAATTCTCAGTCTAACCACGTGCAGTTTCGTTTTATGACGTAAAACACGGCTTCTTTTCTTATCACAGCTGAATTATGAATGAGAAAGTTGATGGAACAAGTTTCGTCCCATCGTGAAAAGGAGAAAATTACTAATCATAAATAGCATCATCATCATTGAGGATTACGAAATTCCAAGTGGCTCTTGAGTGGTTAGAATAGGACGACGTGGGCAGATTTCGAAGCGAATTTATTTCCAGAAATGCCAACCTGAGGTGAACCGCCGTTCTTGTAATTATAACACATCAATTTTTACACCGTGATCGTGTGGCTTCATTAATGATTTTCTGCTTCGTCCAGTTTGGGAACTTGTCCCCAGAATTGGTTGACATTTGGTGCCTAGTTATCCTTAAATAGATTGATAAAGTGTTGAATAATCTTAACTTGGAATAATCGTATAATGGGACTTGTCCTGTTATATTTTAAGCATAGGCATATCAATTTCTAGTGGAACAAGGCCAAATATGCACAATAATTTTCCGTGCTCTTATCCTCAGTTACATCGTAAATAGTTAATAATTGCATTGATCAACCGTCATTTTATATCCAAAGCAGTGGGTAGTAAAACCCAACAAACCCATACCTGCTTTTTTACTCTCTTAGGATTAGAAACTGGTATTAAATCATTACTGACCGGAGTACATATATGAATGACTCAGATAACAAGCATTAACGTTGTGGTAATGAATCTTGGGAATAATGGTAATGAATAATGAATTTTTTTTGCTACGTACCATATTTATGTAACCCTGAATCCAATCCATCGTAGATTAATGTCTGACTCTAAATAATTAGCATATTTGGTTCATAACCCATTTAAAACTAAATATAATACATAATGAACATTTCTTACTGTAATTAAAACGGTGAATAAATTGCATACTTTAGTTGTTAATAAACATACAAATCACATACATACTTTCCACTTATTCACAAATATAAACTATTTTCCCAACACATGTCTGCTAAAGACGTCAGAATATTTGGTATTGAATTGAAACTGTAATTATTCCAACCCAAATGCCAAAGGGAATGTGGAGGCGTTCTTATCAGTTTCTATCCATTTGCCATTTCGTGCATATTTACCATCGAGGGAAAGCCCGACGAGGAGAAAGCGTACGTGTGTATGTATGAATCGGGCCTAATCAAAACTGATAGGGAGGAACGCACACTGCAATTATAGACACTTCTGCCCACATTTATGTATGTGTGTAGCCCCTGGCCGCGGAAGCCGTGGGGACATGTGGGGACATTAACATTGTAGGATGGGGGAGAGAAGGGTTTATATAAGATGGGAAAATGATGCGGACATCGAATAACCGTGGGGACAGGGCCCCTCTGTCCCCACTGTTCCACGGCCACTGTATGTATCGAAGAAAACGTCTAATATTTAATGCAAAACATTCATAATCAACTCACTATTCATTGATTTAAATAGCTTATTAAAGTATTTTCCAACTCGTATGAAAACCTCATTAATCTTTGATACCGTCCAAGTGTGTACTTATTTTGACTTGTGGTACAAAGATATTTTGGAAATTATTATAAAATTCACGACAACAAAATACATAACCGAAACCCTTCCACGACCAGACAGACGTTCACGTCAATATGTAATTCACCATCGTTTCGTCTCGCTAAATATAGTATCCGTCCATTTTCACCTGATTCGTGTAATGGGTAGATAGATAAGTGCATATTTTTACCCCTAAAATATGTAACATCACGACTCGGTAAACACTTATCATGACCCCAGCGCGCGTGTCCGGACGGTGAAAGTACACAGTCCATTCACGGAATGAGGACACGGACGGCGTCATATCTTTCCAGGTCGACCCGTTTCCTTCCGTATTTCCTTTCTTCCAGTCAGTTTTTCTCTCCTGATGGATTTTCCTTTACGTCCATTAATTTCACAGCAACCAGTGGCCGCAGAAGGTGTGGGGACATTAACATTGTAGGATAGGGGAGGGAGGGGTTTGTATAAGATGGGGAAATGATGCGGACATCGAATAACCGTGGGGGATATTGTCCCTCTGTCGCCAAGCTTCCGCGGCCACTGTTCTTTTAGCTTTAACATCACTACAGAACATGTAAATACAATGGCCGCGGATTCCGTAGGGACACGTGGGGACATTAAGATTGCAGAATAGGAAAGGGAGTAGTTTATATAGCATGGACAGATGATGCGGACCTCGAATAACCGTGGGGACATTGGCTCTCAGTCCGCGGCCACTGCGAGCAACAGGTTGCCTTTCCCCAAAAAAGTATATTATTACGACTGAAACGTTATTTATGAGTCCTGTCTGGCTGTCTCCAATCGCATTAACCAATTTCACATCTTGTTTACTCTTCACCCCAACCCGACCAAGCTCCCTTCTCAACAATTCAACAAAAGAAAAAGTGGAAAACAACCAACCAACCAGGAAACTGGAACCTAACCAGGATCGGATTCACATAATGTATGGATGGAAGTAATGAAATGAAATACTAGTCCCAACACGTCCTCCTGTTCCGGACAGATGTCCCGGATTATGTGGATCATTCAGAGGAAAAGAAGGCGACTAAAGAACAAAAATCAAAGAGGACAACAACTTGTTTTCCTTTTTCCCCTTCACCACAGAATTTTCAGTTTGACAGCAACTTCAATCAACTCGGGGAGAAAGTACGAAAGAGAAAGCAGCCCGAGACTTTCGTGTTATCAAGTCTTGACAGACAAGCAATAATTTACAATCCTTACAGAAGCTGTCCGTAGAATGTATGTATATGTGAACGCGTGTCGTGTGTAAACATGTTTAAATGGTGGCGTGGCGTGGCTTGGCGTGGCGTGGGTGGCAGTATTATCGTATGTACACATGTAGGAAGGAAGGAAGAGCTTATTTATTATCAAACACAAGGTATCAGTGGCCGCGGAAGGGTGTGGACAGAGGACAATGTCCCCACGGTTGTTTGATGTCCACATCATCTCCCCATCTTATACAAACCCCTCCCTCCCCCATCGTACAATATTAATTCCCCCTCATGTCCCCACGGCTTCCGCGGCCACTGTAACGTACGCACGTACATCGGACCCATCCATCCATCCCTACCCACCCACCTAGTTAACCAATATCAATTTATATAGTCATTTTAATTAGCCCCGTTCCGTTCCTTCGATTAGGTAGCAAAAGTCGGACTGCTGGTTTGGGAAAACAATTTGTAATGGGTTAATAAAAACGAGGAGGAGGTGGAGGAGGAAGAAATTGCACAAAGAAAGAAAGTAAACCAGGCAAGACCTAATCCTTTATTAGCCTCGTCGTGTTGTTGTTTTGAGATGCTTGTTACAGCCAACCAGAGTTCATAATATACAGATAAATACATACGTACAAGAGAAAGTAATGAAAACACAGCTGCAGCCTGTTCTTTTTTTGCGACTGATGTCTTTCCAGGACAGAATAATAAATTCCATGTAGCCGAGACAGGGACCGCGGAAGGTGTGGGGACATTAACATTGTAGGATGGGGGGAGGGAGGGGTTTATATAAGATGGGGAGATGATGGGGACATCGAATAACCATGGGGACATTGTCCCTCTGTCCCCTCAAGCTTCCGCGGCCACTGGTCACCGACAACCAACCACGAAAAGATCTATCCTCGCTTTGTTTCCCTATTACTCATCGTCAGTTGGACCTTTTTCGTACGTAGCAATTAGTGTTTTCAGACTAATGACACTAATTCTTCTTGTGAGACAAACCTTGCCGTTTTTGTGGGGAAAGTCGAATGCGAAATCGGATTTTGTTGTTGCAGAATACCTTATTCATGTCGCTGGACAGAATATTTACGCAGAATTTGCTGTGAGCAAACTTTTGTTTTATGCGGAATGGATGATGGTATTGAATGATAGCAGAATTGATTGGAAATGGAAATAGTAGTCGGCAAGGTGCTTATTTACGAGAAGAAGGTTTCCAAACTGTTATACTCCTCATTGGGCAAAGTATACCGTTAATTACTTTTTCCACATAATAACGGTTTCTGCCGGAGTTTTAGTGACTAGTCGGTAATGTTATGTACATTTCTTGATGATAGATTATTTACTCAATAAATCAATATGCATGTGAATTAAATAAGAAATACGTAAATATTTTCTAAATGAAGTTAATGAAAAAAAACTAACAACATATTTTTTTAGTTTTCAAAAAAGTTTTCGTGACAAATTTCTCATCTTTTCTTCGCCTGTTTTGATAACGAATGTTAAATAATATTCGAAATATTGACAAATGAAATAAAACGTTCTTCATTTTATCACTAAAACTCCGTGTTAAATCCAATACAAAACGTACATATTTTTTTCATACGTCATCACACTTTCTGCTACAGTCCAATTTTACATAATTCAATTTTTCCGACCAAAAACAGTTTTATTTATTCTAAAATAATATAGCCTTTGTAAAAAAAAACAGAAAGGAAAGGTCGGCTAAAGGTAACGACTTCATTATTACATAATTATCTGTTTGTCTGACCTTTGGTTATTACAAGAAAGTTCGCCATTCATCCACATTTGCCCACACAAAATGTGGATGTCAAACTTACAAAATCGGTCCGTTATGTTATCTTGTTTTTCATGATTTCTACAGTTTACTCACATGCAATACTTCCCCCTCAATGGCCGCGGAATTGTGTGGGGACAGAGGGACAATGTCCTCACGGTTATTCGATGTCCCCATCATCTCCCCATCTTATATAAACCCGTCCCTCCCCAATCCTACAATGCTAATGCCCCCACAGCTTCCGCAGCCACTGTTCCCCCTCCTCAACCGTTGCCTAGAGGGTTTAATTAGATATGAAGCACAGCCAAGCAGATCTCTCCTCTCATCGGTTGTTAGCCCCACCACTTACTTATCAGCATTCTCATTTTCCTATCACCCAGACTTTCCACTTTGACTTTGAGTGAGACATGAAATGAAATGAAAGGCTTGCTATTGATTTTTCCCTTCAGATTGGAAATTTGAAGTGAAACGTGTCACGTCTCGATGAGACCACTTTACTCAAGCACTTTAAATTATATAAGCTTACATACGCACTTACGCTATGATCTATGGTCCACCAGTTTGTGTAGGAGATAGAATTTCATGGAGAAAGCGTTAATTAAGTTTCGAGTGGCTTATCACACTCAACCTGACCAATTGGATTTATTTCATCGAGAGAAATGCTTTGTTCAGTTGCATATTGTCTGAAAAGCTGTCCAAGTGCAGGAGAAATTATATGTTTCTACGATTTAGTGTAATTTGACCATGCAAAATTGATTAAATATTTCCTTTACACCTGCCAAAGTGTAGGAGAAAGTATATTATCAGAGTATGGAGTGGCTTATCAACCCGAACAATTCGATGACACCGGGTGAAATGCTTTGTTTAGTTGTTTATTGTCTAGAAAGCTGCACAAGTTTAAGAGAAAGTCAAGGAGAAAGTTGATTGTCAGACTATTTAGTGTAATTTGATTGACCATGAAAATTTGCTCATTGTCTTTAAAGCTCTTAAGAGAAAGTATATTGTCAGTATATTGTCAGTATGTATCATGCAAAATCGTACATATATAAAACGCAAACATTCAACAGGTTTCTAAACACATAGGTATATTTCAAAGCAATTAAATACACGATAAAAGTCACTCACCTCAAGAAGAATGCAGCAAGAATTCAACACGACTTCTAAGCTCTTCGTTTCTCCGTGGAATCTCGTAAAAAACGGCTTTACTTTGTAATGAAATGTGTGAACGATATGTTAGTGTTGCGTCCAAATGGTGTCGACTGGTATTTTCACCCGATGTGCTGTGTTAGTCAACCTCAGGGATTCTGCTAGTTTTCCAAACCTTCAAGTTGCAGCAAATCGAATTTCAACTCGACTCGGATTGAATAACAAAAACAAGGATCGTATTCCTTTTCCTAGGTGATTTTCCTAGCTACCTTCTTGATCTTTCTTCCACCACTACTTTCACCAGCTCAGAATTCTCTCCGCACGGGAGGAGAGCATGATCATGACAGATTTAAAAACGTGAGTGAGGTTGAATATGCAATAATATAATCGCATCCAGGAAGGAAGAAAAATATCTTCCTGCTCGAGGCTATTTATTCAAATCAGGTAGGCAGATGGCCTTGTATACGGAAAAGTTGACTTCTACGAGCCCACGCTACGTAGTATGTACCTAACTAACGTGGGAGAAATGTTGATAAGCTATAGAGTTGATAAACTGGTAGGATTTTGGGCAATATTTCGTCTCAACTTTCTACTTTGCTGGGCTACCGGCAAGGACGAGATCCAAAGTGAAAGTGAAGCAGTGTTGTGTCGAGTTGGAACTTTCTCCTGCTGGTGAATCGCTCCAGTTTGTGACATGCATGCAGGGATGGAGAGAGCATCAATGAGTATCTCCTACATATCCACAACCAGTGGCCGCGGAAGGGTGGGGACAGAGGGACAATGTCCCCACGGTTATTCGATGTCCGCATCATCTGCCCATCTTATATAAACTGCTCCCTCCCCTATCCTACAATGACAATGTCCCCAGATGTCCCCACGGCTTCCGCGGCAACCGTATGTATATACTACATGCAAAAAGAACATTGGCCGCGGAAGGGTGTGGACATCAGAGGGACAATGCCCCCACGGTTATTCGTTGTCCCCATTATCTCCCCATCTTATACAAACCCCTTCCTCCTCCATCCTATAATGTTAACGTCCCCAGATATCCCCACGGCTTCCGAGGCCACTGCCTAACACAACTACGTTCGTACGTATGGTGACTGCTGCTGTGACGAGAATGTAGTAGCGGAGGAGGAAAAGGTTGAGATAATCTGAGATGGTTGAAAAGTGGAGAAAGTTGTAGCGAGCAAAATGAGATTCTTCCTCAGCTCAGCTTCGCATAGTTTTGCCCAGAGAGAGACAAATCACAAAAGAAAATCAGCAGCTGGGAAATGTGAAACTCTGTTCAAGGGAGAAAACCCTTTCAACTTGTATCGTACGTAGAATTCTGTCTCAAATGAGTCGAGTTCCCATTTGATTCTCTCGAGTTTCTTTCCGTAATCGAAAAAACGTGACATTTCATTTGGTGGAAACATGATGGACGAGGTTAAAGATTTCTGATTACGGGGTGAAATTACTTTTTCTGAGGAGAGATAAAACGTTTTTGTAGTACGCAGAACTGACTTAAATGGTGACAATGGAGGTGTTCAAGCGTATGCTCTCTGATTTTGAGCAAATTAATGTCAAAATCGATTACAAAAGTTAATATGAAATTTGCGAAAGACACGATCTTCCAATGGGCACGTTTGGCAGAGATATTTGCATCCGAAGAGGAGAAAACGCACCTTAAAGTTGACAAATTTTACACTTTCCAAATTGATTGTGCGTTTTCTCCTCTTCGGATGCAAATATCTCTGCCAAACGTGCCCATTGGAAGATCGTGTCTTTCGCAAATTTCATATTAACTTTTGTAATCGATTTTGACATTAATTTGCTCAAAATCAGAGCGCATCCGCTGGGAGACTCCCCCTTGTAAATAAGTGACATCATGTTTCCAACTCATCTAATCAGTGAGAAATGTTCTTTGACAAAAGATGTCCAAACCAGGAGGGCTCTCAAATGTTTTTGTTCTTATTGGTTTCTTCTAAATACACCGAAAACATATTGGATCTTGATATTTGAGAAAATTGAGTAAACAGTGTCCGATTTCAAGAAGCTTTTGCAACGAAAGATCCAGTTTATTCCCGGTAGCCAATGTTCGTCAGCAAGATTCAACCATGACCTTAACATGCACCAAACATCAAATTAACTGTTTCATGTTACAATTTGTAACTTACAAAGCATCGCACAGGAATAACTCTTGGCCCACTCGGCCAGATTAATTTAGTCGCATTTGCATGTGTGCATGCACAAGTCCGCCACAGGTGCGTGCGGTACGGATAATGGACACGTGCGGTTGCATGACACTGGATAATCGAGCCTTTGATTTTGGCAATTAGCGTATTTATTTCGGGATAAGTAGTAAAATAGTCGTATCAAAACCACATGCTTGCTAGATATTTTCTATTTTTGTAACGCTGGATTTTCGTTACTGGTTGTAATTACCTGTTCACTCACATAAAGTTGAAGTGATTAACCAATTATAGGCCCAAATATCTCCCGAGCGTGGCATGAAATTTCACCTTTACGACTAATGGATGGCCCTAAATAATTTGCATGTATGTCTGCCTAGAACGATAGAAAATTTTACTAAAATATCAATTTTACTATGTCGGATCCTTATGAAAACAAGGAGCAAAAGAAACGTAGATACAAATATAAAAGGATTTCATTAAGTCAATTTCTTCGACATTTACATGTTTATTTCTTTAGTCTTTATGCACCCACTCCATTTTTCCCATTATGTATAAATACGTGACATAGTTTTGGTGGTGTACGTACATACTTGCCAGGAGCCGCGGAAGCGTGTGGGCAGAGGGACGGGTCATATGCATAAAAATAAGTAAATGCTTTTACTCCAAAATTTCCTTGGTAAATTATTTTTTTACGTCGGAAATTTTGAAGTAAAAGCATTTGCTTATTTTTATGCATGTGACCCAATGTCCCCGCAGTTATTCAATGTCCCCATCATCTGCATATGTCATGTAAAACCCTCCCTCCCATATCCTACAATTTCCATGTCCCCAGATGTCCCCACAGCTTCCGCGGCTAATGATTCTTAGAAACGCCGCTGGCGAAATTCAGTCGGATTCATATATAATCTTAAGATAAATTTTCCTGGAACAGTTTTTTTCATTCTTTTCTTCTGAAAAATGTCACATTCGACTCTAAAAACAGAAGCATCAAATCTTGTAAAAAATCCACAACGGCCAATACCAGATAGATACCGTCAAGCCAATTCAGACACAAAGTAAAGTTCAAATGTCAAGGTTTCATTTATAAAAAAAGAACGTTTCTCTTCATCGTCTCACTGACATGCTTTTCGTCTTACGCAATGTCTCCTAATTGACGAAACCTACACGACCAACCAACCAACTGGACATTTTAACTTATTACTTCTGTAAGAATAACTACACTTTTTCGCCAACGCATTTCTTGCTCGATATCATAATATTGACGAAAGCTAAGTTATGTCACAAAACTGTCGACATAAATATTTTGTCCATATTTATTTTTACTTTTTCTTTGAATGAATCCGTTCTGCATTGCATTTCAATTACATTTCCACCAAGACAGCTTTCACCTCCAACAAGCTCAAATTCCAATGGAATTTTCTTGTCTCTGATCAGTGGCCGCGGAAGCCGTGGGGACATGTGGGGACATTACCATTGTAGGATAAGGGAGGGAGGGGTTTGAGGGAAGATGATGGGACATCGAACAACCATGGGGACATTGTCCTTCTGTCCCCACACCCTTCCGCGGCCACTGTGTTTCTCTAACGCAACGAGAAATTAACTTCCAGTCCAAACCTGCCTCCCACACAAATTTATTCTCGGCAAAGTGAAAGCCAAGGGAAATCCAGCAAATCTTGGTCTCCGGTTTCTCACACAAAAACAACCAATCACCATTCCGACGGTGATATTCTTCAGGACAAAACCAATAATATGTTCAATTCAAGGGTGATCCTTTCTACGAAACTTTACTTGCTCTGGACCAGTGGCCGCGGAAGCCGTGGGGACATTAACATTGTCGGATAGGGGAGGCAGGGGTTTATATAAGATGGGCAGATGATGGGACATCGAATACCCATGAGGACATTTTCCCTCTGTCCCCCCACCCTTCCGCGGCCACTGTATGTATTTCTTAACAAGTGGAATATCTCTGCAGTGGCCGCGGAAGCCGTGGGAACATCTGGGGACATGCCATTTGTTGTAGGATAGGGGAGGAAGAGGTTTATAACACGGGTAGATTGACATCGAATAACCGTCCCTCTGTCCCCTCAAGCTTCCGCGGCCACTGGTTCTGAACACAGTCGGTACCACCATCTAAGCAACAACAACAACTTGCTAAAAATAACTCCAGACTCAATTTCATTTTCATCCAATAACTTGCTTTCTTTATTCTCTGAATCTTGTACGATTTCCGTATGAAAAGGAGAAGCCGAAGCCGCTCAAAACCAGATGCACGCAATCCATCGAAGCCGTCCATATGGAAGATTACAAAAATTGAATAAGAATGAATTTGCGAAATTGAAAACAGTTTGAACTTTGAGTTGAGCGACAGACAGCACTCTAAAAGTTTGAAAGATGGTGTGTTACAGGTGACACGAGCAATTTGGTAAAGTTGATCTTTGACGGTGAAGAGGATGACGTATGTCAATCATTTTCTGCATGGGGTGAAAGTCAGGGAAAATTCGTGTAACCTCAAAATACAGCTAAAAAAGCAACTTTCTGCACAACCGAGTAAACTAAGTGAATGTCACGCCAGGCTGGACAAATTTCATCCGATCGTTACATTTTTTTATACGTTATTTATAGCTCATTTTGCGTATTATGCATGTACAAAGTTTGATGTAGATGTAACTTGTCCCCTACAATTGGTTTTCGGTTGGTTGCTTTTTTTAGCAAAAAAATGCTTTCACCGCTGTTTGATAGAGTGGTTTTGTAAAATGGTTGGATAGGTTAACTAAAGGTTAAAGGATATGCTCTTTCCGGTAAATTTGTGCTGTAAAATGAATGTTTTACGTATGTAAGTATGCAGATTCCATGCATAATTATGTAGACTCCATGCAGATTCTGAATGACAGGTAGTACACATTGTACACGGGAATCAAATGGTGACGGGTACAATTTAATTTATTACACTATTAGAGATTTTGGCAGGTACAGCAATATATTATTATTATTATGTTTTAGTTAAGTTACTATCAACCTGAAGCTCTTAACCGAGTTATTCAGTGTGTATGTATGTACATTCAGCATCATAAATATTATTTGTATCAAATTATTATAATTCTGTTAACCTCCAACCAATATTTTTCATACCACGCAAAAATACCTCATATAAATATGTACATAGTGCAACGAAAGTGTAGAAAATTAACACAACACAAACACTACCATGAGAAAAAAACGAATAATTTGCCTGCCCTCTCAACACAATTAACCTGTCAGATGATGCAGAGATCGACGCCGCCGAGACGCCGCGGATCGTACGCCGCCGCCGCCGCCGCCGATAAATTTTATATCCTATTCCTTCGACACTGCGACGCCGTCGAAAAATCATCAAAAACTGTCACCGAAAATTTGTCGGCGTCGACCTCTGACATGATATATTAATACATACAATGTTTCAATCATATATATATTCGCTCATGTTATTTAGGTGGTTATCTGGTTATAACATAATAATGAAGTTAACGTTTAATTACATGTCTGTTTTACATACATTTAAAAATAGTTACGATACAAAACAATTATGCGGATATACGGGGTTGGCGACAAAGTTCCACTGATTTGACTGGTTGGTTTAACTCAACTTAGAATAGTTCGGTGGAGCTATCCAATTTCGGATAAACTTTGTGATATAGATTGGTACACAGGATAAGGCGGTTATCAGAACGACTTTCCATACGTAGTTGAAGGATAAAATAAAGTCAGAATCTGCGAATAATAACAATTTTGAAGTATTAAATTTTGAAACTTATGTAGTTTCAAAGAGAGTATAATAATTGATAAGGCGGCGACTCACCAAAGTAATCGTGGAAGACGACCAGAGATAAAATGTAGAGGAGAAATGACACGATTTCAGACATTATCATCAATTTGTGCATTGTCCTCTGCAAGGAAAATCAGACCGAGAAAATTATTAAACACACAAATTGCGAATGGATCATTGTTTGTATGCTTTTCAACTTACGATTGTAAGTGCTACCATGATCAGTTCAGTCAATATTAGAGATGTAAAACTAATTGACACAATGTGGATAAATTCATCTTGGAACAAGATCAATGCGCCATACATAAGCATTCCGCCTGCAAAAATGTGAAGACATATTTTACGCGGAATAACTCTTGTTATATAACAAAACCTACGACGCTTACCTTGGTATACACTGATCAAAACCCAGAGAAAGAAAGTTTTCAACGTGAGAGATCGACCTTTCCCTAATTCTGCGTACAACTCGGGCAGCCTGAGCAAATCTTCAGCCCTGACATCCTTATCTAAAACCAAGGCGAACACGGGGAGCATCGTGTACACGGTTGCATATCTACAAAATTATGTAAAATTTGAAAATAACGATAAACTCTCTCATGAAAAGTGTTTACAGTATTGCTGAAAAGTAATTACATACCCTATCAATAAGAAGCCTTGGTAGAGCGCAACGGAGGAAAAGTAAAAAATTGACGAGAATACTGCCTGCATAACGGTAATGATTAGTCCTCGATGCATGACAAACTGTGCCAGTGAAGCCGATCGCTTGTACGAATAGCGTCCATGAATGAGTAACAATGGAGCTATGAAGCTGAACTGGGTGACTGAAAAGTCCGCTGCCAGAGACGCTTGTCGACCTTCTTTGCCTACAGAAACAACAGCCAACGTAAACCAATTTATCTAGTGCAATAATCATTTAGTAATACAAAACCTTCTAATCCGACACCAGCGTCTGCTGCTTGAATCATCTGTAACGGGTAACAATAAAGATAATGAACAAGTAACAAAAACAAAGACAAGTTAAACACTATTTTTTAACCAACCGCAACATCATTTCCTCCGTCTCCACACGCGGCAGTCCTTTTTCCCGTGTGTTTCTGCACTAACTCGACAACTTTGGCCTTTTGCGTAGGCGAGCAACGACAAACGACAACAACTGTATGAAGAACACGAAGAAATGATATTATTGCACATACACAGATCATAAATTAATTCGCTTTGTGTGAAATATTACCAGGACAAGTTGTAGCAAGTTCCATGAACTCTCGTTCAAAGTAGCGCAAACAAATCTATAAACATATAAATATTTAGTATCCCACCCAGGAAAAGTTTGAAAATGATTTAATAATTACGTCGAGCGCCTCTCCTCTGATAATCATGGCAGCATCTGATTTTCTTCGGAACGAGTTGAGCTCATTAAACGCCTAAATTTAATTAAATATTTTAAGTGACATTGACCAATGTGTGAGATGTCAACATTCTGGACATTAGTGCACACAAATATTGATCCCATCGTCATTAGTGGTAATTTTTACCTGGGTTCGATCTGCTATTTCTCTAAAGACGTAAATTTGCTGTTGGGTTGACACTAATTTTGAACTTTTTGCGATACAGGTCGCAGTTTCCAATTTATCTCCTGTCAGCATCCAAATCTTAATTCCAGCGTTGCGGAGCATTTCTAGCGTAATCTTTACGTCCTTTTGAAGAGTGTCTTCTACCCCTGTGACGCAAAGGAGTTGCATATCGTTCTCAATTTCGCACATTGTCTGGTACGTTTGGTTGGCTCGATCCGATTTGCTGCTTTTGGCTGTATTGTACCGTTTTTCAAATTCTTCATACTCTGCAAACAGTTATTAAGATTGAATTTTTACTGATTTTATTTCACTTCACAGGAATAATAAAATTGTCTGCAAATATTTTGAGTATCTAATTGTGCAAAGTACGACTGTTCAAATTGCGAGTCGTACTTTGCAGACGTGTGCAAAATTTCGTGAATTTCGTAATCGCATAACGCTAACCTGCTCTGGTCATCACTTTCTTGGCAACAACGAGGGTTCGCAGTCCTTCTCTTGACACTAGAAAATTTAGACTCCATAAATATACATCATAATTTCATAACACGTAACTCTCACTACTTACAATTGTCGCAAGCTTCATCCAACCAATCATTGAATCGGACAATACTTTTCATTGCGATATCAGCACCCTTCAAGTAAAATGTAATTTCCCCAGTACGCTTATCCTGTAAAAACAAATACGTTATTATTAGTCTTACATAAAGCCGGAGTATGCAAATATGTAGAAAATATTCTTCACCATCACAATGATTCCCATTCTCTTTGCTTCAGACGTGAATGGAAAAACTTGAAGTATTTGATACTCCAACTCGACTAAACTCCTCGACTCGACTCGGAGTTCTGAAGAACGTAACGTCATGCTTGCCTGGTCTCTTTTGGCGAGAGATAGCCCAACGGCCTTAGCATATTTGACCAGGGCGATCTCATCTGGACTAGAAGCTTGATAAGTCACTTCCGCTTCCGTTCCATAAACACTCTCTTCATCTTCCAAGACTTGGCTTTCGTCGTACACGGGGGTAACATTGTGACAAATGGCCAATGCCTTGATGGCTTCAGTTATTCGGACAATTTCATTAATTCTTTGATGAGTTTCACTCGGAGCGGTGGGTTGGAGACCTTGTTTCAATTTTTCACTGACATCGTCCACGTCCGACATTTGACTCGTAGCGAGGACGAGGCGTTTGAAAATCATCTCGTTTTGAGTCAATGTTCCAGTCTTGTCAGTCAAGAGATAACTTATTCTTCCCAAATCTTCGGGGATGGTAGTACTTCGAACAACTGTCCCAGCGATTGATGGATCACGTTGAATTGTGTAAGCGTAATATGATTTGGCCTATCACATAATATGGCTCAGATTATTGAAAGTTATAGCTTTTCTAGAATTTATGTATGGTACTTACCATATCCATGTTTACCCTGAGACTGATTGGAATAATGTAAGAGAACAGGAGGACAAATCGGAACATCACAACAAACCATGGGCCTTCCCAGCCCCTTAAGCACATCATCAAAAAAGCGAGTCCCATTACGGCAGCAAACAAAATCTACACAAATACAAATCGATACAGTGAATGTTTATTGCAAAAATACAGCATTTGTATTCTCGAAATCCTAGAAACCACGTTGTACCTTTGTCAAATCATTGATCTCCAAATCAATCAGGCCCACTTTGCTTCGAGGAATTCTGAAATTCGGATTCCATACACAATGAACATGCAATCTCAATATTGCTTTGAAATAAGTATAATTATCAAAACTTACGAATTATTCATAACACTGCGAGTTTCTTTACCAGTGTACACAACTAGTCCTACAGCACTTCCAGCAGCAACCACCGTATTTGCCCAAACCGTATTATCGACATTGATCCCGGCTTCTTCAACGTTTTCTTCACCTTCAGGTCCTCCAACTTTCTACAAATTTGCAATCACAAAAACCATCAAAATAAATAATTCCCAGATTAACATTATCTAAATATTTAAGAAGATACAATCCAATTATGCGTGGACATACCTTGTACAAAGTTCCGATAAAAGAATGAATGTCCATTTGGGGTCGTTCAGCATAAATTGTAACGTTTTGTTTGAAAAGCTCAGAATCGCTCTCAACATCTTGAAGAATGGGAAGTCGGAGTTTCTGTTTAACAAATGTGAAGATAGGTTGATTTAACCGTTATAATTTCGCCATTACAAATTTCTACTATTTTTCTAGTCTCACCCAATCCGTTTCACCATCGAGCTGGTCCGTCCTGATATCCAAAAGTTTTATTACACAAATTCATCACAATTATCTGTACCAGAGAAAGCGAAATGCTGAAAAGTCGCCCTTGACTCATTGCTTACCTAATGAAACACCTTCCACTCCTGTCACTTGTCCTCAATAGCACCATATCGGCCGGAACTCTCTGGTCTTTTTCCACCATTATTAAATCCCCGACCTTGATTTTAGAGCTGGGAATGTAATGCTGCTCGCCTTGCAATATTTTTGTGTATTTTTGATTGTTGATTTCTGTAATAAAAATATTCGAATAAAGCATGAATTACTAAGGATTAGAAAATTAATCTTGGAATGCCATCAAGGAATATGTTTTTTTACCATGATCGCGTTGTCGCCTTCGAAGGTCATCGATCAACTCGCGAATCATGGTGATTGTCAGTACAAAGATCAAGGGTCCTGAATAACCAATTATAATTAATTAACTAACTTAATAATGACAATAATAATAATAATAACACGATTAATAGTATTAATACCCTACCCCAATACGTGTACCAATATCCAACAACGAGATCCTTAAGGATGTGGGAATAAAAAAATAAAAATTTAATTCACCTTTAAAAAAACCAAAAATATTTTTGCTATCATTAATTAGACTAATTTTTAACCTAACCTTAAAGAACTGACTGCATGCCATCACCAGGAAGTACAGGTTGAGAAAAAACTTGAATTGTTGGAATAGCACGAGAGGAAAGAACGTGATGATGTTGTATTTCTGATTTTTGATCACATTCGGGGCAAATTTTTGAGGGAGTGGTTGTCCAATCGTGATTTCCCTTTCTTTCAATTCTTTCTCCCTGCTGATCCAGTTGACCACCCAGAAACAGCAGCTGAAAATAAAGGAAATTTAATTGTACAAAAAATTCCAGGTGTCGTAATACTGATTAATTAATCATTATTTTTGCAAATGATTCATACCAGCAAGCATATCGCAAGATTTCGCAACATGCATTCAGCAATCTGCCCCTCCGCCCGAGTTCACTTCGTCTCCTGTATTCATCCGACGCGAGGGCATTATGATGCGACGGGCTGCCTGCCCTTTCCCCTCCGCCCATCATGTTCCCATCCGTCTCCAGGGGCCCGATGTCTATAACCCCACCGGAATAGTTTGGATTGTCCACACTGCTCGGACCTCTATCCCTCCGCAACATCCTCCTAGGTCCGCTGCTATTGCTGTAGCTGAATCTGTTGAATTCTTCCCCCTCCGAATCCACGAGATGTTTGGTATAGTTGTTGGTCGTCGTCGAAGACACTCCGTTCCTGTAATGGAATGTCGTCGTCGTGCCCCCGTTCTTTATCGGTTTCGAACCCTTTTGAACGTGTCCGTTGGATGAACGATGATTTGAGATTGGCAAAAGCCTTATATTTTCTTTCAGTGGGTGATCATCATCCTCCGAGGAGGCGACAAGGTCGTAGTCAATATTATTGTAACTACCCTCGAAGAACACTCGCTTCTCATTGAGTCTTTTCCACATTAAAACATTTAAACACCATATCACCTCCTAATCGCAAATTTTTTTATCGATTGGTTGGTTGGTTGGTCTTTTCTCCTCCGAGTGAGGTGTCCTTTCCCAACGCAAGTTATTCAATTCCTGGTATTACGCCTGTGTTATCAAATGTCAATATTTACTTTAGTACACCAAACAAAACTGGTCACCCACCATATTATTAGTCACGTCACATATGTTGTATTATATATTGCCAAATGAGAAAAAACGGACCAATCTCTTACCAAGTAAAAACAATATAGTAGTAGTTATCTCTGATTTTCAGTTATCTTCTTTATTAATACAAGGTCCTCCTGGTTGGTATACAAAGTTAAGAATGATTTAAAATTCTTATATGTATATCTAACTAAACTTATTGTTATGTTATATTACCTCAAATTTAGTCCTTCAAAAACTTCTTTTCCCAGGATGGATGGATGATAAGATTGCCGAATAACGGGATGCAAATTACTAATTTTTATTAACTTTTAATTAAATTTGGATAACAGACAATTTGGGAGAATAACAAATCCAGTTCACAGTTAGATTTTATTTTTCTTTACATACGTAGAATGTCAATAGTTGGATTTGATAGGTTTAAAAGTTCTGCTTGGGACTCATTACGCCCCATTTCCTTCGAGGTGATTCATCATGAAATGAATTGGTGTCAAGTAATTTGGTCGATATTACGTAATTTTTCGCAAATTTGCAAAAAAAAGTTTGCATTTATTGTGCCCACGTTCGACCAACTTAACCTTGCCAAAAATAAATACAGGGTAATAGAGTGTTATTTAGTTATTGATTTATGTGTATTTGCATATGGGGAGAAAGCTTGGCCACGAATTATGACTCATGAATATAGGTACATAACTTATGATGACATTAAATTAAAGCACGTGATACTATGTTATAGACATCCATTGGTAGGTATATGCAAATGATTTTATAGTAGTGAATTGGTAACGAATTTAGTATGGAAATTGAGTGGGTGAAAGTGAACAGCTTTCACTTTGACATTTTCTTTTGCCATTCTGGTTTCAACTCTTCTTCCACCGCTTTTTGAATGTACTTCAAATATTTGTCTGGCATGTTGGTGTCTCTGTGAAAAGAAAAAAATCAAAAAATTTTCGGGAACATAGAAATATTTTTGTACGTTTTTGGGTAGGTGAAAGTTATCTATGTACCGAAGTTCTTCCAGCTTTCTATCCATGAAACACCGTAATTCGACGTCTCTGGCCCCCAATTCTCTGCGACACTTGATTCCGTCAATGTAGTAGTCTTTCTTCTCTTTGATCTTCTCCAGTTGGTAGCGATGAATTTGTTCACGAAGGTCTGCGACGATATAATTTGTTTATGAATGCTTTTTATTTAGTAATAAACCGTTGCAAACGAAATGTAGCAATAGGGTGAAACCACATGAGATAACTTTTTATAAGAGAAATATTTTACGTAAATACCATCCCCACGGTCATCGTACGTCAAAACCATGTCGATTTTTGAAATCCCCGCCCCAAAATACGTCTAGAACGTTTGAAAAGACAAAATTCGACATTTTTTGTCGTCTACACGGTCACACGGTCATCGCACGTCAAAACCATGTCGATTTTTGAAATCCCCGCCCCAAAATACGTCTAAAACGGTCGAAACAAAAAATTCGACATCTTTGAACGTTGGCGTCGTCGCCGTGGCGACGTGACCTTACGACCTACAATGCCCATCTTCGAACTTGTCCGTACTTTTAAAATTAGAAACACGATGGCGAAAACCGCATATCGAAATTCGAATCCGTTCAATAGTTAGAGCACGAACGGACGGACAGACAGACGGACAAGGCACATCCATAATAGGGTTTCACCCTATAATAATCAGAGAATGGATATGTATTTACGAATAAAATGTCAAAATAGTTATGAAAAATGTACGAAAAATACATAAAAATACGAATTTGTACAAAATTTGTATTTCTGAATATAATGCTCTGGATTTTTCAGGTGCAAGTTCTTTGAGCAAAAAAAATGCCTCAAATTGTTGAAATATTTAGAAAAAAATATATTTTCTGGAAAAAAATTTAAACTATTTACGTATTTTTCAAACAATGTTTACAATATTTCTAAATATCTGAAAACCTAGAAATATGTGACAATATGCTAAAAATATTTTGAAATTTCTGTGATCTATACGAGTTAAGGAACACACCCACAAAGGTTGACCGTGAATTGGTCGTCATAAAATGGAAAAGCCGAAAATAAGTACATATCCGCCCTCTGATATTAATTAAAAAGATGTTCGAACCTAATTTGTACTGAGCATTCTTCATTTTACGTTCCTCCTGCTTTTGTCGTTCTTCTTCCATTCGAACGTCCTGAATGTTGAAGATTTTATCATACAGAGCTTTGTCAAAGGCGGCCTGCTCCACAATCCAGTCCTGTTTGGTCCTAATTTGGTTGAGGATGTTGTCCTTCAGGTCTTCCATGGCGCTTTTACGCTTGATCAGATCTTCCCGTTCGCGACGACGCCACTCCCGTTCTTGCTGTTCTTGATGACGCTTGGCACGCAGCTACGGACAAAAGAAAGCACAATTATTATTAAGATGTCCTCCTTTATCTAATCCAGTGACCGCAGAAGCAGGGGGACAGGGGGATATTTCCCACCAGAAATTAAGCAAAATCGTGTTAATAACTCCCCCCTTCTCCATAATCCCACAATGCTGATGTCCCTACATGCACCCCCAACTTCCGCCACCACTGGTCTAATCGATGCATATGCAAATACCTCATCGCGCAGCGCTTTAGAGTCTGCAGTACGTTTTTGCGTATCGAGAACTTGTTTCACAGCCAACTCTTTCATCTTCTTTTGAAGCTTGTGTTCCTGTTCGAGACGTTCTTCTTCAGCGGCTTTGTGTTTTTGCCAATCAACCATCTGCACGGATAAGTGTTAACAAAATTAAGTATAAGCATTGCTTCAATTAGACAACTATTGTGATATTAAGACACCTTCTGATCCAACTCTTTATCGATTTCCTTCTCTCTCCGCATCCTTTCAACGGCCAGCATTTGATTTTCGAGAAGTTCCAACCCCAACTTGGCCTTCTTTTCGCGTTCCAAAGACTTTCTCTGAATTTCCTCCATGTCATACTGCTCCCAAAGTCGTTTCATCTCTTCCCCCTCGCGTTCCTTCATCTCCTTGAAGTAAAAGGTCATCGCTTCATGTTCGTCAAGTTGGGCTAGAATTTAATTTAGGGGGATTTAGTTGGGGGGGATTTTTAAAGAAGATAAAAACAAATTTTTTCACACCTTTTAGCGACGCCATGAGATCTTTCTTCTTTTGCTCGAGTATTTCAATCTCTTTGTCATCATCCTTGATGAGGGCGTGCTCCTGATCTTGTTTCATTAAGGCGTCGAGGCGCCGTTGTTCTTCGGCTTGTTCGCATTTTATGAGTTCTTTCTCTTGGAGTTGGGCTTCTCGGATGGCTTGGACTTTTGCAGCGAGGATGACCTTGTTTATGGTGCGGACTTCGGGTTCGTCCTCTTTTAGGATTTTTTCAGCTCGGCATAAAATTTCGTTGGAGTCCTAGGTATGTAGTTACAGCTTTAACATAAGGACTCCATGACCCATAACCAAAGTCGTCAAAATTAGCAAATCTTTAATCATTTCTCGGCTCTGGGAATTTATTTTAAAATTCTGAACGACAAATTTGTAGTCAGTACGTTAATTAATTGAATGCCGGTGAGTTTTTTTAAGCCAGTTTCGATACGTTCCAACTTTTCTGAAGGTTTCTTAACTTGAGATCTCCTCCTTCAAAAAGTGTAAAAATCTGGAGTGCATATTTTTAAAAAATTGGCAGCGACTTGATCTACAAATTTACCGTTCAGAATTTTTAAATAAATTCTCAGAGCTGAGAAATGATCTTAAATGTGTGCTGATTTTGGCCATGAGTTATCGACGCTAAAAAAAGCTTGACAAAATATTTTTATAATCTAAATTCCTTGACATGTTCGTTCCTACCTCTCGAGCTTCTGGACTTATCGAATCATTTAATCGATGCAGATCAATCAAACGCATTTCGTCGGCACGTTCCCGACATCTTTCTAAAGCCATATCCTTTTCTCGGAGGGCTTGTGCAACATCCGCTTCTTTCTGTTCCTTATCTTTTACCTGCATAATTTAAAAGCCGAGACGGTATAGTTTTATCAGGTGCATTAACAATTTAACGCAAATAGTAATTCTTACAATGGCATTATTCATGATTCTGTAATAGTCAGTGTTGGAGAGGACGAAGGGGTGCTCATTTTTTACTTCGCCATGAACCAGCAAGGTACGGACGCTGTCGGGGTCGTAAACCACGATTTTTTCTCTGCACTCTTCCCACGGAGGTGGAATGGGACAACGACACTTGGCTTTGTTGCAGAGTTGGCAGATGGCTGATTAATAGGAAAGAAAGAAATTAATTAATTTAAAATGATGCATGTTTGAAGTATGCATGCAATCAGTGGCCGCGGAAGTGCGGAGAATGTCTCCTCCCAGTTATTCGATGTCCACATCATCTATATACCCATCTTATATAAACTCCTCCCTCCCCCCATCCTACAATCTTAATGTCCCCACAGCTTCCGCGGCCACTGAATGCAAAAAGATGTAAATCATTTACTGCTTCGGGGATATCGTCCAGCATTAACAAATTGTCGTGGCGGATTCTTTCGAGCGGTCCCTCTCGGTCTGCAGGGATCAATGCAAGGTCGTCTCGCAGGACAAGGGTCAGGCACGTATCGAGGTCGATAAGCAGATTCATACTCGCTCCACCCAAATGGTTGACTCACCGTATTGTTTATTCCGGGTAGTGAATTGGCAAACTGCAGGGTAATTATTTATTTTAAATTGTAATTAAATATTTAATTATTATTAATTAATCGATAAGCGATTATGCTAATTAACTCACAAGAACTGCAGTCCCCATATCCACGGGAAGAGGTGGGTTGCATTTGTCGTTTATGTAATTGTAACCGCCTCGTTTGTTTACAGCCATTCTTATTGTTCACCGGAAGGAAGCCAAAGGCAGGTAATGAAAGCTTGTCACCTTAACGTATGTATGACTGTTCTCTGTTTATGACGCAAATTTTATTGCATGCCAAAAAAGAATTAAGCGACAATAATAATGTCTTTCTTTATGATAATTTTTTTCCCATGTCTATAAATTTAGAGAAGACGGAGAAGAAAGTGAGATTTTATTTGTTTGATCGATAAAATATTCCTTAGTGACAGTTCTGATAGCTACATATGTAAATGCATTTTGGGTTTTGGTACATGACGCGTATGATTGTATGATTGTAGGTATGCATATCTTATTTGGGTACGCTGGGTCGACGGCGGCTTCGGGTAATTAATCAATTAAAACTTTAAACAATTAAAACTTAAAACTTTCCCAAACGGTAGTGCTTTATTTTAAATTTTATGACTTTTGCAGGTAAACCATGGATGTGATGGACAATGCTAGTTCGGAATTCGGATGATTTGAACTATTTTTGGAGGAATCGGCCTGCAGGTAACGTTTCATATTTTTCAACACCTCACCATTAGGTTTATTATTTTTGTGCAGCCCAAAAAATTACTATTCACACAATGGAATTGATCAGATTTATTTTTTACAGTGTCCTTGCGTGGAGAAGCTCTTACCACTGAGGCCCTTAAACGGTGTCGAGCATCATTTTGCTGGTATGTTATTCAATAAACTTGTTCCTCATAATAATTTATGTTTGGATAATAAAGTTTTAGTGTTCAGGAGACCACTAGGACTCACTAAAAGGCCGCTGGTCTGACCTTTCTGCGATGGAGGAGCCAAATAAATTTCTACCAGATTTGTCCGCGTGTGTGCATTTTTTAAATAGCCGAAATTTTGGGTAAAATTATTGCAAAACTTCCACTTTTTCCATATCTTTATTGAAATTCATTTTTAGGCCTTTTAAGATGGCCTTATAGATTTGTCAAGATGTCTGTCTGTCCGTCCGTCTGTAGGCACGATAACTCTCTTTAAACAAAAGATATCGACTTGAAATTTTGCATGCTTCATCTTCGGGTAAAAAGTAAGGATGAGTTCGGAGATGAGCATGATCGGTCAAGTGGTTGGCCGGTGGGGGTCATTTCCACCCAAATGTGTTGCCATTAACTACCAAGATGGTATTAATGCTATCTTAAAAGGCCCCGCAAAGTTGCTTGGAGTAGGTTTTTACTTAATTAATTATTGCTTATTTATTTTTATGATGTAGAATTGAACACGTTAAATTGGACAAATGGACGACATCACGAAGTTCGGCGTCCTCCTTTCTCCGCTTCTTATTTTGCAACTCTTCTCGTTTGCTGATCAATTTGAAAAATCTGAAATGAATCATAATCAGTTTTCACTTAATATTTCTCAGGTAAGAATAATATAATATCCTCCAGTAACAGTGGTCGTGGAAGCGTGGGGATAGAGGGACAATGTCCCCACGGTTATTCGATGTCCCCATCGAAGTTATGTCCATGTTGTATAAACCCCTCCCCCCCATGCTGCAATGCTAATGTCCCCAGATGTCCCAACAGCTTCCTCAGCCACTGTCCTTTAATTGTATAACCAAACCTGAGAGTAAATTCCCCTCTCGAATTGAGTCCCAATTTCTCTAAAACTTCCATAAATTTTTCTATCGATTCGCTATTTTCGATCATCCAGACTCCATCGCAGTCCATTGAAATCCCTTCAAAGGCCAAGTTTTTAGAAATTAGTTCTTTTCCACAAGATGAACACATTTCTTTCTCAGATTCGAATTTGTCCTTCCTCCGTTTGGCCACAGCGTCTCGAATGACCTGTAAATTTTCCTGGTTAAACGAGACATGTTCCAGCCCTGAGCAAACTCCGGACCTGGACAACATCAAAAGCTTGTCATGATCGGGAAGGATGTCATCACTGACGGAACTATGAAGATAAGGGAGGATTAGGCAGCGTCTCATTGCAAAGAGGTGGATCGGCATTTTTATTGAGGGCAGGACTAAAAAGTAAGGATATAAATAAGTAATAGGCATTGTTTTCTAATTTTACGAATAATTAACATACGGCGGATATTAAGTGCTTATCGAAAAGTATTAATACAAATATTAAAGACAACTATTGAAAAGTATTAACAGCATATTATTAGATATTTAATACTAAATTCTAATTTAATAATTTTTTTAGGATAAATTCTAATAGAATTGTGATAAAATTGTAAAGGTCTCGATAATCGTGAATTTCGCCAAAGGGGTCCTCTTAATTTGTGGCAGTAGGGGCAGGTGCCAACGTAGACTTCTCGAGGTAATTTATAAAAAAAGTTTTTATTTGATTTCTGCAGGCAACTCATTGGAATTTTCGCCGAGTCCATTAAGCGGCGACACTGATATTATCAAGGCTCCGTCTTGTCCTGTCTGGCTTGCAGATGATGCTCCAAAATTTTACCCGGTTTGAACTTGTTTTCTGCTGGAGCCCGAGTCCAACATTTGTAACATTGTACCTCATTTGGGTTTTCTGAGTCGACGACGAGTCCTGGTAATTAATTAATTTAAAACTTTCCAAAATGGGTAAGATTCTTTTTTAAATTTTATTTATGATTTTTGTAGGCAAACTATTCACTCTTATGGAGGAACTAGCACCAAGGACCATCGCTCGGGTACACTTTGATCTTAGCCAAAAGGCCGCTGGTTTGGCCTTTTTGGGAAGGGGCATTTTCCAAGTCGGTAATGTTTTAATTTATTTTAAGTTCATTTTTGACTTTTGCACATAAACTATTGGAATTTTCACCAAGCCCTGATCATTACCACTAGTGGCTGGCTGCAGTAGATGCCACAGATATTATCAAGCCGCCGTCGTGGTTTTAGCTGATCTGGACCTTCAACTTGAACACGGTAATGATACTCCAAAATTTTACCTGAGTCGTGTATTAAACATGAACTCATTTTCTAGCTCGATCCTTGCCTGCAGAAGCTGCTATTACTGTTAATCGGCAAACGAACATCAAATTTATTTTACGGTATGTTATTCAATAAACTTGTTAGGCTGAATAATTTATGTTTGGATAACTATAAACTTTATGTGTTCAGGACACCACTGGGACTGGAGACACTTTGATCTTAGCCAAAAGGCCGCTGGTCTGGCCTTTTTGGGAACGCTGGATCGGCGACGACTTAGGTAATTAATTTAAAACTTTCACAAACCGGCAATGTTTTACTTTACTTCAAATTTTATTTATTACTTTTGAAGGTAAACCATTACGCAGTTAAACGGATGAACGAAAATCACTGACTTCGTCAGTGATTTTCACTTTTCACATTTTCACATTTGAAACAGTGACGCTTTGATCTGGCCGACGTTCTGACCATTTTGGGACCGAGGAGCCAAATAAATTTCTTGCAGAATTATGCACATTCAATTTACACTTATCAATTTACACAATTCACATTTATCCTTTTTTGAATGACATGCATTGTACACTATTTTTAAAAAGCTGAATTTTTGCAAATAGGCGTATAGATATTACGTAGTTCTTTACGAGAAGTATTAAATATTAAGACGAGTGTTTTTCCTACATATTAAATTTATGCATTAGATATTTACTATTACAGTAAAAATTCCAAACTACTAATTACGAAAAAACATTATAGATCTAAAACGGTTTGGAATTTTTTCGCCGATCGCTCAGGGGTCCTATTCATTTGTTGCAGTAGGAGCTCACCTGGAGAATGGTAAGTACCATAATATAATACAAAAGTTTATTTTTCTATTCACCCGATATTCTGCTTATATTACCATTTGGGGTACGCCGAAGATATTTATCTAATGACCTACGCTTGGAATTTTGAAGATTTTTTGAACACCTTAGCTTTTTATCTGTATTAATTTTCTATGAAAGAATGGTTAGGGTCCTCTTCATTTGTGAGGCATACGTGAACAAAGAATTTTTGAGATAATTTATAAAAACCCCAAATCTGCAATATTTGAATTATAAGTTTATTCATAACTACTGCAGGCAAACTTTTGGAATTTTCACCGAGACAGGCACTGATATTATCAAGAATCCGTCTTGACCTCCAGTTTGATGATGCTCCAAAATTTTACCCGGATCGTATGTATTAAACTTGAACTAATTTTCTTCTGCAACCTATGCTACTCGTCGCCGTTACATTGATATTACCAAGACGCCATGCTCATCACGGGGGCAACATTCGTAACTTATTTGGGCACGCTGGGTGGACGACGACTCCTGGTAATTAATTTAATACCTTCCAAAATGAATAATGTTTTGCTTTAAATTGTACTTATGACTTTTTCAGGTAGCCTACATCGGTTTTAAACGGATCGAGGGAATTAAGGGGCGCTTTGATCTTAGCCAAAAGACCGATGGCCTCTTTGTAGCTCGCTGAGGTGAAAGCTATGTTTAGAGGAATCGTACCGCAGGTAGCGTTTCATATTTAACACCATTTAGCTTGTTAATTATCATTATGTAGTCCAGAAAATTCTTAGTCACTCAGCGGAAGTGATCAGATTTATTTTAACAGCATCCATGCCTGGGGAAGCTGGTATCGGATCACCAACTTTATTTTGCTAGTATGTTAATCAATTAACTTATTCCGTTAACTAATTTATGTGTGGGAAATTTTATGTATTCAGGACATATCCTGGTGGGTACACTTTGATCTTAGCCAAACAGAGCTGGGATAATCCTGATTAAGGATTATGGATTTTAATCCCGGATTATGGATTATTAATCCATAATCCCTAATCCGGCAATGAGAGTTTTTTGTAGATTAATCCCAATCCATAATCCCGATTTTTCAGGAATTAGAATTAATCCGGGAATAATCCCATTTGATTTCATTAATCCATAATCGTGATTACGGATTACTAATCCTGATTAATCCCAATCATGATTACTAATCATGATTATTAATCCAGATTAATCCAAATCATGATTACTAATCATGATTACCTATTCATGATTAATTCTCAATCTGGATTACTCAGTTCAATTCCCATAGTTCCATTTCATCCCAGTGTGTAGTTTGAAGTCTCAAGTTCTCACAACTTTGTTCTGTCAGCTACCATTTGAAGAATCAACATGTTCTCGCTGCCTTATGCTACATATATCAATTGAAACTGGCCTTTTAAATATTTTATGTGAAACCACATAGTGAAGTTTTTGCGCTAGATATAGTGTAAAAATCATTAATCACCAAATTAATCCGGATTATTAATCCATAATCCATAATCCTGAAATTTCCAGAATTTATGGATTAATCCGGATTAATCCTGACATGAATTAATCTCACGAAAATAATTTAATCACAATCCACATTATTTTGTGGTTAATCCATAATCCTTAATCCACCCTAAAAAACCAATAATCACCCAGCTCTGTAGCCAAAAGGCTGTGGGTTTGGGTACGCTGGGTCAACGAGGGCTATTGGTAATTAATTTAAAACGGTTTTTTTTATCTTATTTTATTTTTATTATCATTTTATTTTATTTAAACTTTGCAAGTAAACTATTTGATTTTAAACGACTGGCCATTAGAACTAGTGGAAGGTTGCTGAAGATGTCACACTGATATTATGTATCAAGCTGCCGTCTTGAATTGCGCTACAGTCTGGACCTGAAGACGATGCTCCAAAATTTTACCCGTATCGTACAGGTATATTAAACTTGAAATCCTCTTTGCTGGAGCCTTTATCTTCACCTGGAGAAGTTGCTGTCACTGACGCTCTTTTGCGGATGAATTAGAATCTCCGGCTTCATTTTGCTGGTATGTTATGCGATCATTTATGTGTAGGTAAAATTATAAACTTGTATGTATTCAGGAGACTATGTTACTCCGGTACACTTTGATCTTAGCCAAAAGGCCGCTGGTCTAGCCTTTGTTGGGAATTAGGAGCCAAATCAATTTCTAGCAGATTTGTTCACATTCAATTTACACATCTTTTTTGAATGGTATGGATTATGTAATAAACTTAACAATTAAAAAAGATATTAAAATGTTTTTTAAATAATGACTTGTAAATTGTCCAGGTTCAACGAGACATGTTCCAACCCTGAGAAAACTCCGGACCTGGACAATATCAAAAGTTTGGAATGATCGAACTCGAAGATAGGGGAGGATTAGGCAGAGTCTCATGGCAAAGAGGTGGGTCGGCATTTTTATGGAGGGCAGTGCTGAAAGGTAAGATTAGATCTAATTAATTTTAATAATTAAAAAGCAACGACTATTGCTTAATAGTTATTGTTTCCTAATTTTACGAATAATTAACATACGGCGGATATTAGGTGTTTATCGAAAAGTATTAAATATCAAAACAAATTCCTTACATAATAAATGCATATTCGATATTTAATATTAAATACTCCTTTGATAATATTTTTAAAGGAAAAATTCCAACATAATTATAGGAATAAATCGTAGTAGGTCTTAATTTTCGGGAATTTTTGAGCCGATCGCTCCGGGATCCTGTTCATTTCTGGGCATGGGCAGAGATCAAAGACTTCATTCATCATACCCCCAAAGCTGCAGTAGTTATATTGTAGTTTTATTTATTCTACAGGGAAATTATATTATCATTTTTACCGAACCCCGGCCACTAGTGGGAGGGCGCAGAAGACACTGATTTTATCAAGCCGCCGTCTTGTCCTACCCAGCTTGCGGACGATGCTCCAAAATTTTACCCGAAGGTATTTGAACTTAAGTGCTGCTGGATTCCGAGTCTTGTCATCAGTTGGAGACGACGACGATTGATGTTTTCCAAAATTTACTCGCCCGATACCACTCGTCGCCCAGAAATTTCACTGATATTGTGGAGACGCCACTGCATTGGTAAGCAGCATCTCCCGGGACTTGAAACTTATTTGGGCACGCTCAGTTGACGATGACTCCTTAATTGTAAAACCTTCCAAAATTAGTAATATTTTATTTTTAATTTCATTCATGGCTTTTACAGGTAGCCCACTACGCTTTTAAACGGATCGAGGGACCGACTTCAAGAGACACTTTGATCTTGATCTTAGCCAAAAGGCCGATAGCCTCTTTCTGAGGTGAAGGCTATTTTTGAGGGAATTGTGAGGTATTAATATTAATAGTAGTGCTGGTTCTACACTTTGATCTTAGCCAAAAGGCGGCTGCCAGACCTGTTTGTGAAGGAGCCAAATAAATTTCAGATAAATAGCAGATTTGTGTACGTCCAATTTACACATCTATTTTTGAGTGACATGCATTGTACATATACATTTTTAAGCCTTACCCTCACGCGAGGAGGAGAATTTCGGAGCAGGAATATTCTCCTAGTCTCATCCTTCTCTCTCGCTTTGCAGAATACATGGAATCACACATCTCGGAACTTCGCATCGACCCTGTGGGGGGGAGGAGTCGACCTCAGGGAAATGCATCCTCCGGTGTTTAGAATTTGGTTTTCTGCGTCTGATGGTATTTTTTCAAATTTTTTGGACTGGCATAAGTGTACCTTGTACCAAGTCTTGTTTTAAGGTGGTCACTTCGCGTTGTTTTGGAAAGAGATGAGTCGACGCTAAAACGCGTATAATAGCATCAAGCTAGAAATTTTCCGTGCTTATCACTGGTTATCACTGAAAGTGGACACAAATCTGCATAAAATTCTGTTAGTGGGAATCAATTGTCAGTAAAACTCTATCATACATATCGGTAGAAAAATCTTGTCTTAATTTTAATATTTAAGCATTGCAAAAAATCGAAAATCGGCGTTCAAATCCGTCAAATTTTTGCCTAAGCCTCGCCGTCAAAGTTTACAGTGCTCGTGGTTGAATTGCACATATTATTTCTTGCAGTTAACATTTTTTGTATTGCTTGCTTGCCAGTGCAAGATTTTATTTATTTATTACTAATTTAAATAATTCAAATTATGCATTTTTTAAATTGACTTCAGTTTGTACTAAATTATTTATTGCCTATTTATTTTTATTATGTAGAATTGAACACGTTAAATTGGACAAACTGACGACATCGCGAGGTCCAGCGTCCTCCTTTCTCCGCTTCTTACTCCGCAACTCTTCTCGTTTTATAATCAATTGGAAAAATCTGAAATCAATCATAATCAGTTTGCATTCTAATAATTCTCAGGTAAGAATAATATATTATGCTCTAATCGGTGGCCGCGGAAGCCTGGGGGCAGAGGGACAATGTCCTCGCGGGTTATCCAAAGTCCCCATCATCTCCCCATGTTATGTAAACCCCTCCCTCTCCTGTTCTACAATGTTAATGTCCCCAGATGCACCCACAGCTTCCGTGGCCACTCTCCTCTATTTCCTTAAAACAAACCGGAGAGAAAATTCCCCTCTCGAATTGAGTCCCAATTTCTCTAAAATGTCCATAAATTTTTCTATCGATTCGCTATTTTCCATCATCCAGACTCCAATGCAGTCCATTGAAATGTCCTCAAACGCCAAGTTATTAGAATTTAGTTCTTTCCTACAAGATGAACACATTTCTTTCTCAGATGCGAATTTAATCATCTTCCGTTTGATCACGGCGTCTCGAATGACTTGTAAATTGTTCAGGTTAAACGAGACATGTTCCAACCCTGAGCAAACTCCGGACCTGGAAAACATCAAAAGCTTGACACGATCGGGAAGGATATCATCACTGACGGAACTCTGAAGATAAGGGAGGATAAGGCAGCGTCTAATGGCAAAGAGGTGGACCGACATTTTTATCGAGGGCAGTAATAAAAGGTAAGGCTGGTAAGGTATAAATAGCAAAATTTGTAGTGTTCATCAATTTTAAAAACCACTAATTAAAAAACAATGACTATTGCTCAATAGTTTTCTAATTTTATGAATAATTTACATACGGCGGATATTATGTGTCAATCGAAAAGTAAATAAAAAAATATACTAGGTATACTAATTTAATAATTATTTTTATAGGAGAAATTCCAAAATGAAAAACTCATGAACATCTCGGGCTCAGGGGCCATTACAAGATACTGATATTATCAAGACGCCACTGCAAGGCAGCATCTCCTGGGCATCGACATATTTGTAACCTATTTGGGCACGTTGGCTATTGGTAATTAGATAATTTAAAATCTTCTAAAGCAATGTAATGTTTCGTTGTACGGCGGATATTGGAGGTTTATCAAAAAGTATTAATTGTTTTAAAAAAAATTCCTACGTATTAAATTTATGCACTTTAATAATAGTTTTGTTGACGAAAAATTCCAAAATAATTACGAAAAATCATTATAGGTCTCAGTTTTCTTGAATTTGTTCTCCCTGCTCAGGAGGTCCTATTCATTTGTCGCATCAGGGTCAGGTGTCAACAAAGACTACTCGAGGTAATTTATGAAACCTCCAAGATGTAATATTTTAATTACAGTTTTACTTATTCTATAGCGAAATTATATTGTAATTTTCAGCAAACGCAGTCCATTAAAACTAGTGGTAGTTCGCAGAAGATACTGATATTATCGAGCCTCCGTCTTTCGAGCTTGAGAAGACGATGCTCCAAAATTGTACCCACTTTTACATGTTTGTTACTTATTTGGGCGCGCTGGGTTGACAACTCCTGGTAATTAATTTAAAATCTTAATAGTTCGGATATTTTGAGCTGACCTCACTGAGGTGAAAGCTATTTTTGGGCGAAAACATGCTGCAGGTAGCGTTTCATATTTTTCCGCACCTCATCATCATCATCATCCCGTCACCTAATGAATTGATCAGATTTATTTTTTACAGTGTCCTTGCCTGGAGAAGCTCTTATCACTGAGGCCCTTAAACGGTAACGAGCATGACCAACTTTATTTTGCTGGTATGTTATTCAATAAACTTGTTCCTCTTAATCATTTATGTTTGGGTAATTATAAACTTTGTGTTTAGGAGACCACTAGGACTCACGAACACTTTGATCTTAGCCAAAAGGCCGCTGGTCTGACCTTTTTGGGACGGAGGAGCCAAATAAATTTCTAACAGGTTTGTGCATATCCAATTTACACATCTTTTTTTAATTGACATGTACTGTATATCAAGGTAAGGATACGAATTAATTAGTAAGGTGCATTGTTTTCTAATTTTACGAATAATTAGCATACGGCAGATATTAGGCGATTATAGAAAGATTTCGATATTAAAAAAATATCATTCATTTGTACTAAGTCCATAATTGGATTGGAAACCAGCTTATATTAGCTGATATTTGTTGACAGTTGAATAAAGGTTTACAATACAATACAATACAATACTAAACACATTTAAATTTTTATGATTTTAGGTGCGTGTCTGCTAACTTCCCTCCCTTCATTCGGCACGGACCTCTTGTCCAAACTACCACTGGAGCGTGCAGTCAAATAAATTTCAAGCAGATGTACGCCTCCACTTCCTGTGTGCAAGGTATTTATCTAATGGTCTGCATTTTTTAGTTTGAAGATTTCTTGAAACTAGTTCTTATTTTGTATTAATTTTTGCTGTCTAGGCTAGTCAGTCTAGTCCAGGAAATTCTTAACCATTTTTTATTTTTTTTTTGACATAGGTATTTCAACCTTCTTATTCAATTAATAATCATGAGAGTACAAAACAAATCACCAACAATTCACAAACAAATCGTAACCATTTTATGGAAGAATGGTCAGGGTCCTTCAGACACTGATATTATCAAGCTGCCGTCTTCGTTTGCACTATTTGTATGGTCTGGATCTGATGCTCCAAAATTTTACATGAGGTAGTAGGTATGTATTAAACTTCAACTCATTTTCTGTTGAAGCCGGGGGACTCAAGATTTCTCATAGTAAAAGACTCTGAAACTGACACCCTTCGCCAACAGAAAATTTAAGACGTGCTGCGATGGATCTCCTGCGACCCAACGGTTGTGACTTATTTGGACACGCTGGGTTTCCGGCAGCTTCTGGTAATTAATTTAAAGTTTTCCCAATTCGGTAGTGTTTTATTTTAATTTTTTTATGACTTTAACAGGTAACCCATTGATGTTCTGAAATTTGTTTTAGATGATGTTGTAGTCCGGCGTTGTCTTGCCTTAGCTCGCTGAGCTATGCTGAGGTGTAAGCTTTTTTGGGGGGAATCGTGCCGCGGAACGTTAACTGGTATGTTTAACTATAAACTTGGCTTACGATTATTGATTACAAATCTATTGATAGTTATACACTTGTTTGTATTCACGAGACCATCGGGTAGGGTCACTTTGATCTTAGCCAAAAGGCCGCTGGTCTGGCCTTTTTTGGGAAGGAGGAGACAAACAATTTTCTAGCAGATTTGAGCATATCAAATTTACGAGCGATTTTTTCTCAAATTAGAGTTCTCAATGGTCCGGATTGGTCCGGATCAGCCCTGATCCGAAACCGGACCGTGGCCCTAAACCACCAATCCGAGACCGGACCGAAAAATTTCCGCTCGGCCCAGAACCGGACCGAGACCGGACCAGGACCGGACCGGTCAATCCGGGCGGACCGAAAAATGTATCAATCTACTCTAATAAAGTGTTAGTATGATCCCTGGGTCCCTGGGTCCGTCTTCGCAATGCAATTTGCCCCATACAGTAGACAAAGAAGGAAGCGGAGCAACCACTGCATGCATGCCCTGCACTGCATGAATAAATGAATACATGAACATGTACACCCCACATACATACATCACTCATCAATAGTGGTTATCATGATAAGTGATCGTGATAAACACTATTAATTAATTATTTTAGTTTGAGAAACTCTACCCACAGCGAGTGGCATGTCAAATCGAATGTATTTTTGACGCTGAATCCAACGCCGTCAATGGTTTTGACCTGCGAGGCCCCCGTGACCTCGCCGTGACCGTGGTGTCCAAATCTGGCTTATTCGTGATGTCGCATATCAATTCGAATGTATTTTTGACGCTGAATCCGAATCCGTCAATAGCTTGGCGTTAATTGTAGAAGTTAACGGGGTTTATGGAACTTAACGGGAGCGTGAAGCGTGGGAATTTAAATAGTTAGCTATGCAGTTACTCCCACTCGACGGGAATTTAAGTAATTAGCTATTCAACTACTCCCACAGGGGGGAATCAAATTTTACTGTGACCAGGTTAATTAAAATGCAGTATGACTTGGGCAAACCCTCAGTCTGATGTATGTATGTAGTATGACAAAGTCTCCACTGGGAATTATTTAAAATATAGTATGACGGATTTTTCGCTTTGGGCACACCCCCCACTGGAACTCTAGAACCCGGCCTTGGCCGGGCTATACGTTAGTATAGTATACTATCCCATAGTACCTATAGTATCCATAGTCCTATAGTATAAAGACCCATAGTACTGTATAATAATTACCACATATAGTATCTGTATAAATAGTGCATTGAGATTTATACACGTATTATGCATAAATGTCTTATGTAACTATGCATAAGACATATATGGTACATGTATATACAACCAGAATGCCAAATGTTTCAGATTTAAATAGATACATGTAACGGATGAGGTCTCGTAAGTTCTATCGGTCAGTGTGTTTATACACATAATCTCAGGACCAATTTACAATTTCCTTTTTTTAATTTTAAAAATACATTAGCAAGAGTAGGAATTTAAAAAATCCTCCCAAAATCAAGGAGCGTAAAAACTTTAAAACCTAAAAAACGTAATTTTTATGGATCATGTGGAGAACTTTTGAAATCTATGTAAAATAGAATTTGAATACACTGAAAATTCACGAGTTTGGCTGAAAAAATTCAAAAATTTTAGGTCAAACTATTAAAATTTTCTTGTGCGCCAAAATATTCGGGCGGACCGAAAACCGGCGGTCCGGTCAGGTCCTTGAAACCGGACCGAGGACCGGACCGAAACTTTCGGTCCGGATTGGCGGATGGCCCAATCCGGGACCGAACCGTCGGATTTCGGTCCGGTCCGGGCCAACCCGAAGCTCATTGAGAACCCTATCTCAAATTGACACATCCGCTCGTCACCATTGGTATTGTCAAGACGCCACTGCATTGGTAGGCAGCATCTCTCCTGGGACCCATTGTAACTTATTTTGGCACGCTGGGTTGACTACGGCTTCAGGTAATTAATATAAAACTTTCTCAAATTCGTAATGTTATATTTTAAATTTAATTTTTAGGCCGAACCAGGGCTTATGTAATTGTCATGTCCGTCCGTCCGTCCGTCCGTCTGTCTTTCGATAACTCTCGAACGAGTTTACCGATTGACTTGAAATTTTTACCATATGTATATTGGACAAAGTTAGGAAACGAGTTCGAAGATGGGCCAAATCGGTCATGTGGTTGACCGGTGGGGGGTCATCGGAGTGGGTGGGGTTTTATGCACCAAAATTTCAAAATTGTCATAGAAAGCTGAAATTCGGTACAGAGGTTGCTAATGACTCCTAATAGATAAAAATGGTTTCAAGTTGGAAAAATTTTCATCTTGAGTGACCCTAGGAGGTGACCCATACTGATTTTTCAAAATCGTCATATCGAGCTGAAATTTGGTGGAGAGGTTGCTTGTGGGTCCTAATGGAAGAATATGACATGAAATTGGTAAATTTTTTATCTAGAGCGACCCTAGGGGGTCACCCATACCGATTTTTAGAAATTAACATAGAAAGCTGAAATTTGGACCAGAGATCCTTACTGCTTTCTCATGAAATAATATGAACTGAAATATGAACAAAAATTAACTGGAGGGGCTATAGAGGCAACCTCCACTGGGAAGTAGCAAGTGTAAGGGATTGTAAATATTTTTAGAATTTTGAGCCTAGAAAAATGAAGGATTGATGCAACTTAATCCAAGAATTAGTGTATTATGTAAAATAGTAGCACATAATTTTATAGAAAACTACGGACAAACATGGGTTTACTAATCCTGGTTCGGGCTAAGCAAAGCTGTACTGATAGGTTTTTACTTTTGTAGGTAAACTAAGAGAGGCCACACTGATATTGGGACCTATTCTTGATGGATAATGCTGCAAAATTTTACCCGGGTCGTACGGGTAGGTCTTAAACTTAACTAATTTTCTACTTGAGAGAAGCCGTTACACTGACGCTCTTAAACTGATCAATACAATTATTCTACGCTTATTAATTTATTTGTGGGTAAAATTATAATTGTTTGTATTCAGGAGACCATGCACCAGGTACACTTTGATCTTAGCCGAAAGGCCGATAGCCTCTTTGTGGGTCGCTGACGTGAAAACTATTTTTGGAGGAATCGTGCAGCATCGTTCGGGAACACTTTGATCTTAGCCAAAAGGCCGCTGGTCTGGTATTCTTCGGAAGGAGGAGTCAAATACATTTCATAGCAGATTTGTGCACATCAAATTTACACTTCTTTTGAAATACATGCATTTTATACAATTTTTAAAAGCCGAAATTTTGGCAAAATAAAGATATTTAGTTAACAAAACCTGAATTTTAAAAAATTGATTGAAACCAAATTAATAACCGCCGTATGATTTACCAATTCAAATTTAATATATGTAAATACCCATCTCCCCTTTCGAAATACTGTCCAACCAAGACATGCAGAACACCTTCCTCAATCGCTCTCTGAAACGGTGGAACTATTCCCTCCAAGGCCCCAAATCCCCCCTGAATCCCATACCCACACAAACTCATCCCATCCTCTAAACATGCCTTATACAACATTTTAAAAAGGACCGGATTCAGGCTCGAAAGCTGAATAATTTTCTACACCAAATCCTTCTTGACGCTTCTCTTCCAAATTCAAAAGAAGACTACTCATACTCCTCGGCACCAATTTAGAAACTTCCCCATTTCGCATACAACAATGCAAAGTTTGCATTGCAAACGTTACAAAATGCGGAAAATAATTAACCGCCTGAATTTGTACACTGGTTTCATCCCCCCTCGGAAATATCACTTCACGATAAACACTCGACACAATTTGACCGACTAAATTGTCAAAAACTTGTGGGGTTTTGAATTGCTCCCGGAAAACGGGGAGGGGATGCGTCTTGTCCTCAAAAAAGGTAAGCATGACCACCCACGCGAAAAACATTTTGGACAAGACGGGCTCAAATGATGCCATATAATTTGCATAAAGCACTTTATCCGAAATAAGTGGTAACAGCAGTATCGTCACATCTGCCAATAACGCGTCCTGCGCCACAGCTTCCGTGAGATTCCAAAAGCTTTAAAGTATTTCTGTACCAGAGGATTTTTCGCGAGGTGGAGAAACCCAATCCACCACCAAAGTCCTTATTTTGCTCTTAAGGACATCATTTGAAAGAAATTCATTGGTCCTAAGGATATCTTTCCATGGACGACAGTGGTCATAAGGATATCCTTATGAACAACAAATGTCCGCTTTTCGGATGTCGCATTGATATCTTGCCAAGACGTCTTTGGGACTTCCTCTGAATTATATCTTCCAGACATCCTTACATGATTTTTATGGTCGCAGGGTTTAGTGCTTCACAAATTAACACAAGACTGAATTATTTAAATTTTAAGTCATTTTAATTCATTCTCAAAATTAAGATTGTATAAGAAATTGCATAACAATAACATAAAATATTAAATGAATTCTAACTAAATCTCTTCAGCTTCTTCCTCCAATCCTTTGTTCCGCTTTAAAGCCTAAAATTAATAATTAATTACTTTTAGTGGACTTGCAAACCTTTATAATTATGCAATTATAAATATTTAATTAAAGGCTTACAGCTGCCTTAATTCTATCCGTCGCGTGCTGAAACCATGAAGCTCCTTTTGCCTTCATTTCCTTGTCGGTCACTGAACGATTGACAAGCGGATTCTGACGGACCGCATCTATTACAGTGTAAATATTATGTAATACAATTATAATATAACACGAGGATAGTTTTATGATCGTACCAAACAAAACCTGTTTTATCCGGAGCGTTTTGAACGCCTTCTTTGGATTCTTTTTTCGAATTCCGTCCCAGGCAATTTTTTCAGCCAACTCGTTCGTGAAGAGGTACGGAAGAATGCCAGCTATCGTCTCCTTGTAATCCTTTCCGCCAATAATGGCTAGAAAGCCAACCTAGTGAAATACAGAATTTTTTATTATTATGTAATAATCAATTAATATATCATGTACGTAAATTAAATTATATAATTATTACCAATTGGTTATAAAATAATTTAGACGTCATTAATTTTTTCTCCAATTCAGCAAGTTCCTCAAAGTTTTCCACTGGAAATTTAAATTCCGGCCTTGGCGATTTTGAGATGATGGGATTTTTTGAATTTTGTGCCATAACGAAATTACACAATTTCACTAAAACTGATCCTTGTAGGTCGATCTTTTGATGGAGTCGCTCCAGTGAATGAACGACGTAGTCTTCAAATTTAATCGGCGACGATCCTAAATCAAAAAATAATAATATTATTGGACACAAATTAATATTTAAGTTCTCGTATATTAAATAAATGTTATAAATCCAACCCTCTTGCTCCTTATCCCGAGTTCCATCCTTAAAATTTGATCCAATGGCATCCACTAATTCCACAGACCAAATTAGTATATTATATTCAAGATTTTAAATTATTAAGGCTTGTAATCTAATTATGGCTCACATTTGTTCTGTAAAGCAGAAAGACTTCCTTCATCCTCCGAGCTGGAACTTCCTTCTACAAACTGTTTTTTGGATAAGTTGGATTCTTGACGTTGGGCAGCCAATGTTCCACTTCCTTGAGCCAGAGAAAAGTACTGTGTCGGAGTTGATGTCCTTGGAGGCGGAGATGGCTCGGACGACGACACCGGTGAAAGATTAGGCTGTGGCGGACATGGAATAATTTTTCTCGAGGTGACAGGACGATGATTTTCTTCGCTAGTGTCAGAATCACGGTTGTATTTTGTTGTTTTTCGCCTTGGACGATTTCCTTTTTTCTTCTCCGAAGACTCTGCCTCCGACTCCAGGTTTGAAGTGTACACAGCTTTCTTCTCATTTTCCACAGCTGTGGCGAAAGTTCCTGTAAAATTATAAAGTGTTTTATTAAAATTTCTTACTCTAATTGACTAATTTATTTTAATTCCTAATTACATTCACCATTATAATTTTGTTAACTTAAAAATACTTCCACTTACTATATAATTTAATGACCCGAATAATGTGCTTCGCCCATGACATTGGATTCACCCCCTCTTTAATTTTCACTGCTTTTAAAATACGATCGTTAGTTTTGTATGGGGGCCACCAGGTTTCCTCTTCATTTTCAGATATCCAGGTCAGTGGCACTGTCGCAACTTCTTTAGTCGCCATAAATTCCACCACGGCGAATTCCATTTTTATTGATGAAGAGGAAAGACAGCAATAGAAGAGTCGTTAGCAGCTACCGCGATTAATTTATGCAAAATTTCTGTTGTCTCCCAATAATCTAATTCCCCCAGAGTTTTGAATTTGTAAATCCCAAATTCTCTGGAATCAAAAGGAATAGAATAGAGTGCACTTAATTCACAGCAAGGTTTTCCAATCACACACAACTTTTTATCACTTTTTCTAGTAGCAAAATTGAAAACTTTTATAATTTCTCCAGTTCGTAATTTGCAATAACAATTTCGGTTATCAGACGTAAGGAAAGAGGATTTTAAATAGTATTTATTAAATTGAGGAGAATTTAAGTCTTCTAAGAGTGGACCTGCAGTATGGCATGCTTCCTCCGTTGTTGGGCTTGAGTGAATTTTGTCCCGCTCGGAGAGTCGACGGCAGACTTGAGCGAGCGGTCGATTTCCCCCCTTGATGAGATTTTTTAATTGCCCCAGATAATTTTCAAATGGAAATGCACTGTAATTATTTAAGTTCCCAAATACTTTCACATCGTCACACACATGTAAAAGTCCATACACATTGTATGATATGTTTTCTTTTCCATATAATGATGAAAATTGCTCAACAAAATACTTCAGCAAAGTGTTAGCATAACTTCCATGTTTTCTGATTAAGTCATTATTTGATAAAATAAATACTGCGAGATGCAAAGAATTGAAGTGATTCAAGTAAGTTTGTGGAATTTTGTCCTGTAAAACCACCGGCCCCGTATAAAGTACAAACTGACGGAATTCAGTTGCTTTCCATCGAGGAAGTTCAACCAACGATCTTGGTTTCCTATTGAAATCGCCAGGAGTTAAATACCTTTGCTTAACAAGATCCCGTGATAAATTAGTAATAGTAAGTCCGCTGAATTTCATGTATTTTGGCTTGCCGTTTACCCACAAATTCAACAATTTCCTGACAACACCGAGGCAAATTAAATGCATAAACTCAAAAGGGACATCATTCACCAAGTCCACGTTAATTTCAGTTAAAATTGTAGTTCCGCGATGATGGTCTTCATCATTTTGTTGCAGAAAACTTTGTTGACTTCGTTTCGTGACGACTTTGCTTGAAAATACAACCCGATTTTCATACCTTTCGCCGGTTTGGGTACACTTACTGCACGACGAAAATCCAGAATGATATTTTGTGCAAGTTATGAATGCACGAGCCGGAGCGTCACAAATAAATCCTTTCACTTTAAATTTGATAACTACCCCATGATAGGAATAACCATGTCGCTCTAATGCTTTGACCTCAGCCACAAAATCTTTCAGAAAGTCGTTTTGATCCTCTGGTTTTCCTCCCCCATGATACACTCCCACACAAAATGGTTTCTTAGCTGCATCACCCGACTCTAAACAACATAGAATCGGCCAAAATTCACTTTTGCTACTTTTAGAGACAGGAATACCATCAATATTTATCAATACTCCAATCTCGTCGGGAATAAAATTAAGTTTCTGAATCACTGTTTGCAATCCGATGTCAAATCCCAGATGAACGTACTTTCCTGGCTTGACTGTGCGATATTTGAAACTTCTTACTGTTTTTAGTAAAGCTCTTGAATCAAGTGGAAAATTCTCAAAACATTTATGAGCTTGTAACAATTTAAGTAATTCACTCGTGGCAATTTGTGAAATATTATTAGTAACGGACCATATTTTTAAACGTTCTTTAAGATTGTCTACCTCACTTCCGCTTAAAATATCACTTGAATCGTAAAGTTCGTTTGCTCTTTTACATCTTGAAGATTCACTAATGGTTTCAAAATTATTGTACACTTCACATGGGGACGGTGAATTGAAAGAAACTTGGGAATTGACGACTTGATGTGCTTGATTGTATCGCATACAATGTAAAACTTTAGTCACTCGTTGATTAATTTTGCGTCTTAATTGACGTTTACTTAAGTTAGAAATAACTTTTGGCATTTTGTATAAAAACGGCAAAGTTTTTACACAGAAATACGCAGAAATATGAGTTGAAATAAATTTGCCGCCGCATTGATACTCGCGTAATTTGAGATTAACCTGACGACACGTCAACAAGACCTCAGTAAGACGAGTAAAAAAAGACAACCTCAATTCATCAGGTATAGGATATCTTGAGGATGAATAATCAAGGACATCATATTTTGGTAATCCTACAGTTGTCGTTTGGATAACCTAGTGGCGACATGTCAGGCCGGGGACGTTTGAGAGCAAATCAAGATATCTTAAGGAGCTTTGTGGTGGATTGGGAAGTTACAAAATTCAGAGATATCGTTATCATTATCAGACTTATCCAGGCTCCACACATTTTAATATCGGACCACAAACACTTATCATGCTTTCTTCCAAGTAATACTTGGCCAAGTCTTTGTAAATTTTTTCAAACTTTTGTTTACACCTTTTCAAAACCGAATCATGATTTGGATTTTTGGGGATACCCACGCCGCAAAGAAAATCAGCAGACCCGCAATTTTACGATTGATTTAACGATTTACTGAAAATGACGCAAATATCGCCGCTGAGTAGTTAAACTGCGCGGCGCCGCGGCCGATATTGACATCGGCGTGGAGTTCTACTTCAGAAAGCCTTGGAAAATTACGCCACACAATAAATACATTGTTTTTATAGCAAAACCAATGAACAAGTCCAACTTCGGATGAGCTAATAAAATATTTTATTATTTTGTTTATTCATGAACGTATATTGTGGTCAATAGATTAGAACTCGATAAGATGGCACTTTTGACAAAATATTTTTGCTCAATTTAAATACCAATAAGGTGTTTACTTTGTACCTGTTTGTTGAGTACCTAGCATTAGGACAAGGTTCCATTAGTTAGGACAGAACTAAAGAAAAAAAAGATCCGGTTACCCATAATTAATCCGTGAAGTCATCTCTAATTTAGTTCATAATGGGTACCACGATCAAAAGGCACTATATAGGCACATCCCTCCTGCCAGTGGCCGCGGAACTCGTGGCGACATGTGGGGACATTGCCATTGTAGGATAGGGGAGAGAAAGGTTTATTTAAAGGTTGTCAGTCCCACGCTTCCGCGGCCACTGCCTCCTTAACGAATGATACTCAAACGTGACACATTGTACAGATTCATCACTCGCTATATTGAGAGTAATAATTTAATGCGATTTATTCAGTAGTCGTTATCCCCTCGATCCAGAAATCTGGTAGTGATTGGTCAAGATTTCTTGACCAATCCTGAAAACCACGAACCGTGAACTTTTTGAGTCAAGAATTTCACGATTCGTGATTTTCAAGATTATCTATTTTGTCAAGACTGATGATGTAATGCTTGATAAAATCGAATTGTTTGGCGTTTGGCTATTGCCAGTTTGATTGCTAACCAGTGAGCCAGGTTAGCGTGTGTGAAAAGTAGTTAGGACCAGTGGCCGCGGAAGCGTGGGACAGAGGGACAATGTCCCCACGGGTATTCGACGTCCCCATCATCTCCCCATGTTATATAAACCCCTCCCTCCCTCATCCTACTATCTTGACGTCCCCACATGTCCCCACGGCTTCCGCGGCCACTGGTTGGGACTTTGGGACCTCGTGTACTTCGATCGGATTACGGGCTGGCTATAATTACCGGTTTGGTTAGGTTAGGTTAAGATTTACTACCTTATTAAGGTTCCTATTTAATGTGTTTCCAAATATTTTATTGGTTAAAAGGCGTATTCAATTAGATTGCACGTGATATCGTTTTAATGAGCAGGTGTGTCCCGCAATCACACGTTACATTTATCTATCGAACATTGGCCGCGGAAGTGGTCGCGTAAGGGGTACAGAGGGACAATGTCCTCACACTTATTATTCGATGTCCACATCTTACATAAACCCTTCCCTCCCTCCCCTCCCCTATCCTACAATGCTAATGTCCCCAAGGGTCCCCAAGGGTCCCCACGGGTTCCGCGGCCACTGCTAGTGTGAAAGGTCCATCTGACCAGTTAATAGTGCTGACCTGCTGCGCATTTTTGTTGATCAAGTTCAAGTTTTTTGTGTATTCACAGTGCACGTTTTATAGCATTATACATTTGCATATGGATTTACTTGGAAGAAAAAAAAATTTAAAAAAATAAGTAACATGTCAATTATCGCACGACATCTCCAGGATTTATTCATGCATGCAATTTCACGTCAAAAGAAGCACACGTTTGAGCACCGTAGGATGACGAGAGGGTTGATTAGCATATTTTTAAGATGTTATGGAATCGGTGGTACTTTTCCATCTCTGAACCAAACCTCCCCTCCCCTCGAACAACTGATGAAGCTTAATTCGTTGTTTATAGATATTAGTATTTAATGCCCCTGCTCCTCCCTACTTAAATAGCTCACAGACCAGGGCGCTGTACTCTCAGTTCACTTTAAACTTTTCGCAGAGAACGATCGAGCAGAAATTACAATAATAATTGGCGCTATGGGCTCATTTGTAGCAGCATTTTTGGTCCTTTTGTCCATTTCTTGTTGGGACAAGGGGATCGTTGAGGCAAGCGTCGCAGGGGAAAAGGATCTCTCACTCTCCACTGGGGAAAAACACGCTCTAGACAAGGTGGGTTTGAAGCAGTGGAACAATTAATGTGTAATTGATCATTAATTAAAATTTTAATCGCATCGTTTTTTTACCTTATGTTCAGTTTAAAACATTGATGGAGGCCGTGCTGTTTGATGACCGGTTGAAAAAGGAAGCTTATCTTGTTCGCTGGTTGAGAGGTTCAATACTAGTTCAAATATTTAAATGCCAATAAATAAATTCAGTCGCACTTTAACAGTTTCTCGTTCCATCGGTTTTCAGCATCTCGGTTTGATATCAAGAAGGCAGAGAAAATGCTGTTAGAGGTACCACATCACCAAATTCAAAAATATTCTTCGAAATCTGAGCACAATTTGTTTCCTCTTTTACCAGAACTTGCGATGGCGAGATGAGTTTCAAATGGACACGATTCACGACGAAGACTGGTCAGAATTCCAGGAGAGGTTTCCCTACGAGGTTTCATTCGATAAGGAATTCCAACCAGGTTAAACCCATAAATATAAATTATGCAATGCTACGATCAGTAGCGGCGGAAGCGTGGGGGTTATTCGATGTCCCCATCATCTGCACATGCTATATCTCCCCCTTCCTAAGATGTAAATTTTCCCAGATGTCCCCACGGCTTACACTCCACTGCACACATTGGTACTAATTTTGGTTACTTTTTTTACAGTGATCACAAGCCACATGGGACAGTGGGACTTTCGTCAGGTAATCCTGGCTGGAAAACGGCATCAAATGCTGCGCTACATCTTCAAAATGTTGGACGACATAGACCGCGCTATTCAGCGGCAGCAGGACGAGGGGAAAATGGTCACAAGAGGGAGCCACGTCTCAAACCTCAAAGGATACAATTTAAGGCAGCATAGTTGCGTCCAATGTATGTCATAATTTCATCCAGCTCAATTTTATGGCTTGCTTTTTTAAAATAAGAGACCCCCTGCCATAAACTTATCATATAAAAATGTCTCTTATCCAAAAAATCAAACCATAGTCAAACCATTTCATTCATGTGAAGGTATCCCGCTCTACCTGGAGATGATCCAGGCCCTCGATAGCTATTATCCCGCCCTGTACGATAAAATGGTCCTCGTGAACGGTATACCCCCCGGCAAATAATTTTATGTGATTATATAATTGCCTAATTAAACGATAATCCACAGTTCCCTCCGTGTTCGAGGCCATGCTCAACATCATGAAGCAAGCCATGACCCCTGACACTGGAAAAAGGATACAGGTTTTTGGAACGAGTCAGCAAAAGTGGCAAAACTATCTTTTGGAATGGATCGACCGAGACGAGCTGCCCGTCGACTTTGGAGGAAATAAGATCACTCGGTCCACAAATGACTTTTGAGGTCACATTTTCCATCAAAAATCGTTATGCTCACTTCGAAATAATTAGTTCCACATTCTGGCATTTACAATTTATTCTATTCATGTAATTCGACATACTCGCATCTCTATATAGTAGAGGCTCTCTACTTATTGTGACTTGAGGTGTATAATAGCATTTACTGAGATGTTTCGCCATCCCAATTACGTGTAATTCTAACGATTTATTCGCATCCGTATTTATGTAATATTGCTTTATTGGCTCAATTAGTAGCACATTCAAATAAATGCTCTATGAAATGAAACGAAAATTATCTATTATTCTACGCGTTTGCTGGGAAAGCGGGGGAAGTTGTTGAACTTGTTCGAAAATTTTGAAAGTTTGCCAGAATTTTTGAGCATCTTTATGAAATTTTGGAACATTTTTCGAGAAGGTTCTTAATACTATTTTGCTTTTTGAAAATCATTTTGAATAACTTGATGCCTCAATTCCGATGTTTCTTTTTGAAATTATTTTATTTTAATTTTCGAAATTATTTTGTGCATGCAGGGTGCATAAAAATGCACAAAAATGCATAAAAACGCTAAAAAATGCACAAAAATGCATAAAAATCACAGAAACGAAATTTATGCAGGTAATTTCATATTTTAAAGAAATTTTATACTTTGTTACCCTCCAAAATGGGAGTTAGATTCGCTTATCTAAACTTATATACTGGTTTGAAACCTTACCTATGCATGTGTGTATCCATTATTGTTGCGATTAATTAAAACTTATTTAGAATTTGGTACGCATATCGAATAACATGGAATTATTACTCCCCAAATAAGTGACAAATATTTATTTTGTTCATTCATTTTCAAAACTTTCGTTCATTTTTCGTATTGAACAATGAAAAATTGTTTTACACTAAACTACTAAAATGATGAAGAAGAGATAATACAATAGCACAACGACTTTTCAATTAATCGAATGTTTAGAAAAACGGCATTATTTGAATATTATTTGCACGTAAATGATTTTCGTGCATTTTCGTGCATTTTCATGCACTTTTCTGGATTTTTAATGGGTGTCATTTCACATTAAAAAACATTTTTATGCACTAATTTCGTATAGGTGTTTTTTAACAGCAGAAACACTGCTCAATTCGCTAGTTAATATGACGATGACATTTACATGCATATGTATTTTATATCTTGAAAGGGTTATCAAGCAGAAATAAATTATTATTATTATCATATTATTATTTGCATATAATGACTCTTTCCATGATGTCATTTTAAGCATTGCTAGCTCATACATACATATATGGCTTAACTCGTAGTGACTGTACAGAAACGATGCTTAAAGTTTGAGTTAGGGAACAGTCTGGGCATCCTAATGAGCGAGTTGACTTTTTCTCCTCGCCACTTACCAGTAATGTAAATGATTTTTGTCACTAAGACTTCTAATTTGCAGCTAATACAAAATGGATTGATTTCGTTTTGGTGGCAATAAATTCCCAAGTTTGTGCTTTACAATTGCCATGTTGCATAAATTCCATAATAAATCTCGGTGAAAAGTATTGGACTGAAACATGATATGAGTCCATGTTTCAGTCCAATACTTTTCACCGAGATTTATTATGGAATTTATGCAACATGGCAATTGTAAAGCACAAACTTGGGAATTTATTGCCACCAAAACGAAATCAATCCATTTTGTATTAGCTGCAAATTAGAAGTTTTAGTCGAAATTTTTCTCCTTTTCTGGTTCGCGATGCCCCGTTTGGAGAGTGGGAACGGTCACTCTCAAAACCCAAAGCAACTTTATACATGCAACTGCCTGCATTGTTTACATGAAAATCAGCTGCTCTCTTCGCCCCGCCCCCCCCCCCCCCCTCATTAGCAAAAAATCTCTCGGCACACAAGGAGACGCAACCGTCGTCTCTGTCTTTTAGTTATGAGATTTTTTCAACGTATATGCCTTCTTAAATAAAATATTGTGATACTTCTCGTGCGTCAATATTATTATCCGTTACAGATCACTAATTTAGCGGTCATTGTCGCAGCCACTTATGCCGTGTGTACATACATCCATCTTATCTCTGCTACCTAATAAAACAACGTTTTCTGCTTAATAATCTGCAATGCAATGCACATCTTATCTGACAATTAAACGGAGATAAAACACAAAGCAATTAATGCCTCTGGATACATGTGCTTGTTTCTACCTGGATAACATGATGACAAATAGCAATATTTACCTAAATATTACGATACGATACGTGTCATTTTTTGCACGTTCGTACATATGCAAGTAGTAAAAGTAAGTATGCATCATGCCAATTCGATCATATACTTATGCACCATATTCTGACGACTTGTCTGACAAAACACAATCAAGGTCAGTGAGGTTTGCTGCCTGCTAAAAGTTTACCTCATATAATAAGTTAGCCAGTACAGTACAGATGATGATATGAAAAAGATTGGCCAGTAAAACTAACTATTGTAACACAGCGTAATCAGTTTGGGTCGAGTTCTCGTAGAAAATTGCGATTCTTCGTCCGTATTTCCGAGCGAGTTTGTGTGGATTGCATAACACACAAAGAAAGATAGAGAAGGGCATCAATAACAAGTTGCAAGTTAAACCGGAATCCGTATGCGAAGAAGTAAAGAAAATCCAGAAGTTGCTCAGTTTTTACGTAAAAAAAATATTTAGATAGAAAATAAAAGACAAGACAAGATTTCTTTAATACTGGATTAATTCCTGAGCCAAACACATTTTGATAAGGTAGGTTTAAAGTTTAAGAATTCTGCATTTGCAAATAGTGACAAATTAAATGGTAGAATTAAACTAGGATTAACTAACGTAGCGTGAATAAAGTCCTTTGTTTCTAGTAGATTTGTTGACATTACGTAATTCTCGTACCGCATACTAAACTTGATGTAAGCTCTATAAATACATTAGCAGTGGTGCTAAATAAATGCAAAGTCGTATGTGTGTATGGGATATATGTTGCCCTATTAGTGCATGTACATATATACATAACGTGTATGTATGTAGGTAAATAGAGGAGATTTGCAAGTTACTCAGTCGATTTGCAGAAAATTCCAACTTTCTTTCAGAGCATTTTCGCATTTCACAGACGACTCTTCGCCAGATCACATCATCATTTTGCAGACTAAATTAATAACTTGTGTAATTTAGTTAAATGACTGTACATTTAAGACTAATTGCACCATTTCTATTTTAATAAATTAGGTTGATTCGCTGCCAACTACAATCTGGAACTTGTGTTATGTAGTGAAGTGAATTTACTGAATATTCTGTCTGAAAGTGCGATTTGAAGGATTGTTACATAACAATTGCATAAGTGCCCAAAATAAGTTCCCAAAAATGTCGAATCCTGACGGGGAGGGGGAGCTGCATCACGTCGAGAAATCGTCAGTGACCGTCGTCGCTCCAGGTGAAACTACGTTCAAGGCGATCGGACCGAGACCAATTGGACAAAAGAAAAAATACAAATTTGTCGAACCACCCGGTGTGACGACGTGGATTACGTCCTTTGTGAAAAAGTGTCTTGTTTGCGGTCTTGTCTACACGTTAGGATATTTCCAGGTAAGCAACCACTTTTATTTTAAGATAAGCGAATTTATGAACTTGCATAACTTGTTGTCTATATATTCGTAGGTTTCGGTAGGTTGGTTAGTGGGGCCAATTGTCCTTTTAGTGGTCAGAGATCAATGGAGGCGTCACCACGATGCGCAACGGGCGTTAGCGGTGAGTTAGGTTTTATGTAAATGAAACCGCTATGAACAGCCCCCTTAATTCGCTTATTACTCGGTTTTTTAGGCTGCATCCGCCCGTGGCGACGAGAGAGAAATTGTGCTTGCCCGTAAGTGTAGTAATCTGATTGTTCGAAAACTGGAGCGTTTTGTAAGTTTTTTTGCGGTTTGCTGATTTACAGGTCTTGGCGACAATTTGCCTTCTTGGGTAATTTTTCCCGATGTTGAACGAGCAGAATGGCTTAATCTCATTCTAAAGTATAAAATTGATCAGTAGAACAAAACAAAAAGAAAATTATGTACATCTTAATAGAAATTTTGTATATGTAGACAATTATGGCCACGAATCAACCACTACACGTACGACATGATCATCCAATCCATTGAGCCTGGACTTCGTGAAACTCTTTCCAACAGTTACAAATTAGGATCGTTTCGTTTCGAAAAAGTAATTCTTGGCGATACTCCATTACGAATTCGTGGAGTGAAAGTTTACGATGAAAAGAAAACGGACAGGAACGAGATTATTATGGATTTGGATGTGAGCATACTTATTTTATGTTATCGACATATGTGTGTGTACTTCTGCATAATTAACATATTTTCTGAACTTATCATGTCAGGTCATTTACGCTGGAGGTAAGAATAAGATAACTAAAACCCTTCTCTTTTTAGTCGCTAATTAATAATTGCTCTTACAGATTGCGACTTCAGATTTTCCGTGGCTAAAATTCATGCCGGCATAAAAGACTTACAGGTATGTACAATGCGACGAACAAAATACTAAAATTTCACAAATTTAGTAAAATTCCTCCAAATTTCCTAAAATCATGCTCTACTCTTCACAGCTTAGCGGAACATTACGACTCGTCATGAAACCTTTGATCAATCAAATGCCCATGATTGGAGGTGTGCAATATTTTTTTTTGAATCCACCATCCTTGGAATTTAACTTAATCGGAGTTGCCGACGTCTTCGATATGCCCGGATTGTCCGATTTGATTAGAAGAATTGTTTCCGAGCAAATTAGTAACATGTACGTAAGCCATGCAACCTTTCATAAAACAAACTCTGTAAAATAATCCGGATTATACTTGTTTACCCATTTTTTCATAACAATGCATGTTTACTTTATCCAGGTGCGTCTTGCCGAATAAAATGTTTATTCAGTTGAGTGATGCCGTCAACGCACGTGAAACTTGTGCCATGCAGCCTCAAGGAGTCGTCAGAATATGCGCTATTGGTATTATTAAGTAAAACTATTGTTGGTTTGGTACACAAAAGTAAAACGTTTCTAATTTACAGAGGCTCGAAATTTGATGAAAATGGATGTAAGTATTTATTACCTGACTGATACATAAAATAAAATATGATTACAAAGGGTATAAAAAATGACTATGTACATAATTTATCACAAGGTCGGAGTATTAGGAATGGGAAAGAGTGATCCATACATCATTTTGAGTGTCGGAGCGCAACAATATCGATCAAAAACGATAAATAACACCGTCAATCCTAAATGGGAGTATTATTGTGAGGTGAATTTTGACAGGCTGCTGAGTGAAACACATTTTATTTAACCCATAATTTAAGATAAATTCACACAGTATTTTTTAATTTGCAGATGCTCGTTGAGGAATTAGGGCAAAAACTAAATGTGGTTTTGTACGACCACGATGATGCGCCTAGAGCTGATGAATTCCTTGGCAGGTGATTGAAAAAAATGAAATATAGCTCACGGCGATGAAAATATTATAATGTTTCTTCCTTTTTTCACTTCGTATAAAAAGTCGTATAGATAGAACATGCTTTCTAATTAAATAGTTAATAATAGCCTTTGTGTACTATTCCTTAAATCCTGTCCAAGATAAATTAACAATTATGCAAATTATGCGACGATACTAATAATTAACTATACCTAACTATTATTACATGTTTTTCATACGAGATACCTTACAAAATTCGTATTTCACCTTCCATAAATATATATTTTTTTAATTTTGTTTACTTTGTTCCTGAAATTTACTATGATATTTAAGCATGGTTTTATTTTATAGTGGTTGCTTGCATGTGTGAAAATTGTGTAATACTTGATGAACAAATTAACAATCAAAGTAATTTGCATTTGCAGATGTTCCGTGGATTTGAGCGTGGTCAGCCGTGAGAAAACGATGGACTTGTGGTTGGATCTTGAAAATGTGAAGAAAGGTCAAGTTCACTTGAAATTGGAATGGCTTGGATTTACCGAAAATCCCGTCGATTTGAAAGAGTCCCTCGTGGACGCCCAAATTCATGGTAAAGAATTTTTGCAAACTTGTTGATCATTCCAGTACGAATGCCACCCCCAAATATCGTAAAAAATGCAGTGAAAGCGCCGATGCCGCTTTGCATATTTGCTCATCGGTGGTTCATGTAAAAGAGAAAGAACATGTGCAACTATATTGAATATACATAATTTGTCTTGCAGGTCTTGCATCTTGCATGTTAACGGTGAAGCTGGATTCTGCAAAAAATCTTCCGGTATGGTTTCTACATAAATTAGATTTTCTTCGAGACTTTCCAGAAATTACAACTAAATATTCACCTCAGCACCTCATTCACTTTATTTATTGGTCAATCTCACGAGAGCACATACATATTTATCTACTTTATTCATGCCTTCCTGCAACTTTAAGCGTACATATTTTTATGCTAGGTCGCAAATAATGTATACCTACCGATGCTCATCTTCACTTTTGTGAACAGCAGCTGAAATTGATTTTTTACAAATTTGTTTCTATTTATGCTACTAACCCTTTTTAGTTGCAAATTTTGCAGTTGTAGTATTTTTAGTGAGTACGTGTAACTAAAGGAATTTCCGTACATACTTACATATTAGTAGTGGTTGTGATTGCTTTATTTCCTTTAATTTTTTTTGCATTGTTGAATCGTCGGATTGTTGTGATAATATGAATCCACATCCGTTAATTGTTGTAGTTTAATTGTTGTGACATTTGTAGCCAGAAATGTGTGGCAATTCACATGAATAATCCAGAGTCGTACTAACAATTTGACTTTAGATCAAATAACTATGCATAGCTTTCTCCCATAGACTTTCTCCTAGATAGATTTTAAAACTTGTGTATGTATGTAGGACTTAATAACGCATTTTTTATAAATTTTCTATCAAAAAAATTATTACCAACACCTTCGAAGCTCTGTGTATCTATAATGTAGGCTCTCGTGAAAAAGGGTGGCACTGGATTCGGTAAACCCCGGGTAAGTCGGGCTGTTAACAACTTACCAATAATTTCCTTTCCTACTTATCAAATCCATTCTGTTACTTAATCAAAAGCTTTCTTTTATGGTCGGGACGAGAAAAAAATGAATGTGATTGCAAAAAAGTGCTGCTGGCCTGGGGGGTAGTGGGGGTGGCCTGCTGTGAAAGCGATGAATCCGCTTTGCATATTTGCTCGACTGGTGGTTTACATATAAAAGAGAAAGGAGACAATAAGGGTTCTGTGTAAAAATATATTTCTGTAATTTATAATTTGACTTATCATCATCGTATGTACATAGATATTTTTTCTATTTGTATAAATACACCTTAAAAATACTCTCAGCGTTGGAGTGAGGAACTCATTGGAGGAACTGCCTGGATTGTTGGTGAAAGTTTTTCATGCTTTATACTTTTCGGGGCTTGGCTTAAACCTAAACATTTTCTGCACATAGTGGAAGTCATGCAAAAAAATGTGAACTATATACATATTCACAGCTACATACACCTACATACATACGTTTGTATGCAAAGCTTAATGGGTTGTATATCTGAATGGTATTTGGTGTGATAAATGCTGCATCGTGTGGTTGTTTGTGAAACATGACATGCTTATTTCTGTTAGTAAATCACTTATATAAAATGTCCATTGACACGTTATTGTACAGTTCAAACCAAAAAGTACATATCTAAAATCCCACGATTTCCATGTAATATTTGCTTTACTTTCTCGCTAAATAATTCTATCCCCCATGTCAATTTCAGCTCGTCAAGGAAGGCAGCAAGCCCGACCCGTACGCCATCCTTTCCGTTGGAAAGGTTCAACACGAATCGGTCACCCTGGACAAAACTGTGGACCCCGTTTTCGAAGAAACTATGCACTTCCTCGTCCGCAACCCCCTCACGGACACGCTCCTCGTCAAAATCATGGACAAGAAAACAAACACGGAGCTCGGCTCGTTCAAACAATGTCTTGACGCCGTTTACGGTCGACCGGAAATGAAAATGCGCAAGCAAAACTTTACCCTCAATACGAAAAGTGAAGCTAAAGTGAATATGAGCATGTCCATTCAAGTGCTAAAACTTGGAGCGGCCGCACTCGGAGAAAAGTTAAGTATGGAAGAGGACGAAACGGATGATGAATTACAGCAACAACCACGTCCCGGAAGTTCTTCGTCCGAGGCGACGACGGCAAATGTGGAGCGATCAAATTCCAACATTTCTTCCTCCGATCAGAATAACAAAACGATGATAAATGACGACGTTTCTGAAGGAAGTGGATATTCCGGTGGTGAAAGTAGAGAATCGTTCATCCGGAAAGATGAGGGCAAACCGCTCCTCGCCGCGTCCCGGTCGCTCGATAAGCCGGAAGACGATAAAGGAATGAAAGTCAGACTGACGATTAGATACAGCCAAACGTCTCAACAGTTGGTGGTTGTCGTGCACAGCGTTACAAACGTTCCGATCGAGACTTCCGGAGAATTGCCGGATCCCTACGTGAAATTGTACGTGTTACCCGAACGGAACAAGAAACATAAGACGGAGGCGCAGAAGGACAATTGCAATCCGTTGTACGATGAAAGATTCGAATTTCCAATTATCGACCTTCGTGGAAAAACGCTGGAGGTTACGGTGTGTGACAAAAAGTTTATTAGGAGCTCGCCCAAGTTTGGAGACGTACTCATTCCCTTGGAAGAGTTTCAACTTGGCACTGCGGTCACGAACTGGTATCCGTTAACGCCTTGAAAAGGTTATAATTGCTGATATTTAATATTATTAGCGATATTATTGCAAGTTGCAATTTACGACAGATTTAAAGCTTTAAAATCTCTTCGGAGAGATTATTCATTACCACAAAAAAGGTCAATACTGTACCCTTTCAAATATTGTTTTGCCATACTCGTCTTTGTCTCATTAATTACATAATTACCATGCAAAAAAGTACTACTGCAGAGTTACTTGCATTACTTATTAATTTGTACATATACATTCTTTTCTATCGGGCTATTTCATTTATTTTGCCAGCTTTAAGATACTAAAAGTCCGAAATTATGAGTACTTTTTAAAGAAAAAAAATATATGCATAATGAACTTATTACCTGATCTTGGTGCTCTTAGAATAAAGTGCTTAAAAGAACTGTAACCTAACCTCTCTGAAACGGAAATAATGGTGGAAATATATACAAGTAATATGTACTACTAAAAAATCTCGGTATTATAATATGAGTATTTATTTATAGATAGAAATTAATTTGCCTAAAGTAGTTGTGTAGCTAACCCGAGTAATTAATTAATAATTTGTCAATGTGAATAAAGTCTGATGATATATGAATACATGAAAATATCCGTTTTGCGTACATATATTTATTAAACTTAATTCAGTCAGTTTTTTTTGTTAAAAGGAATAATACGTAATAACAATAACAAGTCTGTCAGTAGGATAAGTAATAGGTAACTTTGGGATCTGAGATTGCATTGCATTGCTTTTATGGATTGGGTGATTTTCTTTTACTCGTTCGATTGTTTTTATAAATGGTGCACTCCAGTCGTTGAAGAACTCGGTAACAATTGTTTGGTTGAACTAGATGATGTAAACGAGTCTCCGCTGGATCTTGTTGATGTGGAATTTGCCGTTCCGGGGTTGGACAGCCTACAATTTGGAGTGCTTGGTAATGAAGTTGGCACCGTTTTGTTTCCAAATCGACCAAAATGATGTTCTGGACTGCTCTGAACGGCTCCCCCATCCGTTATTCGCTTTGGAGTACTTTGTGCCGATTCGGATACGTGTCTCCGATCTCCAGAGAGCATTCGATGTGCAAATACCTACAAATTAATGTACAAAAAGAAGTTCTCCATTATTACATAATAGCTAAGCATATATGTATGTATCTACATTACTTAATACATTACATTTCTGCGGGTTCTGGTTGTATCCTCCTCATCAGAAAATTCGTCAATGGCTGCAATCATGAGCACATTTGTGCCATGTACAGGACTACTTTCAATGCTTTGTAATTGCATTTCTTCATCGTCTGGTTTTGACGACGTTCCTGCCCCGCGAGATAAAAGTTTCTCTTCATATCTGGAATTTAAAATGGTGGAATCCAGCGTGTCCCCAAATTCTTCAAGGTCTGGAAGTGTCTCTGCAGCCTCACTAAAATGTGCTTCATCTTCTGGATCACTAGTTACAGGGGTTTTTGCATCGGAACTACTTTTCGACAATTTTGCTGATGACTTTCGTGAAGATTCGTGTATTACAGTAATCGGGCTTTCTGATCGGGTCTTTTCATCGTCACTTTTTGTTGTTGAAGTCGTGGTCGTCGCAATGTCTGAATTTGTAGAAGATGGGGCGACCATGACGGTCATAGCTATCGGTCTCAGTTCCGTCCCTTCAGTAGAGTCGTTTAATGCTGCTCGTGCAGCTTCTTGTCTATGAAGGGATGCTGCAGCCATGGTGAGGTCGGATGGCTGGTAAGGTCCGTTAAGAGCCTCCAAAAGGGGGATAACTTCATATCCAGGTATAGCGTTCATGTGTATGACTGGCATCTACGTATCAGTAAATTGGGGATCATATATTTATTTTTTGAAGTTCATATGAGATTAAGTATGAAATGAATGATTACCTCGGGGGGTAGTGCTGAATATTCAATATTCAACGGTGGTATTCTGTAGACTGCACGGATTTGTAGCTATAAAATAATTATTGTATAATTAATTACCTAGTTTAATGAAATAAAGAATGTTTAAAATTACCAGAGCACGAAATGGGGCACGACATATTGGACAGTTACTCGCCTATTAAAGTATCAGAAAATGGTAATTATTATTATATATTTACTACATGAGTTTTATGCTAAACTTTTGGCGTATCTTGCCTGATAGCGTAGGCTGTCTGCGCATGCATGACACAAACATAGGTGACGACACGGCAATATCAAAGTATCTCTGCGAACACACAATAATTTATAAGCATTTGTGGTAGAAATATGGAGGAAAATTATGTACCTGCTGTCTGACATGCAAATAACGCATTCCGCTGACGTCTCCGCGTCGGAATCATCTTCATCAAATTTTCTGGACGCATTCTTGTTCTCAATACCATAAATTTCTTGCAAAAGATATACAAGTCCATCCACAAAAAGCTGCAAGTTTGCGGAATAAAAAAAAGTTATTTGGTTGAATGAAAAAACAAGACAACGACGATCTTGATGATGGACAAAGCATTTCGTTTTCTAATATTGGTCGATACCTTTTGTTTCAAGGGCTTTATTGAGTAAGATCCGTCCGAGTATTTGTCCACTGTTGCAGTTGTGGTATGAGATTGACGAGGTTCTGTAATTATCATGAGTTACTGATTGAACAACAATAGGAGGATATGTACGCATAAATTGGCGATTAACAAATAGGTATAAATTTACCATCCCCTTCTAACGCAATACACTGGATGACCACGGGATAAAGTTCCTTTTCAGAATCAAACAACAAGTCTTGTTCAGGAAATTCCGCAGGGTGGAAAACGTGCTCAGAGTTTATGTAAACTTGATTGGATCCTGCCTTGAATTTGATAGGTTCGGAACACATTTTTGGATGTTTAGGTCGATAACTAGAAATTAAATTTTGCAGTTTGTTAATTTTAATACGTAATTAAAGTAGATTTAACTTGCTGAAGACTTACTACACTCCATTGCTTGTTACTTCTTCAACACAGAAATATAAAATTGTTATTTCGCAACGACAATCGGCATCGAATACGAATTCAACGGTACAATCAACAATGGGTTTTTTGACTGGGGAAGTTGGTGGTGGGTCGCTAGTTGTTGGCGATTGTTGCTGTGGTTGAACTTTGACAAATTTTAGCGTCTCTTTTCGTATGTTGATTAAAGCCTTTAACGTTTTTGTGGGCTCATTCGACTGTGGCGCAGGGTAGGGGAACTGTTAAAAAAATACTTTAAATTATTGAGTGATCTGCAATTCTTGCTGTTGGAATTGAACTGAAACTTGACATTTTCTACATGCAAAATTAGGAACCAATTTTTAGATATCGATCAAAAATTTCGCAAAAAAAATCTTAGTGAAGATGTATGATGAAGACGCCAAAATATATTTGTGTGCACAATTGCACATTATCAATATGATCAGATCAGATTCAAATCGGGCAAAAAAATGCATTTCTAAGCTAAAAGCTTTATAGAATATTGAAGATATGTAATATAAAATCAATTTTTCAAGTTTTTCATAAATATTCATATTCGCCCTAGGAAAGTTACAACTTTTGCTTATACTCAAGTAATAATTTGGCTAAAAATGTCGTATTTTTAGCAAGATTAAAATTAACTGGAATTATTTACCGGAACTGGTTTACTCCCCAAGAAGTTGAGGTCAGTGTTATCTCCAAACAAGTATTGTTCTGGTTGAGGCGTTTCAAATCGTTCCCCACCCATGATGAAGTGAGTCCCAAAGTAATTTCCTAAACAGAAACGTATAAATAAATGAATAATTCGATATTTATGCTTTAAAATATGTATTTCAAACCCAACCTGTCTTTGATGGATATCTAAAAGCAGTGGGTGGACTTTCTACTTCACTGTTCTCACTGTTTGGTCTGCTCCACCAAGTTCCCATTTTGATTTATTACGGATTCACAACTTATTTTCGATAAAATAAGGTGCAAATGTTCAAATATTGAAATTTAAGCTCAATCAAAATCCCGATTCGCGAATAAATCCCATAATGGTTCTACAATTACGAGTTCACTTTAACAGGAGCGTTGACACGAATGTGTATAGAATCGAATATTTATTGGTCATGTCACCTCAAACCAATCAAAAATGTATTTTCTAATTTTTAATATGAGATCAATGTCATTTCATTTTTTAAGTATTTTGTACAAAATTCCAAACAAAACAAACAGTTTTCTGCAGATTTCTGCTTAGTTTTTCCACTTTAAAGAACTCTTACAAATAAACCAGTCGCATTCCTCTTACATATTTATTACACCCACACACAGATACCCCAAATACACAGATTTAGCCAAAATAGGATGAGGACAGGAAGTACCGTTTAAATCCGACAAATTGCTATCCGTATTAACAAGCAGAGATTTTTAACGCAAAAAACTCATGCGAAGTGCATTACACTGCTGCTGGGTTGGGTAATAGAAAGAATCTCGTATTAGAAATGCTGCTGCTTTATACGAAAAGTTGCACATTTTACATTTCCCTTTTACATTGGAGGATATAGTCCACATTATTTACAGAAAAGACCAAATAAAATAAGTACATTTCTGCTCATCACTTCATTCCATTACTGACTTTCACTCGGTGAAAGTCCATTTTTAGCCAAAATTATATGTAGAAAGAGAAAGTTGGTCTTTACTTTACTTCTTGGGGAAAGTGATACTTTCTGCAGAAAAGGACAGCTTGGTAACAAGAAGAAGGGTTTTTAGGTTCGAGTTGGTTTATTTGGTCTTTTTCGTACGTATACGTACGGCTGTTTTTCTTCTTGAACGAGATCAATAATTGTATCAAACCTGGAGAAATCTACGGTAGAAGAAGGGGCATCCAGTTCGGGTGTACCTTCGAACAATGATTTGGACAATCCCCCACCCGAGTCCATAACCACGGATGATATAGATGTGGATTTCTTATCAAAGATTTATGACATTATCAAAAGGTGGGTGTAATATATTTTATTATTTCGGGCTGGTTGACGAAATATATTTTGTACGGTGTGATTTGACAAGTGGTTGACTTGACTTGACTTTCTCCAAATTACATTACAGCATCGAGAGAGAAAGCGCTCAAGATACGAGTCTAAAGGTTGTGGAGTTTCAGAAAAAATTGGATTTAGTGAGAGATCAGGTAATAAATATGGATATCATTAATCGCTATATAGTAATGTAGATTTTGTGAGGTAATTTAATTTAAAAATTGATTAATTCTGTTCCAGATAAAGAAACTTCCAGGGATAGATTACAGTAAGGAAGACCAACTCAAACGATTGGAAGCTTTGAGGAAACAACTAGTTTTGAAAAAGAAGTTACTTCAGAAATATAAAGATATGTGTGCCTTGGAAGGCGTCAAGCAGTATCTCGCCCCGATAACAACGACGGCATCGACATAGAAGAAATTAAGAAGCAACATTACTTATTTCTTTTGAAGACTTTACTTTTCAAACGACTTTTTGCAATTGATCTCACTTTAAGCAAACATATCTTCCCAGTTTCTAATATTTAAACCCTTGTCCCGAAATCATTCCATAAGTTATGGCTCGCACCAAGAAAAAAGATAACTCGGTCGTTTTCATTGGCGAAGAGGATAAGGAACCACTCCTAAAAAAAGGATCAAATCCAAAAAACAGTACTCCATTTCCTGGGTCATTTATAAAATATCTTTTCTCCGAAAAATCTGTGCTCATGCGAATTCTTTCCTCTTTGTGTCCGCCGTTTGGACGCTTCAAACGAATCGGTAAATTAAAATATTTAATGTGTTACTATCGATTGAATAAAAGTAATCTAGAATATCTTTAGCTTATCTTTAAATCTTTTATTTAGCTGTAGATTATGAAGGAAGTTTTCTGAGCACTTTTTTCCTAACTGCTATTGTGTACTGGGGACTTGTTACGTCTACGGAGCATGAATCTCCTAGCAGATTATTTGCCCTTCTTCACGCAACAGGTTTAAGAATTTAAATTCTTAAAAATGTTAATCAATTCTTTAAAAAATTCTTCACGCAACAGGTCTAACAGTGGGCTATTTAGGGATGATTTCGGCTTTTACTTGGATCATTTCGCGATGTACAAAGACTGCAATTATGCCAAGGTAAAAATCCATACACGACACTTGAATAAACCAATAAAATACATCATTTTTACATCTTTCAGACAAATCGTGTGCATTATGGGATATGGATTATTCGGTCATGCCGTAGTTCTTCTAATTTGTGAAGCCGGTTCCGACGAATGGTTCATGACCTTAATGACCTTACTTGGCGGTTTAGGTTCATTTCGCATATGCTTAATCCTATTGGCTCGAACTGCCGTGCCTGCTGGGCGTTTTGTACTATGTTGTCCTGTCGCTATTATTCATCTTCTGTATTTAGTTTATCTTCATTTTGTTATTATGAAACGTTGATAGGAATTATTATTTGTACCTGGGAATTAATTCATTCATTAATCGTATATGAGATCACTGGCCAAAACCTTTAGGAGTAATTACATGCTTGCATTTTTCTGTGAACGGATTTAAATTGGTATACAATAAAATGAAATTACAAGACAAATATGCTTATAATTTTATTTATACAAAAAAAACTGATGTATACATAGTAGGATACTCATCCTTATCATATAACTGGGCACTTAGGCCATGTCAGGTTCCATCCCAGACGAGTGATCTTCCTCCTCTTCCTCTTCATCCTCAAGTTTATCAGACTCTCCTTCCGCAGGGGGCACATACACTTTGTCGAGCGGTTTGATGACTATATTATTGATTACGGTGGAGGAGGTGAGAATATCTAAAGAATCCATAAATAATAAAAGATCAGAAATATGTATACAAAAATACATACATCACTCACGAATAATATGCCGTATATATTTATTTTCTTACCATTATACATGGTTTCTAAACCCAAGACTTGCTTGTATCCTCCATGGCCAAGAATTCTTACCAGTGTTTGTGCCGTTATAGTTGCAACATCTTGCTGCTCATAAGTCATACCATGACCTCTAACGCTAGCCCCAGAATACCCAGGGAGATACTGCATAGAGAATTAAATTAAAATAAATACATTATTAATTTGATTATAAAATTCAAAATAAACCCATTGAAGTGAACAAATTTATTGTATGTGTGTACCATTCCTGCAGCCATTAAAGCCAAAGATCTTCTAAATGCCATGTTGACAGGGAGGGCTTGTCTCGAAGGATTATTCAAAGTTGCATAATGCGCAAGGAGATCTAGCATCCACGTTGAAATAGTTTGGATACCGGTGAAACGTTGCCTGATGTCTCGAAATATTCTGATAAGAACTTTTATTGTGGAATTATGCGCGTTCTCTTCAAACCATCGGGAATGTCTGTAAAATGTAAAGATAAATTACTTTTACATAACAATATACAGCATTACACATTACATAATCAATCATTTATTTATATGTAAGGTGTCACATTTTCAATATATTTAATACCTACCTAATTGCCTGCCAAGCTTCATTCATGACTTTGGCATCCAAATGAATTTCTGGATCCAATTTTCTAAAGTTTGGTGGAATTGTTGTAATGAAAATTCTGACTGTGGCTTGCATACTACTTATATCAAATCCACGATCTGTCACGCTAGATCGTACACCTAACAAGACAACAACAATTTAGCATAACTCGTACAAAAATATTTGTACTTTAACAATTACATTCACTTTGACGAAGGTCATCCGACACACGGATGCATAATGCATCAACAGCCTCTCGAGTTGGAAGAGACTTTAAGATTACGACAAAGTCAGCAGTTTTGTGTCCTGCTAGAATTGTTCCCTGTTTGAACGAACCAACTTGACGGACCTCATCTACTTGCTAGATAAGAAGATCTCAAAAATATAATTGTCCATCGAACATACATACTCGCATTTATAAATTAAACCTACACAAGCATCAAATGCGCCCGGAGTGAGAATTAAGTTTTCCAAAATTCCTTGCACTCTCGTCACCATATTTTGAATCGACTGGATCTCTTCAGTAGATGGGGAAATATCCGTGTGTCGTTTCAGAATGGCCTACAAATTATTCATTTATTTATAAGTACCTTCCATTAATAAATAAGTAAAGTGTAAGTTTGCGCAACTACAACTTACATTGCTCAGTTCCGAATCATCCGGAGCTGGTGACACCCTGGGAAAAATATCGTCAAAAAAGGTCAGGTCAAAGGGTAGCTTTCCTCCGCCGAGACCTCGCATCGGTGCGCCCATATTTCCTCCACTACCTCTCCCTCGACGAGCCCGTCCCCCACGAATTGCTCCCCCTCGCATATTTTCTGGTCAATGAGGCTTTAAACCTTTCTGTCAATATAAGACAAATACGATTTTACATATTTTCTCTAAATAAAGTTCAGTAAAAGTTGAGATGACACAAATGGTTATGTAAAGTAAAATTTACTCAAGGTTGAACAAAAATTCTACAACCTTGAATAAATTTTACTTTCACACCAGCAGTTGTGTCAAATTTTAAATATCTCAAATTTACTTGACTAAATTTTAATCAAATATATTTACAACCAATTCTTTTGTCATCTCATCTGAATAAATTCCTCCGTTTTCAAAATTGTACCAAAAATTATGCAAATAAAACTTTGACTTACCACGCAAACAAACAGAGTTCACTTTTCTTGTAAGAAAAAACAAAGTTTAGCTCGCCGGATTTCAGATTTGGTTCAAAAATTGCCTTTCGCGTCGAGTTCACGGCACGCTCGGTTGGGGCTCCGCGAACCTGAGTCATGCTAACGATCGACAAGTCTCATCTTGTCGCCCTTGCCGAGCATATCGCTGGCCGTGCTAATACTACCACTTACTTACTTGGCTCAGGCTATAAGCTTCATGCTATCTCCGACTTTCTGGGCTCATTCCTCTCATTCCTCTTCTGCGAGTCAGACAGTGAGGTTCTCGGCCAAAAGGGCTCCGGACGCCGTATTCGCCATCCACTTAATTTCATATAGCCGAGCATACCCTCCTCCTGCTGCATCACATAAATTTATTCAACACAGAAACGTATCCACCACCACCACCATCGACGTAACGTAAGTAAGTTGAAGGGTGGAGAAAAAAACTAGATTTTTTAGAAGCATTCACACCTTTTGTGGTCGTTCGTCTCATTTTGCCCCACTCACTCGTCCAGCTGAGAAACAGCTGGTACAGGGTAAAAGTAGGGGTCCCTATTTATTTTCACAATTTGACATGTTATCTTCCCGGGGGGTGGGGTCAAGGGTATTGGGGGGTAAATTAATTTACGCCTAATTTATTCGAGAGGGTGGGGCAAGTTGAGACGATTTTTTTTGACACCCTCTATTTTTTCCCCATAAAAAGCACCTTCTCTTGAGCCAATTTCTCACGGCGAACGACAACACGGTTTTGGCCGTGTGCAAGAAAACGTTCCAATTTTCGTGTGGGGAGGGAGACTAGGTGAAGAAAAGGAGAAAAGTAACTTGACCTCTCGGGTTGGGTCGAGAGTTTGGTTTTTGCGACCAAAAATTTTCCCAGTTTTGCCCACACATTGTATTTTTTTGAAGCGAGATGATATTTTTTGGAAGCTTTTTCTCCTCATAATTTTGGACAAACCCTTATAAAATAAATTGCTATATGTGTTCCTTTTGGTTTTATATTGTAGAGTTTTTTGTGGCAATGCAGCAGCAGCAGCAGCATCACGTCACGTCCACTATATTCAACGACGACTCGAAAAACTGAACTCTTCCAAAAGCCCCAACTGCTTCTTCCTCTCGCCATCTACAGCAATAAGACCCCCCCTTCAGCCAAGAACCAACCAAAATAAAGCAGGAACTCTAGCTTTGAAAATTCCCGTAGTAGTGGATTTGCCTTTGTTTCCTTCGCTTCTTGTCGGGAAAAAGGCATTCTGTTGTGTAGGTTGCTGCTGCATGAGAAAAATTCATCTTTTCAGTGCCAGCCAGGCCAGCCACCATCCCCACGTTACGTAAAGGCAAATGCGTAATACATAATAGTACCACTACCACTACCAAACCAACAACAAGACCAACTTGAACAACGCATGGCAATAATTTCGTATCAACTTTTTTTTACCGATCAGATTTGCATACTGAATTAGAAAATCGCGTTTTCGCACTAAAAGAAACGACCGGAGAAAGGTTTCTGGCCTCAAAAAGACATAGAAGAGTAGGAGGGAAGGAGTCATTCAAATGCAATATTTACATGGGCCCTTCTTCGACCTATTTTTTAAGTTGCAGCTCGCATTGCATAATAATCACACTGCGGGAGAAGACATTGTAAAAGATTTGCAGAAGAAGAAGAATTAGGTGGAAGGATGACAATTATCGTGTTTCTCATAGACACTTCGGCGTCTATGAACCAGAGGGTTTTCCTCGGGGGAAGGCCGACCCTGCTGGACGTGGCGAAAAGTGCGGTGGAGACTTTTGTAAAGGTGAGTTCAGCATTTGTTAACAGGGGCCGCGGAAGCTGGGGGGACATGACATTGAGGGATAGAATATAGCATGGACAGATAGTGGGGACATTGTCCCTCTGCGTCCCCACGGTTCCGCGGCCACTGTTTATTAACGATTAACTAACTAAACGGGCGAATTGGATCATCATGAAACATAAGCCATCCATTCACGCTTGTTTTTTTCGTCTTTTCATTCTGTGGGCAGAGTGCATGAATCCGCTTCAATCCTGTCTCATGCATTTTATTTGGTGAACTGATTGCATAAAATTTGCAATCAAGATTACTTAGACAATGATTAGACAATGATTTAATTCACTTATGCAAACAAATGTAGAGCAGCCTTTTAATTTTTTATGGTTTGATACATACCTGGTAAAATCTTGATTTTCATGAGATTGAATTTTTCCATGTATTGACTTTGACTTGTGTCCTTATTTTTTTAGTATGTACTTTCTTCCAGTTCTTATTTTATTTAATTTCATGCAGGTTCGACAGAGAAGTATAGATAGCAGACAAGACCGGTACATGTTACTAACATTTGAAGAGCCTCCTACAAATATTAAGGTTAGTCATTTGCATAACGTCATTGGGGAGCCTGATACAATTTCAGACATTTTTTCATTATTAAGGGGTGAAAGCCCTTTATAAGATCGTTATGTCCGTCCGTCCGTTGGTCCGATAACTTTTGAACGAAAAGACATAGAGACTTGAAATTTTGAACGTAAACTCCTAACGTCAAGGGACAGGACGAGTTCGAAGATGGACACTGTGACATCGTCACCTGTGACGATGACGTCGTCACAGTGACGAAAAGTGACGAAAAAGTGTCACGTGTCAATTTTGGCATGTGACACATCATTTTTAACTATTTTTCAACGAGGAATTTGAAAATTCATGTCATTTTGTGCTTGGACGTCACCTGTGACGATGACATCGTCACAGTGACGAAAAGTGACGAAAAAGTGTCACTTGTCAGTTTTGACATGTGACACGTCATTTTTAACTATTTTTCAATGTCAAATTCAATGGTGACCTCCATTTTGACCTCAGAGGTCATGTAAAGGTCATAGGACATATCTATTTCAATTTCAACTGAAATTTAACCCCGAATTCAATGGTGACCTCCATTTTGACCTCAGAGGTCATATAAAGGTCACATAAGGGTTATCAACTGTTAAATTTGACACAAATAAGACACAAAAGTCGAAAACACGTCAGAAGTGTCAATCTTAACAAATTTTCGAACAATTTGATATTCACATTGACGTATGACACTCCTTTCACCCCTTGGTTACATGCGTTGTAACGGTTTATTTTACTTTCACTTCCTTATTCACTTTCTGCAGGCTGGATGGAAAGAAAATTTAGCCACGTTCATGTCAGAACTAAAAAATTTACAGTCCAATGGTCTCACTACGCTCGGAAATGCTCTACGACATACTTTTGATGTGTTGAATGTCAATCGAATGCAACATGGGATAGATACTTATGGTCAAGGAAAATGCCCTTTTTATCTGGAACCCTCAATTATTGTTTGTATTACTGATGGGGGACAGCTTTCTTCAAATTCTGGTGTTCAAGAAGAGGTGATTTACTGCCTGCCTGTATTTTCAAAAATAGCACGTTATAAATGGATGAATCCTTATTTGGCCAATTTTCTGCATAAATTCAATTTCAGCTAAAAATGCATGGCTCAAGTCCAGGATCAGAATTGACAAGGGAGCCTTTTCGTTGGGATCAAAGACTGTTTAGTTTAGTGCTCAGGATGACTGGGCAGCCTTCAGGGGACAGGGAAATTGGTCTTGTGCCTTCCGACAACTCTGCCATTGACGCCATGTGTGAAGTCACAGGGGGTAGATCCTATGCTATCACGACACATCGAATGCTCCATCAGTGTATTGATTCTCTAGGTGAGATTTTATTATTAGCTGTCTAGACAGCTATGATCCATGTCAGCAAAAAAGTGTATTCTTATATTCAAATGTGATGTGTTTTTTTGCAGTACAAAAAGTGCAAGCTGGTGTAGTTATTCAGTTTGAAAAATATGGTTCCGACCCTCCCTCAATCGAAGGTATTTTGACACTTTTCTAGCCATAAACGCATAATATTTACGTGTCATACCTTAATCATCACGGGGATTCCCCATTATACTATTGCGTAGGAATTTTGTTTTTTTAATTCCTAATTATGGTTCGCATTCCGTTTAGGGATGAAAACGGACGACGAGTTCTTAGTGATTGACGAGAAGAACGGCAATAAAATTTCTTGGCACAGTTCGAGAAGGATGATTTATGTTCCGAGATCAAACCAAAAGGGGTTTGCTGGAGGATTTTGGCCAATTCCGGAATCATACTGGCCTGATCAGTCATTACCAACCTTGCCTTCCAGAACTGCTCACCCTTGTGTTAAATTTATTTGTCAACCTGCAGAACCACTTGTTGTTGAAAATTTTCCATTCGACAAGTACGAGTTGGAGCCTAGTCCTCTTACTCAATTTATCATCGGAAGGAAGCAACCAACTGTTTGTTGGCAGGTAGGGTTTACCGTTTAAGGATAAAACGGGAAGAAATTGTCCTCGTCATTTTCACAAGAAACTTACTATTTTACAGGTTTACATACAAAACAGTTCTAGAAACAGCCCCATAGGTTTCCCATTTGGTTACCTAAAAGCCTCTACGAATTTAACAACCGGTAATTACTTGAACAATCGTTAAGAATCAGTTTTAGGAGTAAATTACGGTTTTATGAAATAACATAAATACGAGTCTTTATTAATACAATTTGTTTTTTCCTCTATTTTCAGTTAATTTATTCGTAATGCCTTACAATTACCCAGTACTACTTCCTCTAGTTGACGAGTTATTTCGAGTTCAGAAACTGAAGCCAAATGGAGAATGGCGAGCTCAATTCGCCATGTATGTATCTAGTATGCCGCCTTATTATGCTGGTCCCTTAAAGCGAGCTTTACTCCGAATGGGTGCAGGTAAAAGAAGTTGAACTTCTACCTGTCGACACCACTTTATTAACAAAATTGGTCATTTTTTTCTACACAGGAAATATTGCGCAGAGTATTCCTGAAGAGAACTACTTGTCGTATTCGGTTTTAAATTACCTGAAGAAGCTGAAAGCCCAAGCTAAAACAGAGTATGATCGCACCTGTAATGAAGTCGCTATAAAAGTTAAGGCCTCCGAGACTAAACGGGTAGTCACATCTTTCAAAAATCCTTTTGATATTCCTCGTCATCAGCTCTTAGATCAAGTAGCACGCCTTCGCACCTTGTTCCTTCGTCCAAGTCAAACGTCGGCTCTACAGCACGGTAAGCACGCGATACTTTCACTCAGCGTCAACCGCCGCAACCACCTTTGGTCTACGTCTATGTTCGTCTGGATGATTTTATTTTTATACATTCTTCATTTGCAGTATTCATTTTTTAGTGTTTGTACTTAATTTTGTCTTCCTTTTGTCGTTATGTCTTTTATACAGAATCCTTGCATAATCAACCAGTAGGACAGATGGGAAATTATCAAGTAAGCTATTTATTTAAATTTTGTATATATGTCGTATGTTTTGAAAATGCATGAGGATCGCAAAATGTTTTTCCAGGAATATTTGAAACGAATGCCTAATCCATTGCGAGAATTGGAATCTGCTCCAGGTGATGATTTTGATTTTATCAATGAATCCATGAATTTTCAGAAATTAAGAATTTATAAGCAAAACCTTAACATTGTCTCTTTTTTTTACTCTGTTCTCAGTTCGACAACACATGTTTGGAAATCCTTTCAAAATTGATAAGCGCATGATCATTGATGAGGCCGACATTGACCTTTTGGGACAAGGGAAGCCAACTAAGAAAGAAAATACCCCAACACCAGCACCAATTATTCCGATGCCGCCATCTCCCATTCCAAGAGGACAAAAAAGGAAGGCTGGTCCATTACCGAAAGACTTTCGATTCAGGCCTTACAAGAGCCGTCGTACAAATCATCATCATCGGACTATAGAGGATCAAGACACTGACACGGATAGTTCTCTCAGCTCTGCTCCATCCAGTCCTATGAGTCCACTTACATTGACACCCCCTGCATCTCCTCACATGTCCCCGTTAGACTTTGCCGATGACAAGGAAAATTCCATCGGCATGAATTCCCTAGATACTTACTCGTCATCTGATAACTCAGGTTTCGGCACTGATAATTTAATAATAGACGAGTCTCCCCAAAACAATGAGGACGAGGACGACGACAGTACAGAAACCATCCCGATTTCCTCTTTCGGTTCCATGTTCAACAACATTAATGACATGAATGATGTTGATAACAATAACGATAGAGATGATGAAAATGAATCTACGCCAGATGATCATCAATATCCCTATGAAATGAATGGATCGAGTAAAAATGATAATGACTCGTTCATCAAGACGAGTTCCTCTCATAAAAATAATAATATTAAGAGTAGTAGTAACAATAATAACAATAATAATAATACTACCAGCACCAGCAACAAGATCACTCTGTTACCTAATAGCAATGAAAACGGGGTAAGTATGACCATGCCCACTCCAACCAAACCTGCTGTCCCCATACCAAACCACATCAATCACGTCCCCCCCATCACCACCAGTAATCATGTAGGGAACAGTAATAAACCTAAGAAAGTCAAAGTCACTACGATTGTCAATTCAAAAACAAAATCAACACCAGCAACAGAGCTTCGAAATTCGACAAATGAGTTGGATGACGATACCACTTTCAAGAAGAATCTTGACCTCAGGATACGACTCCATACAGAAATAAGGCGCCCAGTCCTACGTAAGTGGCTCATAATTTTACAAACAAGAAATAAATGACGTAACAAATTAATTTGTAAATGAACATGCAAATTTATTCGGGTTTCCAGGTCTGGATCACTTTTTATCCCAATTGTCAAACGTCTCAGGATCCTACGTGACCAAACAGCATTTCATAAAATGTCTAGCTAGGGAAGCACTTCGATTTAAAAGGAAAAAGTTGGCAAAAGCATTAGATCAGCAGGCTGAAATTCTTGTGCCCTTCTGCAGGCCTTCTGCTTCCTGATATTTCGACTTCATACCAATCAATGGTGGTGCTTTTTAATGTAATAATTATTATTTATAACCTTACATAATCCAGATTGCATTCAAACCACGTTTGACCGAGGTACAAACGCTAAAACTACTCTTTTTTATTTTTATTTTTTCGTACCACGTTCCGGAGATATTTTAATATTCTTCCGACTACGTAGTAGGATTTATATCTCTTGTATTACTAAGAGTTGAATTATTATATTATGTCTTATTCATTCAGTGTAGAGAGTCCTTTTCACTGCCGTTCATTCATTCAGTGTAGTTCATTTGCTTATTATGTTTATCGCACTATTCCCATTTAATGTTTAGTTCAATCCAATGCCATTCTTTCTTGTTATTAATACTAAATTACCAGTAAAAACTACAACTTGACTGTATTTTCTACCTTGTAATGAAGAAAAGAAAAAGAAATCCAGAAATGTGATATGAAGAAGTCACACAAAGAAAAAAAAACTAGTATCGTGTCGTTTAATTGAATTTTTAAAATGCAACTTTTCCAAAAATGATGAACTCAAACTGAAATTAACAAAGAATTTATTTTTTTATTGTCCGTTCCATCTCGACGAATTACAAAAATTCACACAAGCAATAATATGTAATTCAAATCAGTATATATTTACATATAGTGTATGTAAGTATAGGTTGGGAGCCTGTTGCAGGTACACCATAAGTAAATCACACTCAATCAATCTCGTTCATATATTTAGTTGTATATCGTAACAATTAGAGGAGATTAATTAATACTTAATTTTCGTAATTTCATTACAATTTACTAATACTAGAACACGATATATATTTGTAGCTACGATTGACATTTACTACGTCGTCGTCGTCGTCGTCGTCGTATAAGTTCTGATGATTATCGCTCTTCTTCTTTGAGATTCAATCTCTCATTATTACATTTTTTTGGAACAGATTAGACCTTTTTTTACATACATATTAATACTGTTTCATCAATATTATATATTTAGCGAATTGTGGACTTTAGCTGTAATTTTTTTCAAACAGTGGTCTTCTTACTGCTTTGATTAGATACATACAATTCGGGTGGTGCTTCTTTTAGGCTAGCAAATCCATCGGGCTTTTTGTCAGCCGTGCAAGTTTCTCACGGACTTCATCAATCTCCCGGCGAACTTTCTCCAAGCTGTGTGAATTTGAGTGATAATTTATTAATGCCTAATTAGTTGAGTAACATATTTAAGAATTATCGTTTGTCATTGATTTTGCTACCTGTACACTGTCTCCAACTGTTTCAAAATGTTTGCTTTCACTTTAGCCAACTCGCTTGGTGAAATCGTCTGATCTCGATGAGCGCCTGTGTACTTAACCGCGTCCCAAATGATTTTATCACCCACCTGCGTCATCTTATGCTCCAAGTCGTTCAGCCCGTCCAAATCGTTGGATGTTCCAGATGGCACAAATCTATTTATTGAATAGAAAAAAAACACAATATGGAATGGAAATGGCAGATCTTTTTTTATCAGCTTTTTCCCCCTGGTAAAATTAAATGGCGTGTGCATGTATTTAGTCCGGCTTCGTGTTGTTATGTTTGTGCATAAAAGTTATCCAATTTCCATTTGAGATGAGTTATACACTAGCCAAAATCAATACTTGAGACGACGAAGTACCTGAATGCGTATCAGTGGCCGCGGGGGAAGCTGTGGGGACATTAACATTGTAGGATGGGGGAGGAAGGGGTTTATATAAGATGGGGAGATGATGGGGACATTGTCCCGCGACCACTGATACATAAATAATAACTTTTAGCCTCGAAAATGATTAAATTCTTGTAAGGTTTGCGTGCTAATGAATTTCATACGAATGTATTTATTTATATCCCTTATTTTTCTTCACTTACGCCGTTTCTCGCTTCCTTTTGACGTTCGTCATCATTGCAAAGTTCTTGTAGAATTCTTCCAAAACCCATTTTCTGTCGTCTTCTTTGTTCAGCGTTTCATTTTCCTTACGTTCCAAGTCCTTCTTACCGGAATCTTTTCCTTTTGCGGAGGTGGTGCTGGGCACTGCAAGCAATTTCGCATTTGGCATTTGGGGTGCTTTCACCGGTTTATTATTCGGGTTGGACGAAGCCGTGGTGGATGGGGGGCTTTTAGTCTGTGGTGGTACTGCTGAATCTGCATAAATCGGTTGGCCCTGGTATTCATCCTGCTTGGCTCGTTTATCAATTCCCAAATAGTTGGACCAGTCGACAGATTTCTTGGTCTTTTCTGGTACCAAGTTGCCCCCGGGGAGCTTGGCGTTGTCGTCATCGGAGAAAACTCTGCCCAGATTGGCAAAAACGGCAGGGTCCGTCTCCTTCTTCACTCGGAAGGTTGCTGGTTTCTGTGTGTTTTTAGGAAATATTATATGTCCAATTATTATTTGCATATATTGTTTTTTTCCTTTAGTGGATAATAATGACCTCGTTATAGACAAAACATGCGCTTGATTAGCTACGTACGTCAAGTCAACTTGAAACAATGAAAAAAATATCTGCGCAATAAAATGACGTGAATATGTAGGCGTATGTATCAAGTAGGAAGGAATGAATGTAGATGAAATTGAGATGTGATGATGATGCTAGTTGTAACCAGGCGCCGCGGAAGGTGTGGGGACATGTGGGGGCATTAAAATTGTGTAGAATAGGGGAGGGAGGGGTTTGTATAAGATGGGGAGATGATGGGGACATCGAATAACCGTAGGGACATTGCCCATCTGTACCCACACGCTTCCGCGGCCACTGCTGTAATTAACCTTTGACTGAAGCTTGCAGATATTACATTTTTATGCAATGGCCGCGGAAGCCGTGGGGACATTAACATTATAGGATAGGGGTGAAATGGGATATATTCATATAACGTACATGGTCACATCGAAAAACTGTGGGGATATTGTCCCCCTCTGTCCCCACGCTTCCGAGGCCACTGTTCTACGTAATTAACCCTTGACTCAAGTTTGCAGATATTACATTTTTGTATCCAATATATTGTCAACAAGCTCAAGAAAATCCTAAGTATGGCGTCCTTACCGAGAGACTCTTGACGCCCCCGCTGCGCTTGTTGTTGGTTCCGAGAAATTCCAATTTGTCAGCTCCTGGGATCAGCGAGTTGTCGAAACTCATCGGCTGCTCATAATTGACGAGCGATCTTTTACCTGTCTCACGTTTCCCGACGCCATTGTACAGGTGTCTCGGTCGGGTTTGTCCTTCGCTGTTGCTGTTGAGCTCATACCCGTCCAACATGAGGAGGAGGGTTTGGATCTCCTCATCCGTCAAGTTGCTCGTGTCAAGGTTGTTGTGCCCGTAGTGGTGCGGCTCCTGTTGTTCCGGATAATTGTTCGGAACGAGTTCTCTGAAGTGTGACATGGGCTTTGGACGCCCAAACTTTCTGCAAGGGAAAGTTGAAGTTCATTATGTATGCAAAGAAGAAGAATTAAGTACGCTATAAGGAATCAGTGCCCGCGGAAGGGGTGGGGACATGGGGGGATGACATTAACATTGTAGGGTAGAGGAGGGAGGGGTATAACAGAGGGGCAGATGGGGACATCAAATAACATGGGCATGGGGACATGGTCCCTTTGTGTCCCCTCAATATTCCGCGGCCACCTTTCTTTTCGCAGTATCATCACAATTGACATGGAGCATGTACAAGCAGTGGCCGCGGAAGCCGTGGGGACATGTGGGGACATTAACATTGTAGGGGAGGGAGGGGCTTATATAACATGGGGACATCGAGCAACCCTGGGGACATTGTCCCTCCGCGTCCCTTCAGGCTTCCGCGGCCACTGCGAGAAACCTTATTAACTGGGTGCTTGGGAAAACAATACACACAAAGTTTTAATATACTGCTTGTTACCCTGCTACCACATCCCACACGTTTCCTAATTTTAGCCTTGCTTTCTCTCCCTGTGCTTTCACTCTCATTTCTCATCTTTTGAGTAACCTGTTAAGCAGCTCGTTATTTGGTAAATATTCCATGAGTGCAAACTCGAGTTGGGATTTCGTTTATGGATTTTAACAAGAAAATTCCTGCTCCTCTTTGAAGAAGAAGAATATTAACAGAGTGAAAGCGATAGGAGCATTGTTCTAGCAAACTTCCCTTCTTAAAACCTTACGTGTGTGCAGTGGCCGCGGAAGTTGGGGGACATAGGGGGACATTATCATTGTGGGGGGAGATTTATTAAGTAGGGTAGATACGGTTTTGCTCTGGGGGGACCATGTCCCCCTGCTTCCGCCGCCATTGCGTGCGTTTGATGGACTTGCCCGAAATTGCTTTCTCCTCTCAACCAGCTAACTTTTCCTTTTGAACAATTCAGTAAAAAGAAGAAGTCAAAAGAAAATTATGACTTACCCAACGGCGGAATTCTCATCTTCTACATCCCCATACGGCTGCAGATTCAGGGCTTTCTTCATATAAGCGACAGGAACTCGGCCAATGTAGCGCTTTGATCTGATCAAGTCATGATTCTTCCCCTTCAAAACGTCCCGTTTTTCTCGTACTTCCGTCCCAAATTCGTTCAAGTAGCTTTCCAAGGCTGGAAAAGCGAGGGTTGTTTCAGCAACAACGAGGAGGAACAAAATGTTCCTGATTAGGGCCATTTTGCAAATATTTTGCAAATATCTATCTATGTAGAGCACACTTTCGACTTCCTCCTCTCAGGATGACTAAGAGCTGACTGGCTGAATATCAAATTTTTTAATAGCGTGTCAGGCTAAACCCTCCGCTGCCGTGTGTATGAACTATCTGTACGACTGGTGAAGCAGTTTTATCCCACTTTCCCTCATCTCTCCGCTCAGTCAGTGAAAGAAGATGGAAAGAAGAATAATGTAATGTAGTTCCATTGTGAATTCGGCGCATGCATGGAATGTTCCATGACGGATCAATATCTCTCTCTCCCAAAAGGGACTGGGCAGAAAGGATGTGATCGATTTGAGGGGGGATAGGGGTCAAGGTATCCATTTTAGGGACATATCTAGGTCACACGAGGGGGGTAGGGGTCAAAATTCCCCGAAAATCGATCACATGCTTTCTGTCCAGTCCCCCATTCTCTCATTTCCAAGCCCGTGTTCTTCCTTGGAGAGGAATTTGCTTGGCTTGCGGGCTGTTTATAGAATTTTGCAAAACACGGAGCGATTTATGAAGAACGTTCATAGAAAACAAACTACTTCACTCCTCACGTATGTACTTGAGCCGTATTAGATTGAGCTTTCTCCATGGAAGGAAGAAAGCTCCTCAAGTGGTAGGTAGCTATGTAAGACGAGTCAAGTATTAGATATTTGGTGAAAGTTGGATGGAAGTCATATTAATGATCGTGGGCTGTAAGATCCTTTTTGAATCTTGTTTGCTTGAAGCACCATCCAAATGGCGTATCGAATAAAAAACATTTCCGAGTAGGGTTAATACGAAATTTATTATTTTTTTGTGGAATGCGTCATTCATTACTATTGTACTTTTACTTATTTACTCAATTCAAAAATCTTTAGAAATGTTGTTCCATCAATGTATGAATTGTGTATGGAACGCCTATGAATTGGGTAATATTGGGATAATGAATATTTTACAACGTATGGCACGTTATTCTGTTTCGGTGTAAATTTAGAGCTGTGTTACACAAATTGTTATTGTACTTTTACTAAATTGTGAAATTCTTTAGAAATGTAAATTTAGAAATGCTACATTTACAATGGAACGTCTATGTATTGCAATATTATGATGATGAATATTTTATACTGTTAGAAATCCAGTATTAAAATGATACCAAGCGGTATTGATAAAGAAATACCCTATAGTAATAAGTAGCTCTGTATTAAAGTTTTACCCATACCTGAAGCAAATTTTTATGATCCGGTATCATTTTAATACCAAGCGGTAGTCTAATCCCGAGAAATCATTACATATGTACCTGCGAGATTTCTAACAATGTACTAAATATGCATGTATGTATGGCCAGGGGCCGCAGAAGCCGTGGGGACATTAACATTGTAGGATAGGGGAGAGAATGAACATGGACAGATGATGAGGACATTGTCCCTCGGTCCCCACGCTTCCGCGGCCACTGTGTATGACACTTGATCTTATTAATTCCAATGCAGTTTTAGACGTGTGTTAAGTACAAGTAAATATAATTCCATATTTTATTTTACTTTATTATAATTTTTAACTTATTGAAAGTTGGGTGATTATAGTCTCAGGAAAGGTTTTTAATATTGTTCATTATTCAAAGACAAAATTCCAGTGGGTGTACGAGATCCCTGGATACTCGCACATGCAATCAACTCACTGTTGGAGTGCCTGAAGCCCGTTCACATTCTGATGATAATGCTGGTGTGGATAAGTGTGGTAGTCATGATAAGTGATGGGCTGGGCTGGTTTCGAGTGACCAGTTTGACATCGACCACAATGTTGAGTTAGTGCCGGTCGACGCCGAGGGCCTCGACATCTGCAGGCAAATCTTGCCTCGTCCGCCATTGCGGAACAAAGTCCGACATGATCTGAGGACGCGTTTATTCTCGCATTCCAACAAAATTCACATATCGCGACTGCTATTGCAATTACCAGTCCGACCACTAAGACTACAAAAATTCCTCCTGAAAATATGCAAATTTTTGAGGTAGAAATTGTTTAATCAAAGGTTTTAACGTAGGACTCGATGACTTATCACCAAAATCGTCAAAATTAAGCACATTTTTAATCATTTTTCGGCTCTGGGAATTTATTTTAAAATTCTGGACGACAAATTTGTAGTCATAAGTTGATTAATATTAATGGAATAGCGGTGAGTTTTTTAACCCATTTTCGACCAGTCCCAATTTTTCTGTAGGCTTCTTAAGCTTGAGATCTCCTTCAAAAAGTGTCAAAATCTGGAGTGTATATTTTTTTTTAAATTGGCAACGACCTGCTCTACAAATTCGTCGTTCAGAATTTTAAAATAAATTTCCAGAGCAGAGAAATGATTAAAAATGTGCTGATTTTAAAACGATTTTTGCGATGAGTCATCGATGTAATTTTACCAATATTGTCCACCCCCAACGCGGATGCTTTCGTATCTTGTTTTTTGTAGTCCACATTGCAGTAATAATCTTGGTCAGGATCTGAAGTAATGTAGGAACCCCACCATTTATTCCGTTCCTGTTGAATAACCCCCAACTCTTGCATTTCCAGGATTGCCAGCCCAATCTTGTCACGCCAAGGGCTTCCAATCGGCAAAGCGATTCCGTAATCCTAATGTGCAAATGATGCAAAATAGTAATTATGCACCTCAAACAAATTGAATGATTTGTTCTTATTTACTTTTGAATCAATTTGTCCCCCAATCTGCGTCAAGTTACAGTTTTCCCTCGTAACATATTCAATTGTAGTGGACTCCATGAAAAATGCGTAATTTCCTTTCAGCACACGACTAGAATAAATTGAAATATTTAAGACGCGTATAATTCCATAGGTTAAAATTTGGCAACCAAAAATATTCATGTCATAATTCCCACCTGATCCCTTCTCTGTAGGATGAAGAGAACGCTGACGGCTTTTTGTTCGCCATAACGAGCCACATTTTCCGATAAGTTTCTATTTTTGAGTCCTATTAAAAAATGAGACTCGACTTATCACTCTAAGATAAGTAATATATTACAAGTTACATGTAAGTATACTCACTCGGAAAAACGTCATAGTTGACCCCGACTCCAGGCTTCCGTACGCAATTTCTGACTGTTCACTGTGCACAATATTCATTATTAATCTGACATCAATGCTATTATTGCAATATTCTGCATAAATATTGAATACTTACGCTAAATCTTCGGCTTTTGACAAAAAAGAATAAAAGTACGTTAGAACTGGAATATTGTCAGTTTATTATTCTACATATTATGCATATTTTAGGTACCAGATTCAATAGGTGTGGTCATTCTTTCCACGGTTAGAAATGCAGCAAGCTAACGAAAGAACATGTAAGAAATAGCCAATAAAGCTCAAATGATTTAAAAAATTTTAAATTTCAAAAAATTTTAAAAAATATCCTGAACATACGTTTGCCGTGTATGAGGAAACAATTATAATGCTGAAAAACCTGCAGTAAAAATTACCATAATTAGTTACCAGAATTAATTAATTGTTTGATAATACTGATATTTATTTACCACCAAAGCCCTCCAATTAATCTGGTCGAAGCAGTTTTCGGATTGAGATCTGATCCTTGTTGCATGAGAGTTCCTTTTAACAAAAATATACAGTTTCTTACCAATTGTCTCATTTTTTACCACCCATTTACTCACCGATCGGATACCAGAAGCTATTTTTCAGGCTGAATTGGTTCCGAACCACGCCCACCGTGGCTCCACGACCATAACTCATTGCCGCCGTGGTGGGCGACCATTCGTGCGGAGAGAAACGGGCAACAACGAACCTTTAATTTAGAACAAGTTGAAAAATTGTAACTTATCTACATAAGAATTATTTTAGTTATTTCAAATATGTAAATGAGCAGTACATACATGGTTATGCTGACGAGCACATAGGAAACCACGACGCTCAGCCAGATCTCCAGCGCCAAAGGGTTCAGAAAAGAGAAAATTTGCGGTTTCATTCTTTGCGGCTTCTTGAAGAGGATTGAAATTCCCAAATTCCTGGAAATTATATTGACCGTATTTATATCTGGATTAGTTGGTTAATTTTGATGGGAATGTATTCTTACATAAATGGTTTCGTAAAATCAATTACGCTTTCACGAGCATGGTTGATAGTAATAGCACCTACAAATTTGGATAGTTATTTCATGATTAAAGGTAATAAATTAAGCAATATTTTGACTAAAATACCAATCGCCAGGTCTGCAGACTGAAAAAAAAATGCATAAATTATTAAAGACACGTGCTCCTTACAAATTTTGGTGCACATTAAGACATTTAATTCACCTTTTCAATCAATTGTTTCATGACTCCATTCCACTCGCCGGTTTCTTCATTATAAACGCCATACTTCCCATCCTGCACTACCTCGAGGACATATTTAAAGTGTACTTTCTCCGCGATTTTCTTTAAAAGCTCGATGGAAAATCCGGTAAATCGGTCGTTCCCCGTCCAGTTTCCGCCTTGTTTTAGTTGAACGTAAGGTTTTTCCTGGAATAAGTAATTAAGGTTAATTATCAATAATTATTGAGACAAAAATCATAAATATCATGTAAATATTTATTATTTGTAAAATACCAGGACACAAGTGACCAAAAGTGTGGCATTTGTCAGTCCCAAATCCCAGAATGCTTTTGGCTTTGTGATATTCAAAAGTCTATCCGGCGTCCACATTCCGACTCGTTTCCATCCATTTGGAACGAGACGAGTGATGTCAATTTTTAGCGAGGATCGATCCCCCTCCTTAAACGCAACGTTTCCTGAGATTCCTTTAAAGTCGACCTAAATTGAAGATAAGTATGTATGATATCTGCGGGTAAACGGTAAACATTAATTTGTTTATTACTGAGGTGATGTAATTCAGCAGTGATAATCCATCCGTCCAAGGAGCAACTCGATCAATTTTAAGATCACAAGATAAGTTTGCAGGTTGAATTGTGTGAGATGCGTCAGAACTTGATAAGCCCAAACCCAGTGCCATGACGGAATCGAACGCGAACGCTGTCTCAGTCTGGAATGATGTAATATAATTGAATTAAAATTGTAGTAGATAACTAACAACGAAGGTTTCCCAGCGTATGCTCCCAAATTTTGACCAATTTAGTGTCAATCGATCGAAAATATAATTAATATGAAATTTGCGAAGGAATGTGCAGGTTTGGCAGAAATATGTATTTCCATCCGAAGAGGGGAAAACGCATCCAAACTTAGACAAATTTTACACTTTCCAAATTTACTGCGCGTTTTCTCTCCTCTTCGGATGCAAATATCTTTTCAAAATTTCATATTAATTAAATTTGTAATCGATTGACACTGGTTTGGTCAAAACCGGAGAGCATAGTAGGAAAAGCAATCCGAAATAAATACGAACATGAATTGCAGGCGTTTTCTTGTCGAAGATTCCTCTGTTGAGTTCTTCATCTCCAAAATTCTTTAATTCTAACCACTTCTCGTTTTGAAATCGCCCATTTTGATCAACAATTTGGAACGAGGTAAGATTGACTTGAGCACTCGTAAAGTCAGACATGTTCACCGTACTGAGATCGAGGTTGGTTAAAATGTAGTGATATTTGTAGCTGGTCATTTGCAATTCTAAAATCTGTAACCAAACGTAACATTTTAGTAGCGAATAAACAATCAGGCATGTTTTGCATTATTTCAATTTTACTGCTTTTAAGAGGTCTGGCAAGCTGTCCAACTTGCAATCAATGATGAGATGCCGTATTTCCCTGCCTTTCACCTCCTTCAACACGTTCACGTAACGCTCAGGGGACACCTTTCGCACAATGATGTACTCCACGGGGGACGGTTCTCTCAACAATGCTTGCGTCCTCATCAGTCCCCTCTCGTCCTCGTATAAAATCGCGACGCTTTGGAGTCCCAGGTACTTTGTTAGTCTATACAATTATCGTTATTAGCGGTTTTATTAACGTAGGACTGGATGACTCATCACCAAAATCGTAATCAGCATATTTTAAATCGTTTCTGGGCTCTGGGAATTTATTTGAAAATTCTGGACGACAAATTTGTAGAGAAAGTCGTTGCCAACTTTTTAAAAATATACACCAGATTTTGGCAGTTTTTGAAGGAGGACATCCCAATATGTAAGTTTAAGGAAAAATCGGAACTCATCCAAACTGGCTTAAAAACTCACCCCCATTTTATTAATAAAATTTGTGAATACAAATTAGCCGTCCGGAATTTAAAAAAATTCCAGCGCGGAGAAATGACTGAAAATGTGCTAATTTAAACAATTTTAGTGATAAGTCCTGCGTTAAATGCTAATTTAGATATTTTCACTCACTCTCGCAGAAGTTGTCCCCACACTTGAAGCGTTGGTGCGAGCCTCACCGCAAATTGGTCTCGACCTTTGCCACTCTTTTGTGCCGGTTTGTAGTGGGCGAATGAGGGGGTGGAGAAGAAGAGGGGGATATCCATCGTGGCACTCGTCCAAAACAGTTTCCACTCGAGGGACGGGTCGTAATTTGAAGCTCCTCCCAAAATCGCGACCACACCCGTGCCCAGAAGTTTGCAGAGCTCTTTTGACGCTCGGAATGAGTCCCCTGTCTTGACGTACATCGTCTTCCCCACCAGAGTTGTGTTTGGTAGGAGGACTTTGTCCCGATTTAAGACCTTGAGGGCCCACTTATACCCAAAATCGATCGTTCCACCTCTTTGTTCTTCGGGGAGGACGATGCCTGAAAATTAGCGGGTATTAGCATGATTCAGACGCAAAATTAGCAGTGGTCGCGACAGAGGGGCAATGTCCCCACGGTTATTCGAAGTCCCCATCATCTCCCCATCTTATATTAACCCCTCCCTTCCCTATCCTACAAGGTTAATGTCCCCACATGTCCCCACACCTTCCGCGGCCACTCTTCATTACTTTAAACACTTTTACTTACCAACATTCAACAGTTGCGGAAGTGAAAGCGCACATTGCGCTAGAGCAAAAAGTGTCACCAGTGATGCGAGGATCATTGCAATAGTTTTCTTTTAATAGGAACAGCCTTTTGGCACGTATGTAAATTTTGTAATGAAAGACTTAAAACAAACTGTACAAGGAACAATCGGAAATTTTGTGTAGTTTGGATTTGTTCCAAATGTTCAGAATTTTAACGAATTCTTCGTAACTGAATAAGTTATTTGGCTTCTTCATAATAACGCTTGATAATAGGAAGATAATTGACTATAATTTCAGAAATAATGGCTTGTAAACGTATTTATGTTATATTTGTTGACATGAAAATAACCTTGTAGCACGAACGGGTCAGAGAAAGAGGGAGAGAGATCAATAATTATGGTTCATCATCCCAGCAGGCGCATCTTTGTTCCAGATTGCGCAATGCAAGTTTTATGCAGTGCTCTTCCAGCCAGCCAGCCATCCATCCGAGAAAATGAGCAAGTTTTTAAGGCCAAATTCAATTCAGAGAAAGTGCCAGAGAAAGTCAGTCAGTCCTTATTATTCGGATGGATCAATGGATGTGGAAGCTGCAGACGTGTTGGTGCATATATATTTGCTCTGATATTCGATTCGCAACGGTATAACAGATAATGAACCGTCCGACTCAAGCGAGTATAAAAAAGTGGCGTCATGCAGTAAAATACTGAATGAAAAATACGTGATTGATGACCTTTGACCTCGTTTTCACGGTCATGGGTTTGGTCGGAGGGCGATAATATTGACGGCGTTGATTTCGTGGTAAAATTTCCTTTAAAATGACACCCCATATGAAAATTTAGGATGTAAAATGCCGCTACATGAAAATTATGCGATTTATGATCTTTGACCTCGTCCTCACGGTCATGGGTTTGGTCTGAGGTCGAAAATATTGACGGCGTTGATTTCGTGGTAAAATTTCCTTAAAAGCGACATCCCATATGAAAGTTAAGGTAAAATTTAATTGTGGACCAGACCCCCTGGGGTGGTCCAATTGACCCTTTATCGAACTCGGCCGAGCCTAAAAATTTAAAGGACAAGGGCGAAAGCCCGGTTTGACTATGTCTGGAAATATCGCTTACAGACAGACGGACAGACAAAACGATCACAATAAGTGGCTGATGCTTCTAAATAATATACACGATGCATAGCCTGACATCCTACATATCTACGTATATATCGAAAAAGATGCAGATCTCGCCGTTTTTCAGGAAGACATGACATTTGCTGATTCAGATTCAGACCTGGTGTACGGTGTCAATGTATGTAATACTCTCTTTACTCTCTTTTTACTAAAATTATCCTCTATACATACACAATTATTACTTCATTACAACAATCAGTACACTATTTGCATAGACATCATTGACGTGATTGCTATTGATTGATTAATACGAATTGGCCGCCGTCCTATTTCTAACTCCGAACTGTTCCTGTTCATCGTACGCGGGTGAAAAGCTGTAGTCGTCATAATCCCCAGGGGGAGGATACAAGCTGCGGCTGGAGGACGGGGGCGGGGGTGGGGTCGGAATTTGCGTCGGCGTTGTGGACGACGACCTTTGTCTCGACTTCATTTGACACGTTTCACAATGTCGGATCAACTCTGGCTTTTGTTTCGGACCGTGACACATGAAGGCGAATTTGGCCTCTTCCGTCATCTCGGTGCAGAGCGTGACTTGATCCGAGGTCGCGTGCTTTTTGGAGTCCCAGCAAAATTCGAGGAGTGCGACGACCCCGGCAAACGCGAGACCGATGACGAGGACGACGAATATGCCGCCGATGCTGTCCACCCCCAAGGCGGAGGCAGTCGTGTCTTTTTTATAGGATTCGATATTACAGAAAATATCGTCCGGATCGGGGGCGGAACGTTTGCTCCACCATTTGTCTTGGTACCAGCGAATGACGCCCAATTCTTGCATTTCGAGGATGGCGAGGGATATCTTGTCCCGCCAGGGTGAGCCTGTTTTTGGTTTTGGGGGAATATTTTTGGTTATAGTAGATCATTAAGAGAATGTGATTACGGACAATGGAGGTGGAACAGGGTTTGCTCTCCGATTTTCAGCAAATTAGTGTCAGTCGATTACAAATTTAGTTGATATGAAATTTGTAAAAGACACGATCTCCCAATGGGCACGTTTAGCAGAGATATTTGCATCCGAAGAGGAGAAAACGCACAGTAAATTTTGAAAGTGTAAAATTTGTCGACTTTAAGGCGCGCTTTCTCCTCTTCGGATGCAAATATCTCTGCCAAACGTGTTCATTGGGTGATCATGTCATTTGCAAATTTCATACTCATTTTTGCCATCGATTGACACTATTTTGCTCAAAATCTGAGAGCAACCGCTGGGAGACCTCCAGGAGACCTCCATTGTCAGGATAGATGTATGTAATGGGTGATAACTGAAACTGACCTTTGGGTAAGGCCAATGCGTATCCCTTCGAATTTAGTAGAGAACCAACTTGGGTTAAATTACAGTTTTGAGCCATCTCGTACCTTTTTAAATCAATGATAAGTAAGTCACTGTCCGACCTGCAGATAAGTATGTATGCTTATCTATACCCAATTGTTGATGATTCCATTAGAAAAGCATATTTCCCCTGCAAAACTCGACGAACTCCTTCACTGTAAGAGGACGTAAAAACGGATGGTTTTCGACTATCCATAAATCTATAAATTATCAAGCCACAAATTACCATAAATAATCCACATTAATTATTTAATTAATTAAATTCATTGCCATTTGCATACCACGCTTCAACAAAAAATTATGGTGTTCTTACCTCCACATTTTTTGATAAATCTCAATATTGGAGTCCTGTTCATCAAATAACAGCTTTTAAAATTTCTTTCCACTACAAAAATCATATTTTATAAATATTACTCTAAAAAATGCCTTGGTTGATCCAGAATCCAAAGTTCCGTACGTAATTTCTGGGAAGCATACATAAAATTATTATAATTATACGGATACATCCATCTTTTTACCTCACCAGACTGCTCAACAAGATCTTTAGCAGATTCGATTGGGTTTGCCAATCTCTGAACGGTCAAGAATGCTGCCACTAAAAGGAAACGGACAGGAAAATCAGTCATTGCGAATTATTGCGAATTTATTGCAAATACAGTATAAAACCCGTGTAAACTTACAATTTGCCGTGTAAGAGGATACAATCACAATGCTGAAAAACCTGTCAGTTCAAAATTACTTGTCAGTTTCTTGGCACCTTTCAGAAATAATGATTTAAAAATGTAATTAATTATTCGAACCACCAAATTCCTGCAATTAATCGTGTCGAAGTCGTCGTAGGCTGATCAGACCCTTGTTGCATTAACGTTCCTATATTTTGCCCATGCAAAATATGAAATTTTGGGCAAAATTTTATGTATGTAATTTGAGTTGAACAATCTTACCGATAGGGTACCACAAGGCGTTTGATATGGTGAAACCTAATCCAACGCCGTATGACGATGTCCTCGTTGATGTCCATTCGTATGGTGAGAAACGAGCCACAACGAACTATAAGTAGAAAACATTTGTAAAACCTTGCACAGAAATATGGACACGACGGTTGCATAAGTCTCAACTTGGTATATACAAATTTTTTTTAAAGTTTAAAATATTACCATTGTTAGCCCCACTAACAAATACGACCCAGCCACGCTCAACCAAATTTCTAGGGCTAATGGTTTCAAGAAGGTAAATATTCCAGTTTGTGTTCGAATTGGCTTCCGAAAAAGTATGGAAATTCCAAAATGCCTGCGAGTACAGATAATCATAACAGTCATATTTTATGCAAATTGAACTACACAAATTCATTGAATCTTACATGAAAGGCTTGGTATAATCTACAACTAGTTCTCGGGCATGATTGATTGTTAGGGCACCTTAATAATGGGAAAAAGAAGAAATGAAATTAAAAATTCAACAATCTTTAAAGATCATAAATAATTTAGATACCAATTGCTAGGTCCACAGACTAGAAAATTGAATAACAATTACATAAATTATATTTTGCATAAATTATTGAAGTCCATCTACCACAAAAACTAATAATTTCCCTGGTTGAAATTTTTGATCATTTTCTGCAGAAATTTAATTTTCTTCTGCATAAAACCAGAACGATTTGTACAGAAAACTATGAGCGCAGAATTTTGCACATACGGTTCTGTAGAATGAAGAAATTTTTTGCAGGATTATGTAAAAAAAAACATGCAAAATACAATATGCATTGTCGATTAGTGCAAAATTTAATGCAATTATTTCCACCAGGGTTCGTTATTTATTGCTTAATACCTTGTCCGTCAATTGTCTTATGACTCCATCCCACTCGCCCGTGTCTCCATTATAAATTCCATACTTCCCATCCGGCACTACTTCCAAATGATAATTGAACCCGACCAGATTAGAAATCATTTTTAAGAGATCGACCGAAAAGCCTTCATATCTCAAGTTGCCAGTCAAGTTGGTTCCTTGTCTCACAGTGACGTATGGAGCTTCCTGCAAAATGTGTGCTAATTGTATAATAGAATACTTTTAATTATGTATCATTCGTGGAATATTACCAGGACACAGGTCACCACGAGGGTAGCATTTGTCAATCCTAAATCCCAAAAATTTTGTGGCTTTGTAATGTTTAAGCGTCGCTCGTGCGTCCAGAAACCGACTTTTCTCCAACCGTTTCCTCCCAGGCGAATAATGTCCAGTTTGAGGTTGGATCTTTCACCCTCTTTGAATGACACGTGGCCAGAGAGCCCTTTGAATTCGGCCTTGATTAAGCAAAAAATATAAAATTTTCACGTCATTTATCCTCCCTTTGCATGCAGTGGCCGCGGAACAGACAGGGACAATGTCCCCACGGTTGTTCGATGTCCCCATCATCTGCCCATCTTATATAAATCCCTCCCTCCCCCATCCTACAATGTTAATGTCCCCACATGTCCCCACGGCTTCCGCGGCCACTGTATTTAATCAATTATTGTACCGCTGTAATATAATTTAGCAAGGTTGGGCCATCCTTCCACGATGAAATGTCCGCTTCACACGACAAATTTTCAGGTTTTAATTCATGCGAAACGTCCACAGTTGAAAGACCGATTCCTAACGCGATCACTGCATCAAACGCCAGCGCAGTTTCGGTCTAAAAAATATTCCAAATATTTAATAAGCCAAATTAACTGTAAAATTAAATAATGTTATTTATTACGCGGATAATGGAAGGCTTAGAATCTCCCAAAGCTGCATGGATTTCACTGTCCAAATTTCGTAGCTCCGAGAGTTTGTCTTGGACGTATTTGGCATCTGGATTTATCACTTGAAAGCTGGTAAGATTCACGTTAGACTGGATAAAGTTAGTCATATCCGTGCTTCTCAGATCAAGGTTGGTTAAAATGTAGTGGTATTTGTAATCTGTCATGTGGAGTTCCTCAATCTGGGCAAAAATGCATAGACATTTATTGTCAAACTTACATTATGAAAATCCATAAATTGCAGTGGAGGTCTCCCATGAATGTAAATACTACAGTAGTATTTACATTCACGAGGTCTCCCAGCATATGTTCTCCGTTTTTGAGGACCAAACTAGTGTCAATCGATCAGAAATTTAACTAATTTGAAATTTGCATAACACACAATCTTCCAATGGGCACGTTTGGCACAGATACTTGCATCCAAAGAGGAGAAAGCGTGCGGAGAAAGTTGGCAAATTTTACACTTTCCAAACTTACTGGGCGTTTTCTTTCGGATGCAAAATAGGGAGACCGTGTCTTTTGAAAATTTCATACTAATCAAATTTGCTATCGATTGACAATATTTTGCTCAAAATCGGATAGCACACGCTAGTAGACCTCCATTATTACTTATTCCAAACTTACAGCATTCAACAAACTTGCCAAACTTCCAATATGACAGTCAACAATCACATGTCGAATTTCTCTACTTTTTACTTCACTCAGCACACCTAAATACGTCGTCTTCGAGACCTTCCGTACAATAATATTTTCCACGGGGGACGGTTCTCGCAACAATGCCTGCGTCCTCATCAGCCCTTTCTCGTCCTCGTATAAAATCGCGACGTTCGAGATGCCCAAATATTTCGTGAGCTCTCTCAGCAGCAGCCCCCAAACTTGCAGCGTGGGTGCCAGCCTCACGGCAAATTGGGCGTCGGGTTTCCTCTGTTCGCTCCCTTCTCCATCTCCATTTCCTGGTCTTACATTGTTCCTCACGAACGATGGTGTCGCAAAGAACAGCGGAACATCCATCCTCGCACTGGTCCAGAACAGTTTCCATTCCAGGGAAGGATCAAAATTTGATGCGCCACCCAAAATGGCGACGACGCCTCCCGTGCTGAGCAGATTGCAGAGCACTTTCGACGCCCGGAATGAGTCGCCAGCCTTCACATAAATTGACCTCGCGACCAGTTTGGTATTTTTCGGGAGGATTGTGGTATTCGGATTGTTGAGGTATTTGAGACCCCATCGGTACCCTTTGTCAATCGTGCCATCCCTTTGTTCATGAGGTAGGACAATTCCTGGGGACAAAAGATGACATGGATTCATTTACATATTTATGGCGTCACGTGTCACAAAAGTATACACTAGTTTAAGGTTGATTTGCATAATTTGTTTTGCATAACACCCATATCGCATAAAGGGAATTTGTCTAATTTCAAATTATGCGAAACAACAATTTCATATAATTGGTATTAGCATAATCTTAGTTTTCATTCGTTTCGCACATTCGGTACTATACTAAAGTTTTACGGACTGGTATAATTTTAATACTAAACGGTAGCAAGTTTAATACCGAGAAATCAATACCTACTTGACTATACCAGATTTCGAACAGTATAAAATTACGCGATATCCAATTACTCAAAAAATTCCCTCATGTAAAAAGATGTTTAGTCAATAAAGCTTCTACAATATGACCCTTATGCAAAACACCTTTATGCAAATCCACCCATTTAGCACCCTTTTTACCCACCAACATTCAGTTGAGACGGAAGTGATTGGACTATATCGGAAACTAATATCACCATAAGAAGAAGGACGTCTTTGTACAACATTAAGAGCGCGTCTATTTTTTCTTTTACTTCACCAGTCCATCTATCTTTTTACCCGCCTCGGTGGCTGGGTGAAAAAAATGTAAATATTTACAGAAAATTCGCCTCCCCACAAACTTTTAAGGTATAAAAGGCTTTGTCTTACAAAGTTCCTTGCCAGGCAGGCTTTCTCCTGGATGTGGAAAAAAGTTGTACTGTAACCATGTCCCAAACAGCCTGCTGGTGGTCCAGCAGCACTTCTTCATGGTGAGTTGTATGTACTGCTGCTACCTACATACCTATGCACCTAAGCTCAAGCAATATGTTTACTTGGTCCGCTACTGTGCGAATATTTGCTCTCGGAAAGAAGAGCGATATAATAGGTGGGTGACATTACATACGATGAAGCAATCGATACTTTTCTGATTTACCAGGCGCATCATTGTTCAAGGGATGCGCAACGTTGGTGGGATGGTTGTGGGGAGCATCAGAAGGAGAAAGTGTGCAATATGATCCTTCATCACTCTCCTAACCGCACAACCACGACCACCAGCAATCCAGTCCAGTCCAGCTCAACTTTCTCCAGGAGCAGAAGAAGACCAGACCAGACCAGCTCAGCGAAGCTCAACTTTCTCTCTCATCAGGGGAAACATTGAGGATGATGGGTTGGTGCTGATCGAGGTTCACAAGCGGAGTGTTGATATGTTATCATCTTTCCATACATAACATTATGCAAGATCAGACCAGTTTATGATGTATGTGTCTTAATGTAATTTATGATAATCAGCAGGGGTATGGAATATAGTTTTGAGCTCTGTTCTTATCAGGGTTTGGATTTCCGCAGCGCTGTGACACCCACAAAGAGGAGAATTTGCATGGAAAATACAGGTTGTGTGAAGAAATTGGCTTTGCAAATTTTTTTCATAAGACTGTTGTATTCTCGATGCAGATTGTCGTCTTTTTGTGGGTGTCACAGCCCTGGAAATCCAAACCCTGGGAAGGACGGAGCTCGAAATTCTGTATTTTCACAAAATATGTATTTTGCCAACCTCTGAAAACCAGTTAGGTATTTAGATGACAAATGCCAAAAAAACTATATTCAAAATGAGACAATTTGGGCTAAATTGAGTATTTAACGGCTAAACGAGTGAAAAACAACATGACACCAACAATACAACCCGACACTACCAAAGTCGCCCCGTTATTATCTGGAACATCCTTACAAAGTGGGGACTTAGCCCCATCCCCTAAACAAGCCGAGAACCCGATAACATGCGGAATATAGCTTTGTTGATGTGTTCCCACATACAAATGAGCGTACGGCCCTTTAGCAAAGATAAGAACATCGTCACCCCCATGAGTCTCAGACTCCAACGGGACAGGTGATGGGACTTGATACGTCCTATTGTAAAAGTGGTCCATCAAAATATTCCTTCGCCTCCCTTGGTCATTGTACATACTTGGTCCGGGACCATTTGCATAAAAAAGGGTGTTATACGGGCGTAAATCGGTGGTCAGAAATAATGGAGGAAATCCCAGAATTTCAGTTCCTCTCGGAGGATATCCTACAAAATACAAAATATTTCCAATTTTTCGAAAAAGTTCACATATTTATGAATCTCAAAACACAAAGCTAATGTTTCGGGTGCAAGAAATAACTGCAAGAAAATGGTTTCTTGCAACTATTTTGACCTGCAAGAAATGCAAGGTGCAAGAAACTACGCCCGCCGCCATACTTCATACGGCGCGTGGTTAGATGGCGCTTATTTCTTGCACTTTCTCCCAGTTTTTTGCACCTCCCATTTCTTGCATTTCTTGCTTTTCAATGCAAGAAATGTAGCAAACCCACAAAAACGAAACACTGACCAAACTGTAATTTTCAAAAAATATTTAAAAACTAACCAGCAAAACCCATGGCGTGGGCATGATCCGACGTAACGACGATCAACGTATCGTCATCCTGCGTCAGATCGTCCCCTTTTTTAATCGCTTTATCAAACTCAACCGTCTCCCATAACGCCCTGTGCGCAAAATTGTCATGATGCGCATGATCTATTCGTCCCCCTTCGACAAAGAGGAAAAATCCGTTGGGATTCTTGCCCAAAATTTTGATCGCGGCTTCCGTCATCTCCTCCAAAGTGGGGTCATTGTTGGCGAGTTGTTGGTCATAGTAGGAAACGTGTGAGGGGTCAAAGAGGCCGAGCAGGTAGTCAGTCTCGGCCGGATCCACGGTCAACAATTGATCCCTTCCGGAAACGTATCTTCCTCTCGATGAGTTTTTCATGGAGATCCACTCATCAATTAGATTCACTCCGTCCTCCCGATATCCAGATAAGGTCGGAAACTCAGCGTCCTTTTCAGACTTTGGAGTAAATTGTTGCCGTCCCCCGCCAAGAATGACGTTAATTTTGATTCCGGGTTCTCGTTTGATGAGTTGAGTTGCAATGTCTTCGCAAATTTTGGGATTTTCTCCGTCGGCTTTGACCTTTCCGTCGTTTTCCCAGTCGCGGTCGGCGATATGGCTGTACGTTCCGGCCGGAGAGGCGTGCGTGACTCGGGTTGTGGTAACTATCCCGGTGGATTTTCCGGCTGCTTGAGCCCAAGATAAGACAGAGGAGACTTGATTTGTGGGGTCTGCCTGACCTGTACATACATTTATTTAGTGCGTGGTGTTAATCTCAAGTTAATCTAATCTATTTTTAATGGAAAAGTATGAAAAATAAGTAAGAATACCTGCACAAGATCCTCGAAGCACCTTGGACGTGACCTGGGTCAAAAATTTGTGTGATCTCATTTCAAATTTACATAAATATTCATAAATCACTGATAACCAACCCCGATCGTTGCATCATTAGCTTTTATCCCGCAAAGATAAGCCGTTGCGCTGCAGGCACTATCCGCAACTTGCGAATTTGCACAAAATGTCTGAAATTTTTAGAATGGAATTTTACACAAACCTGAGACTAATCTGATTTGCATGTCAAGCCTTCTTTTACTTACCTTGGAAAAGCCCGTAAACGGCAAGCTTTCCATGTACAGCTCAGCTTCTTCTCCGAATTGGAGATGGTCCAGGACTTGACCTTTAAAAATCCTGGCCGCCGTGACCGTGCTGACTAATAGAAAAAAAATTATGAAATATAGGACCATCGCGGACATGAAAATTGCACTATAAACTTACTAGACATCCCATCTCCAAGATAAAAAATTACATTTTTCGCCACCCCATTCACACGGGGAACATCCAACTTTTTCTTAAGCTTTTCTTGCGCATCGCTTATCCAGAAGTTGGTATCTGTAACAGAACAGGCAGGTGTGAACCATATGTAAAAGTACACAGCAGTATACGATAATACCTTCAATCGCGTTCAGCTTTTCATTCTGGAGCTCACTAAACTTTGGGATTGGATGCATTCGCCTATCTCTTTCTAAATTATGTTAAAAATTAATCATATTTAAATCGTACGAAATTTTGCATAATAATAATGCGTACCTTCTTCTTCCTCCGCGGAATGCCCATGACCACTGCAAGAAATCGCGAAAATCAGCCACACTGTTAACAACTTATTATTTCCCATTGTAATTTAATTTATTCGCCGAGAAGACAAAATATATTATTAATAGTTGACTTCAAACGTGCTACTGACCTTTACCGATTATGTGGGCACTTTAAATTATCTTGTCCTCCTGTACGACATCAAAGTAATCAATTCGTCAGGCATTTTTTTTCTACGCCAATCAAACCGTTGATAACATATAAATATGTAAATTGGAAATCGATAACTGTTCTCAATATAAATAGTTCAAGTGGTCGGGTCATATCTGGCAACTTTAAACTTGACATTCAAAAGTGCATTTAAATTGAAGAAGTCGTAATTGAGACTTGACATTCCAATTATTGGATGATGAGCACGTAACAGAATTCCAGTTGTAGGTGGTTGGGGATACATCTACAAAGTGTCAACGCTCAACAATCATGCACTTGATAAGTCGTTATCTATGTGTCAATTCGTATTGCAAAATCGTTTACTAAATAAACTACAAAATCAAATCATGGATATTGTTTCATTCAACTCGTTCTGAGTGAATTGCATATTAGTTTCGAAACAAAAGTGTCATAACCGAGTGAGAGCGTACTCCAGGCTTCCATAAATTGCAACTTCAAGATGAGTAGTACAGCAACAGTTTTTATACTTTGCATAATTTCGCAAGTCGTTTTGGGAGGCAATATTTATTCAGGTTGGTTACAAATTTATTTGTAAATTGCATGCAACCGAGAAATGTAACGATGCAAATGTATTCAACATACAGATGACCACTACATGCACCCCAATTTCAAACGGCACGTCCAAAATAAACAAGACCCTCCATTCGAAGGTATGCACGTAAATAAGGCATCAATTTCCCCTCTTTATTAAATCCTCCCCCCCCCCCTTCCATCAATTCACACCCGTGTCATGAAATGCTGTGAGGAGTTTTGATGCATTGTTGGCATTTCATGACACGGGTGTGAATTGAGGAGGAGGGGAATTTATGACGGGAAAGTGAATTGATAAAGAGTGGAAATATATAACGGGAAATTGACACCAAACCAAATTTTTAACAAGATGCCGAATTTTGGAGAAAAAACGCACAAGACGACTTGGCAAAGGAGCTTCTGAAACAGCCTATTGAAGCCCAAGCCAAAAATGTTATCCTATTTCTCGGAGATGGAATGTCCAGTAGGAAGAAATTTCATGAAATATAAGAATAGATTCGCACTTATATAATACTGAAATATTTACCAATCTGTAGTCCCTACCGTGACGGCTGCCAGAATTTTTAAGGGACAGAAAGTTGATGGATTACCATTTGGAGAGGAGGGCCAACTTCACATGGACACATTTCCATTTAGCGGAACTTCTAAAGTATAATTTCTAATTAATTAGTTATTAAACACCAAAAATATTTTAAGTTTTGGTGACCATTTAAAAATCGTAATCATACACAGACATTTTGTATGGACACACAAGTGGCTGACTCAGCCTGCTCGGCGACCGCTTACCTCTGTGGAACTAAGGGTCGCATTGGAACAATCGGGGTAAAAATCGTTATCAGAGGTCGACGCCGCCGGTAGCATTTTTTACTCGCCGCCGCCGCCGATAAATTTGATTTCCTGTTCTTTGAACATTGTGACGCCATGCCACGCCGCGCTACCGACGCGCAAATTCGCCATCGTCGACCTCTGATACACATCCGCACATATTTTAACACAATGCTTATCAATTTCCCCAGTACAAACAAGAAACTCTAATTTATTTACCACCAGGTCACTTCGAACGTAATGATATTTCAATGTGCTAAACAAGCCGACCCTGCCAACCACGTGTCTTCCGTTCTCGCCTGGGCACAAGTAAGGGATCCGTAGCTAACATACATATTTATGCCCTATAACCTTCAATCCGTCCTTACGAATCATAGGCGCAAGGAAAATCCACTGGTATCGTAACCACCACCGGCGTAACGCACGCCTCCCCCGCCGGAACGTATGCCCACGCGGCTTTCCGATCTTGGGAGAGTGACGCCGATGTCCGGCTTGGTCTTGGCGACCCCAAAGTTTGCGAAGACATTGCAACCCAACTCATCAAACGAGAACCTGGCATCAACATTAACGTCATTTTGGGCGGGGGTCGACGCCACTTTACCCCATTCACGCAAAACGACACCGAATATCCGGACGAAAAAGGTCACCGTCTCGACGGAGTGAATCTGATCGACGAGTGGATTTCCATGAAAAACTCGTCCCGAGGAAGATATGTTTCCGGAAGGGATCAATTGTTGACCGTGGATCCGGCCGAGACTGACTACCTGCTCGGCCTCTTTGCCCCCTCACACGTTTCCTACTATGACCAACAACTGGCCAACAATGACCCCACTTTGGAGGAGATGACGGAAGTTGCGATCAAAATTTTGAGCAAGAATCCTAACGGATTTTTCCTCTTTGTCGAAGGGGGAAGGATAGATCATTCGCATCATAATAATGCTCCTCAAAAAGCGATGTGGGAAACGATTGAGTTTGACAAAGCGATTAAAAAGGGAGACGATATGACGGAGGATGACGACACTTTAATCGTAACGACGGCGGATCACTCGCACGTGATGTATTTTGCTGGTTAGTTTTTAAATATTTATTGAAAATAATTTTCAGAAAATTACACTTAAAATTTTGTGCAATGTTCCGTTTCTTGCGGTTTTGCTATTTATAATAATTGACGGTATTTCTTGTATTGCAAACAAAGAAACGCAGGAAATGGGAGGTGCAAGAAATAAGCGCCATCCCCCCACGCGCTATTATATAAAGTACAGCGCGGCGGCATATTTTCTTGCGCCTTGCATTTCTTGCACATTAAAATATTTACCTGCAAGAAACCACTTTCTTCCTGTTATTTCGTGCATCCGAAACATTGATGTTGTGGTTTGGCATCATTCTTTTGCGAATTTTTTGCAAATATTTTGCATTTTTCAGGCTATCCTGACCGAGGCACACCCATTTGGAAACACTCTTCAGACCTTGCCCTGGATGGTTTACCCTATTCAACTCTTGGCTATGCAAACGGTGGGAATCGAAATTGGCTGGACGAAACGACCAACAAGCGACACAACATATCTCAAGATAACATGGACGATCTGAATTATAATCCTCCAGTTCCTGTTCCAATGATTGACTCTGAATCACACGGAGGAGATGATGTAAATATGCAAATTTATGTATGTGCATAATTAATAAGATTGTTTTCCATACTTTTTTAGGTAGCAATCTTTGCCAAAGGTCCATTTGCCCACCTGTTGACAGGGGTGCATCAGCAAAGTTATATTCCACACGTTATCGGGTACGCCGCTTGCATAGGGACAGGTGCCAAATTTTGTGATGAATAGCAAATTAATTTCTTTACGGCTTAAAGTAAAATAAGATTAATCAAGAAATAATTTTTTAAAATTAAGAATTCCTAATTTTGCCGTATATTCAAAACTTCAAGTCAATTGGATAAGTAATTGCTAGAAAGACAGACAGACTACCATGATGGATACATAAGCCCTGACTCGGGATAAAAAAACGAGAAAGAAAGCATGAAATTTTCCCCACTGATGGTCCAGTTTTTGACCTTTCATGCTTGCCCAACTTATCGTTATTAACCAATGAAAACGAGCGTCTATTCATCAAATCTTGCAATCATTTTCTTTACCTTCTCCCCTAAAAAAATTAGTATCAAATTATTCTACTCAATAGCAAATATAAATGAGAACATGTGCGATGATCTTTAAATTGAACATATTCAAGATTTTCTGCCCATGAAAAACTAGCAGTCTCAGATCTACTACATACAAAACGAGAATTCATATCACTCTCAACCATCAATCGGCAGCAGCATAAGTATCCAACGAATGTGATTTGACATGTCTCTTTCCTCGTCCATCCGTCCACGTTATTTTATGGGATTTGATTACGCAGCATTTTTCTTTGTTGGCTAAAAGTGATCTGGTGGCTTGGCTTGGCTTGGCTTGAGCTACCTCAAGAAAAGTAGTGAATCGAATAATCAAAACCGAAACCAAAACATTGAAAAGAAGTTGCAAGCAGTAAGTAGATTTTGGATGAAGGGGAAAACTGGTGCTTTAAAAGAGGTCATGTTGTGCACATTCAACTTCATTTCTTGACAATTATCTACATATCTACTACTTCACTAGCATGCTATGCTTTTGCCACTCACTCGGTTTACTCAGTGGCCGCGGAAGCCGTGGGGACATTAATATTGGGAGGGACGGGTTTATATAAGATGGGGAGATGATGCGGACATCGAACACCCATGGGGACATTGTCCCTCACCCTTCCGCGGCCACTGACGTTCATACTGTACGTACTTCGAGACCGAGAACAAGTGGCCGCGGAAGCTGTGGGGACATTGCCATTGTTGGAAAGAAGAGGGATAACATGGGGAGATGATGCGGACATCGTATACCCGTGGGGACATTGTCCCTCTGTCTGTCCCCACCCTTCCGCGGCCACTGACATTCATACCGTACGTACTTCGAGACCGAGAAGAAGTCTACAATGAAATGATAAAGGCATTACTTTTAGTTAGTGCAAAATGGTGATGGCGAATTAAGATTTGCTCGCTGCCTGCTTTGCACTCAGACCGAGAGACAAGTTTAAAATCCAATCTAGACAGACACCATTGAGGTCATCCGCTACGCTTACTTTGCTTAAGATTCTATTTATTCGATGCAATTTTTACTTACCGAATTACTTACATTTTTAACATTTTCACGCATCACGGCATTAAATGGTTTAGCCAAATTATTTATGTACTCGTACATGAAAAAATTCCCAAAAGTGCAAGCACATGTACACGTTACGATTTGTCATTATTTTTCATAGGCCCAAATTATCAATTAAAACACTCGTTTTTTAAGCTGCATTAATTTTTTAATTTTCGAAAGATGTACATATCTTCAAAACAAAGATTAAGGAGAGATGATGAGCAAGAAACGGAAACTTATTTTCCGCTTTGGAGACCAAACATGCATTACATATCGCACTACAGGATCATAAACTATTAATTGTGGTATTATTTATTTATGTGTGGTGCCAGTGGCCGCGGAAGTAGTGGGGACATTGCCATTGTAGGATAAGGAAATGAGGGGTTTGTATAAGATGGTGAGATGATGGGGACATCGAATAACCGTGGGGACATTGTCCCTCTGTCCTCCGCGGCCACTGTGTGTGCTGCGATAAGAAGATGCAAATACTGTTGTTATCTATTTTACGAGTCGTGCACCACATTTGATTCATTTTACTACTAATTGTAAGTAGAATTCACTTGCGATTATTTGCTTTTGATTGAATGAGGCTGAAATATAACCAGTCTTTCACTCAAGTAAGTTTTAGAAATGACCAGTGGCCGCGGAAGGGTGTGGACTGAGGGAGGACAATGTCCCCACGGTTATTCGATGTCCCTATCATCTGCCCATCTTATATAAACCCGGCCCTCCCTATCCTACAATGTTAATGTCCCCACAGCTTCCGCGGCCCCTGAAAATGACTGATGAGCATGAATCGAAGGTAAAATAAATACAAATAAATAAGCAATACACATTTCTACCAGTGTTAAAAAATCCGTCAAAATCTAGCCGACATTTTTAGGACATGCAAATATCTACCACAGAATTTTTACTTTTTTTTCTAATTTACTATGAAAAAATTCTATGAATTTTACTCTCGTGACAATCCCCCCCCGAGGACTTTTTTGTCTTGCAAAAGTCGTTAGTAATTACAAACCTTGAACATGAACTTGTTCTTTAAAACGTATCGCAAATGAAATTAAAGTGTAATTAAAGTACGTAAATCTTTCTCTTCTTGCCTCCCCCTCACTCGTTCGTTCGTGTGAGTAATTGCTATCTCGATGCACATTATTGCCGTTGTTATATCCAATCCACACATCTAATCTACTCTAGTTTCTCGTCATTCTAATTGCTGGGTGTTTTATTATGTATGTATTTTGTCGGTCTACTTCTTGCATTCCATTATATTCCATTGCAAACAATACGATACAATACAATACAATACGCGAGCCCATATGCAGATATGTATACGTACGCATTTCACACAATAAATGGGAATCTACCTAATAAATAAATGAATTCATCGTGCATGCATATAAAAATGGACGATAAACAATAACATCATCTTGATTTGGAGGATTTGCACATTTTTTTAAGCACAAATGTATTTCTGAGAAAGAAATCATCCAAATCTCATAATTGTTATATTATACCTACTGATTTTAAAGCAGGGGTGGGCAAAATATTTTGTCAAAAATGACCTCTGTTCTTCCCAAGGTTTGGATCCAGGGGTGTTACACCCACAAAAAGATGAGAATCTACGTGTAGAAGGCAAAAGTCAGAAGAAAATACATTATTTTCACGATGTTTTTTAAATAAAGTATTTTCACAGCGATTAAAATTTAATTTCTTCCCAAAACGTATTTTCATATGACCGTTGCCTTCTCCACGTAAATTCTCGTCTTTTTGTGGGTGTAACACCCCTTGAAAATTCAAACCCTGTAAACAACAGAACTCAAAAATCCTCCACTTCCACAAAATATTTTCCCCACCTCTGCTCCTTCTTTATCATCCCAATTTATTCATTCCTGATTGAGATATTTATAAAATCCATCCCTAAAGAAATAACAATTTTTCACAATTTGTCACATCATCATCATCCCCAAATAACAGACAGGGTTTCTCTCTCTCTCTCTCTCTCATGAAGGGATTTCCTTCTCTGGCGTCGACATTGTGGAGGACATTCTCAGTTTCTGTGACCTAAAAATGCTGCAAAAATATGAATTCACATCCTCCCATCCTACTATTCATCCTTTCATTGCTTGGTTTAGTGGACGCTGCTGCTGTTGTGATCTGCATGCGTGCATGCTGCTATTTTTTAACCAACCAACCAACCAACCTATTCATAGCGCACTTGTCTACAATAAATACCTGTACATACAACCAACCAACAATACCTGATGAATCTGTTCAGGCGGTCGGTCGTTCCCCTCAGGTGTTAATGTGTTAATACACCGAAATGCTAATGTGACACAGTAATAACATCGAGAGAGAGAGAGGTAACAAAACAGCATCACTAAGTCAGTAGTGTCATCCATCCGTAATTATATTCGTCATACAGTTTAAATTCTAAGTTGCCAAGTAGAGTTTCGAATAAGTATTTAGGGTTTAAAATGCTCAATTAAAATGCAGCAGCAGTTATCATTCATTTAAAGTCCATCCACCCGAGGAGCTTAGAGTGTCAGTAACCTCGGGATGGCAATGTCATCCGAGATCCTGCTGATATGTAAAGGGTTACTCGCTCCTCTTATCATCATCATGATAAGTGTACGAATTTCGTAAGAAATGCGTAATTATTACTCTGTATTGATCAACCAAACCGGAACTAATACTGAAAAAATGAGAGCAAAAATCCGTCTCAAAATTCTTACTTGATATCGTCACAAAATTTCGCAGAAAAGACGCATCGGCGTCCCTTAAAAAACGCCAATTTTCTCCCACAAAATGCTAAAAACTGTAAACGTATACGACGCCTAAGTAACTGTACAAGTGCCATTAAGACGCATGCCTGCAGCTTATTTGTCATCATCTTCTGACTGCTATTTATTTATTTACTGCTGCTGCAAGAGGATGAATGTTGACGACGACGCCATGGTACCTACTTCGCTTATGGGATGCATGCATGTTTCGGAAGTGAAAGCGAAGGTGTCGATGAACTTAGCTCAGAGCCACCACAGTAAAAAGTAATTGGCAATGGTAATGTATTCAAAGTAAGGTAAATTGGTGGTGGTGGTGGTGGTACTACTGCCACTGTTTGTCTCTCTGCAAAAAAAAATTGGCATAAAGATCTATGTATGTACTGTAATTTTGCAAGTTTTGCATTAGGTACAGATTTAATAGAGTAAATAACATACATAACTGATCGCTTGGGCATTCCCTGTGTGGATCACATACGTAACTAAATCATGAGAAATGTGACCTTTGATCATGAAGACGTTTCATAAGATAAAATTTGCAATTCTGATAAATTGCAAAATAGAATTCTAAATAATACTTACAAAACCTTTACTTCATATTTTGCACACCTATCTATCTACGTCAAGTTAAGTAGAAATTAATTACTTTTACGACGAATTATTGTTTCATTTGTTTACATATTTTATATCACTTCCGCCGGATTTTTCACAATTAACAATTCAAAAAAAGAATAAAACAATTGAGCCTCTTTCATTATTATTGTCTGTGTATATAAAATTCAATTGGTACGATAATTGGGTCAGCCTTACGTACATTTCTATATAATGGTTACATACATACATTCTTATATATGTAAAAAAAGCCACCCGTTCGGAACTCGATGGCAGTAAAAGTGTCCCAGATTCGTATTTATTACAGATAATGAAACGATGTGGGATAAATCTAAACCAGACTCAGTTTTGTTTCAATTGTTGATGCGATTGTTCAAAGTGTGCGACTTGAACGTGAACCTCTTTTTCCGTATTAAAACAACAGCACTCACGAATGAAATGGAGATGATCATCGTCATCACGAGAGGTTAAACGTTCAAGGAGGAGGAAGGATAACGTGGAAACTAGACCGACCGATTTCCGAATCCGACCTTTAACTTTTAAATTATCTCGTGAAACCTTTTCCTCGCCCACGCCACGCCATGCCGAATAAATGTGTGTCATGTAGTATAAATCCAAGCCACAGGGCAGTCTTGTTTAGCAGCCCGAGTCAGGTTGGTATTATGGGGCGAAACCTTAGTAAGGGAAGATTTTGTCCGTCCGTCTGTCCGTCAATCTATCAGCAGGATAAGGGGAGATCGGATCGAGATAATCGAGATTGATTTGCGGCATCTTATATATGACCCCAGGGGGTCAATTTGGGGTCAATTGGACCACCCCCTCGAGGTCAGGGGGTGTGGTGTCATAATTGTCTGGGAAATTACTTATTTCACCATATTGTTAAATTTAGTTTCCGACGGTTTAGTAATAATTGTCTCCTAATTTTGCATATGCAAATTTTCAACTCGATTGGATAAGTTCGTAATCGATACACAGACAGACAGACAACCATGACGCTCACATAAGGCCTGCCTCTGGCTAAAAGTTTTAGCCGAATCGAACTTTAGTTTCACTAACTTCAATAAAACACCATTTTCAAAAAAATAAATTAATAAAAATGTGGTGTGATATTATATTATCCACCCAATAAAAAAATATGACAACCCACTCCTAAAATTTTATGATTGTCACACCCGTGCATTTAAATTCCTTTTAAATATTTATTGTTTCTCGATCGTAGGCTGACATAAAAAAAATGGAAAAAAGTAACATTGTACATACACATCGTGCTCGTCGTCGTCATATTCCATAAATAAAATAATCCCTCACGACTCGATGCATCCCAGTCAATGATAAGTCGGTCAAATGAAGAGGTTGTTCACTTGCGCATGCAAATTTCACTCGCAGTTTACTTAATAGGCCTTCAACTTTACTCGTAAACTTCAACTTGCACTTATTCCTTTTCAGCCAAATTATGTATGTACGTATAGATCTGTAGTCTTTCTGTCGTTCGTGACTTCATCTTCCGCACCAACCAACCAACCAACGCGTCCCATTATTCCTGCAAATAAACGGCTCGTTTTTACATCCTTTTTGCGCCAATAAACGCATCAAATTAGTAAAATAAAATAAATAAATGAATAAACAACAATTTATATAAATGTCTACAGCGACGCTACCATTTTTATGGAGTAGCCGCTTATTGTGATCGTTTTGTCTGTCCGTCCATCTGTCCGTCCGTCCTCAGAACGACGCAATAATCAAAACCCGTCTTTGACATTGTTCTTCTAATTTTTAGGTCTCGGGAGTTTGAAAATGGGGTCAATCGGACCACCCCCCACAACGCGAAGGGGGTATAGTCCAGAATGCAACCTTAATTTTCATATGGGGTATCATTTTACAGGAAATTTCACCACGAAATTAACGTCGTCAATATTTTTGACCTCATGACCGTGAGGACGAGGTCAAAGATGATGAATCACATAAGTTTCATGTAGTTGTGTCATTTTAAATAATTTTTGCTGTTTGTATAACGCTACTTTTTTATCCTCGTTTACCCCGATTTATTAAACGACGTGCAATTTGCAGCGTATTCTATGTCACTCTTTTTTATGTGTGTGTATTAATTGCGTGCATGTGCGTCTGCAACAAAAAGATAGAAAGTTGAGATGAAGGAATTGTTTAATTCAGTTGCATGCAGGCACGTATCTACAATTCACAACAGCCTCATCATTAGTTGCGTAGTGTAACGTCAAACGTTACAAATTCGCAAAAAGTGCACCATGTACATGAGAATGTTTCACTATCAAGAATGCATTTGTATTGTCCCTTCAGTCAAAGTCAAGGTCTGGGTCAGTTCTATCATATCAATAAGTAAAAGCTAATTTCAGCCCGTTACTCAGAACTCGATTGAATTTATTGACCAGAAATAATCAAAATAAAAACAATTTGGTCATCGACACGGTGGACGAGGGAAAATAATAATATTATTTATTATGACTTCTCTCAATGAATCGAGGGAGTGATTGAACTCGATAATAGCAATATTTTGTTTGTTTGGACAATTTTCCAAGAATTTTCAATACGCGTCGTTGTCCTCGTCGTAATATGAGAGTGACCGTCATTTTTGCAGTGGCCGCGGACAATGTCCCCACGGTTGTTCGATGTCCGCATCATCTCCCCATCTTATAAAAGCCCCTCCCTCCTTCATCCTACAATGTTAATGTCCCCAGATGTCCCCACAGCTTCCGCGGCCACTAAGAATTTTCACTACACGTCGTTGTCCTCGTAATATGATCGTGTATACACAGTGAGTAACCGTCATTTTTGCAGTGGCCGCGGAAGCGTGTGGGACAATGTGCCCCCCACGGTTATTCGCCATCATCTCCCCATCTTATATAAACCCGTCCCTCCACAAGATTAATGTCCCCACACCTTCCGCGGCCACTTTGGACGGGAATTCATTCACGCAATTGTTGTTCCTATAATAATAATAACGCAGATTATATTCTTGCTTGGTTGAGGACGAGGTGTGCGTCATAACATAATTGCAAAAATTCTTCTTGTTTACCAGCCAAACCAGCCGAGTTTCACTTTGATTATTAGCTCATCTTATATATATTTTTTAACCGTTGTTTTATTGTTGCTTATCTTATCGTATGTGGGATACTTATTTACTTCCACTTTTGCTTTCCTTAAGGTGAATTCTATCATCCTTACAAATACAAAGAATAAGATACGAATGAAGTAGTAGAACTTGGCACTAGAAGGATTTATCTGATATAAAGACAGGATTGGGTAGTTTACTTTACATACATTCGTCGTAACAAAACCGCTTTATGTGTGCCATTTAAAACACTATCTGCACTGAATTGGATGCAATCTTTGGTTTTATTTTGTGGGCAATAAAACAAGCAAAAAAAACGAAATAAATAAATAAATAAATAAAAATGAAACTTTTGTCGTACACTTGATTGATTGAAGCTCAAAAAATTGCGTCAAAAATCCATACATGCATTTGGATAACAGCTTACCCAAATTATACATGCACGCAATCCTTACGCGCTTTTTTTTGCATCCACCAATTTATTTCTAAGAGATTTCTAATTTTCGGTTTGTGTGACAGAATAAAACGCAATTTCAGAGGATTACGCATCATCGTGATATTGCTATGTTTCTCAGTGGCTGCGGAAGCCGTGGGGACATTAACGTTGTAGGATGATAGGGGAGGGAGGGGTTTGTATAAGATGGGGGGATGATGGGGACATCGAATAACAGTGGGGACATTGTCCCTCTGTCTCCGCGGTGACTGATCCTTGTGCATACGCATAACTGTACATTTTACGTCGAGATCGGCACGTTTGTCCTCTTCAGTTCAGAATATAAGAGGCAGGTACATGTTGAAGTTGAATATAGGCCACGCCATGGTAAACTGACGTAAGAAAATGAGTAAGCTTAATGGGAATCTCAATAGCACGTAAAGTGGCTCTTCTCGTTGGAAAGAAAGTGAAATCTTTTTCCTCTATAGAAAAACTGCGTAGATTTTTGCAATATGACGCGCTTTTGAGGATGGATGTGCCATTTCCCAAAATTTATCATAGGATTCGAAATTTTCCGAAAAAAAATTTGTATACGTATTAAGAAGTAGAAGGAGGAATTTATATAGAGAAATTGTATTTGATGAGTCACACATTGTGCGTGGTGTGGTATTGCAGGCAGACTAAATAACAATCGAAAATGTTTTCAAAAGTATCAATTAGTGTTGGGTCCGTATTTGTGTACAGATTTCAAGGAATTTTTCAATCGTGTAGACGAAATAAAAACAATTTTCTATCCATTTATTACTCACTTTCGGTTATTTCGTTGCCCAAGGTCAACATGAATTCAAAACTATATTTTTAACGATATGTTTAGCAAAAATTTCGGAAATTTAGTATAAATCGCATACATAACCTTTTAGTAATTAGGAGAGCCATCTTAATCAGAGGGTGGATATGTATTTATTTTCAAGTTTTTCGTTTGATTTTATTTTTCAAATTTTTTGGGTGTATTCCCTAACTAACATAGATCACAAAAATTTCAAAATATTTTTACATATGTATTGCCATATTTCTAGGTTTTCAGAATGTATAAACATTTCCCTTATTATTTGAAAAATACGTGAATCTTTTACATACTTATATATGTATATATTTTCAAAAATACACATATTTTGTAAATATTTCAACGATATGAGACGAAGTTTTTTCGCTTAAATAAATTCGTCCAAAAAAATCAAAAGCATTAAATTCAGAAATACAAAAAAAATCGAACCTTCTTATTTTCATTTCGTACATTTTTCTTAAAATATTTCGGCATTTTTTTGATAAATATATACATATTTCCGTGATTTTTCCTAAATACATATCCACCCTCTACTCCTAAGTACATATGTATACCACACGTGCATCATTAATTTGTGTAATAGCGTCGTTGGAAGCTGCACTTCGTCCGCTACCGACCAGGATAGTAGCAATATCATCGCGAGGATTATATTCGAAATCGAAATTGACTCAACCCATCACACCACGAACGATGCAGTTATCTGCTTATTGCTAGCATATACATATCCAATTGCTAAATCGAAATACTTCTTTGGTTTAGTCCATCCATTCCGTTTGCATGAATACCAAGACGACGAAGAGGGCAAGGGTACGGATAGAGCGTTCATTTTCATATAACGCACAATGCTTGCTTTAAAATTTGAAGTTAAAAGTTGTCGAGGGTTTAGCTGTAGCTGAGATATTCACCTGTCCCACTTTGAATGTAGGACATTTGTAGAATACAACAATTGTGTGTCAGTTCTCATCTAGGTCTTCTGTCGAACACTCACATACAGCACAACCAGGTCTGTTCCCCAACAATGCAACGCTCTCTCGACACTCTCAACGCTAAAGTCGGTAAACTAACTAATCATAATACCACTGGTAACCACCACCACTACCGAAATACCACCACTGTTTACCAATCTCAGTCAAAATACTCGTGGCTCGTGTGTAGCTCATAGATAGATATTTATTGAATGCAATTAAATAAAACGGTGTTTTTTAGTTGGATTAATAAAATCGGGAATATTTTCAAAATTTTGATTTAAAAAAAATGTTTTGGTGCAGTGGAGAATTCCGGATTAAAAATCTGGTAGCGTTAGTGTGAGAAAAATTCGAGAATTTCGGATGGTTAATTAAAGTACAGAAATTTTGAGTAAAATTTGATCCAGTGAAATTTTGAAATTTTGAAAAATTGGAGGAAATTTATCCCGGAGAATTTGAGATTTTCATGACTTGGCTTGGATACCGTTTTTAGCGTTGAGCGTGTCCGTGAGACAAAGAGTTCTTCCGTGAAAATAAAATGCTAACAAGTTTTTTTTACTCTTCATGTAGCTCAAGAAAGGCCGAAAATAATTGATCTCTGGAAGTGCATGGGACACTTTTAACACTTAAACATAGTGCTCGAGTAGGTTTAGACAAACTGGAGAGTTAATTAATTAAAGTGGGCGGTATTGTTTTTTTGTGGGTGTGATTGAATTAATTTTGGAAAATAATTAAATAAGCGTCGAGTGACTGTGATTGTATTTTATTTTTATTCTTCAAAAAAACCTCTTCAAAAAAAATTAAGACGCTACATAAAGTTTTATTTCGTATGTGATACACTTTTTTTCTACGGCAAAGAATTTTTTGGAAATCTTCTTCTTCATTCTGTTTGACTACTTGGATTTGGATTTTTTTTGTTAAATGGATCTTTTAGTTGGTGAGTAAATCTAGAATTATTTTTTATTTGTTTTTGTACTCCAAATATTGAAGGTATTCCAAGAATAAGTTGGTTATTCTGAGATTTTGGTTTTTAAAATGCATATGAAAAATAGTTCCAACTATTTATAGATATTTGTGTATGTATGAAACTCGTGTAAGAAATGGGACTCCAACTTCCAAGTGGTTTAGGATGGCGTTTTATGGAATAAGTCGGTGTATTTCCGAATTTTGTCCAGGACAGAAGGATTAAAAAGGTCGTTCAGGTGAAGATTTTCACCCAAAACTCATCTATTTAAAATGTGTGTATTTTTAAAGATATCGCTTTTTTAGTTCAAATGGTATTTAATTCAACTTTTTGAAAATAGTTAACGTTTTATTTGGGTACGCAGGTCTTTAAAGTGCTTATATTTAAAAAAACATATACATATTTTTGTGCAGCTTAAATTTACACAACCCGTACTTATGAAAACAAAATATATGCACCTTTTCATACTTGCGACAAAAATAGTTGTCCACTTTACTCTGAAAAAAAATCACAAATAAAGCGTGCACAATTCAGTTTTTATTACCAATCCTGCCAAAGTAATGACGCATATCAAGTTCCACACCGGATTTTAGTACCAATTGTATCAATGAAGCGCAAATTAGCTATTAATGACAGTAGTAGTAGAGAATTACATATATTTTTAATGTGCGAATATTGAGACTTTAAAGTTTTGTACTCGGTTACATGCACTTATTTTCACAGGAAAGCTTTTAATGCAAGACAATCAAGCTGCACAGTAAATACGTTAATAGACTGTTTAATTAACTAATAAAATAATTCATTATTTACCAAATCATGTTCAATAATATTATTCAATTGGTCAAATTCACATTAAATTTTAAAAATTAAATTAAATCCCATTTTGGGTCACCTTTCGTTTCTATCTTCGAAAATTATTATTTAATTGACATCAAATTTTTGCAAATTGTGTCGCCTTTCGTCCCATCTTTTTTTTTGCATGGGTCTTAATCGAAACGAAAATTTGCATATGTCCAAAGCCACAAATTCATTCGGCTACTGTCCTGTCATTCTCTCCCAAGCGCACCAGGTCTATTATGTTATAAGTTAGCCCACACGGATAGACCTGCAGCTCAAAATGCTTAAAAAGTTCCAGTCACCCTCCAGTCACTGTATCTAGACTACGTTCGCCAAGTAATATACAGCGACTGGAGGGTGACTGGAACTTTTTAAGCATTTTGAGTATTGCAATCTTAATAACTATGAACATGACAGCCTCCACATTTGTACATGCAGGCCTATCCGTCTGTGTATCTAAGTAAGTATACTCCAAATCTGTGTTCTCTCCACTTATTAAGTACGTCCTTCCTTCCCTCCGTTATTATTATGCACATTAATGAGATCCAAAAACAAAAAAAAATACTTACTTATTAACATACATTTTATTTTAAGCCAAGCATAATAATAATCAACGACAATTCGCAAAACAAAGACATCCCCGCAAATTTTGCCCCATGCACACTTTGGCACTTTTCGCAACTCTACTTTGCATCCATACGTATAATCTTACCAGACCGTGATCCACGAAGAAGAAAACGTGTGCCGTTTCTGCTGTTCAGATTCTTTTCACGAAAAAAGAAGAAACAAACTAAATACATACAAAACGTAAAGTAAAAAAAGGGTTGAAATAAAGGGCAAGTAAGTAAATAAATTTGCTTGATCCGAGAAGATGATCTTAAACTGCATGCAATCATTGTATTTGAGTGAGATTCGTCTCATCTCGCCTTTCATTGTTTGGCATTGTTGGTCATTAGAGTGTGAGTCTTGTTTAGTTAGTGGAGCACTTCTACCTTCGTTTCATCTGCATTTCTTCTTCTTCTTGATTGTGAAGACGGATTAGCCAAATTAGACGTTACTTTTTTTAAGTAAGACGTGGTGCTGTAGGTGGTATTAGCTTGTGCTGGGATAGTCTCATCTCATGAGATGAGATTGATGTAGTTTGGTCTACACCCAACCCAACAAGACAGGTATGAAACAAAACTCAAACCAGCCAACTAGCACATTGGCCTACTTTTTAACATTGCTTTGATTCCACCACTTGGTAACTGCGAATGATGGCAATGAGGAGGGATGATGATACCGCTAGATAGATGCTTATATATCCGATTTGGGATAAGGCAATATAACGAATAACATGCATCCTCATCTCTACTTAAGCCATGCAGTGCTTTATTATTTTTTGCACTACCTTGACTATACAGAAGCAGAAATGCGCGAATCAGCATCATCATCAATGACGACGACTACATGCCCGAAACAAAAGTGAATTGACCTGGTCGACTTAAACTGACTGAGCACAAAAAAAAATTGTCTAACAAACAAAACTGTCATCGTGTAGAGTTAAAAACCAGACTGAAAAGCACGTTCATATAAGAGATACACATGGGTTTTTCGTATTTTTTTTCGAAATTTTGTGTACGCGAAATATTTGATTAAAAAAATATGCCAGCGTATAATTAAGCCAGGATGAAAAGCACGTTCATGGATTTTACACATGGATTTTATTATTATTTTTCGAAATTTGTGTATTTTGAAAATTGTATTTTAAGTTTTCGAAATTTGTGTACGCGAAATATGTTTTACATTTTATTAAACACGAAAAAAATATGGTTTAAATATTTTAAATATTAATCCTTAAACGGAAATCGCTCTCTCGAAGATGACATTTTCAATCCTTTTTTTCCACAAAAGATGAAATCTCACAGGCAGAAAATCATTGTTTTTCAAGCATACATGCACCATAACAAACAAATATTACTTCCGTGTCAATAGTTATACGAGAAGAAGGGACGGACCCTTTTTTTCTTGACGAGGTCAGGGCTCAATAATGCATACATGCATACGTTGGTCTACCCTACCTGAATTTCATTACCTGCTCACGGACCCCGTTGACCTAATTGTTGTGGTGCCCTGCTCATCATCATAATCCATTCCATGTGAATATTAACTTGCCCTCTTTCTTATTCTCCATCCATCCATATTATGAAAATGCTTGTAATAATGACCAGGTCACCAGAGCAGCAGCAGAGTAAGTTTTCAAGTAAAAGATAAAGAGCAAAGAGACAGGATTGAAAGGTTCACAATAAGTAAATAAATCTCCTTCACCTTAACCCACAATGCAGATTGGGGTACAAATTGTCAGGTGTACAGAATTCAATGCGGGATTAGTTGTACTACAGAATATGCAAATAATAAAAATCCTGGAAAATATGACTTCATTTAGGGTCGCGTCAAATTATTTGAATCAGCATTTTCTAAAATTTCATTAAATAATTTTAAAAAATCCAAAAATCATCATGATAAAAAATTAGCACACTTTTCCTTCTCAAATCTTTTGTCACGTCAAATTTTAATACGAATTTTGGGCATAAATTGAACCCTCAAATCAGCATTCTCAAAAATTTCGTCAAAAAATTTAAAAATACAAAAACTGTGATGAAAATTAGCACACTTTTCCCTTTAAAATCTTATATCACGTCAAATTATGATCCACACAGTAATTCAAATTTTGGGTACAAATTAAGTCAAATCTCAGCATTCTCAAAAATTTTCGTTAAAAATTTTAAAAATGCGAAAATATCTACCTATCACAAAAATTAGCACACTTTTCCCCCTCAAATCTCAATTTCGCATTATAATTACTCCCACGTGAATCAAATCAGCTAAATACGTACAGATTCCCGTTCCTTTTAACTTCAACACGCCTGTCACCTTGATCTTGATCTTCACGTTATTAACGCAAACCACGTCTTTGCAATTGCAATTTTATTCAGGTGAATGCATGCACACGGCTCGCTTGTCAAATCACGAACGTTTTTGCATCGCAAAAAAATGCACATTTGCTTTTAAACTCTTTCAAGAAAATGAGTTTTGTGACGATGCACTATTTTAATAAAGTTTCTAAATAAATTCTGACAATTTTATACAGTTAGGTTTACGTAAATAAAGTGTGCATTAAAGTAATTAAGGTAGGTTATGCTAATAACGGAATGCAATACAAGCAGCAGTCCTGCTTTAATAAATAATTGTGTCTGCAGTTCCGTTTACTTTGTTGAGAGACAAAACATCCGTGTCCTCATCTGGCTCATAACGCATTTTTGTTATGCTATATATCCTACTCGCAAAAATTAATGCACATACAGTGGCCGCGGAAGGCGTGGGGACATCTGGGGACATTGTTATTGTAGGATAGGGGAGGGAGGGGTTTGTATAAGATGGGGAGATGATGCGGACATCGAATAACCGTGGGGACTTGTCCCTCCGACGCTTCCGCGGCCACTGTATAAACTATAAATACAGTAATGATAATATGATGGGTTTAGGCGTACATTGTCCCTCTGTCCGCACCCTTCCGCGGGCACTGTTTGCATACACAAACTATAAATACCATAAACTGACGATATTTATGACGGGTTTAGGCGTTTCATTAATTAGTTTGGTGCACTTTGTCGAGCTTCAGTTTTGGCGAATTAGGTGGCAAAACCAGAGCATCCATCCATCCATACTTTTTGGTACATTATTGGAAAACGATGATGATGATGATTATCAACCCAATTAAACGAATCATGGACTTGTTTTTGAACTCATTTTTCCCTCAGCAGCAGGTATACAAACTTCAATGCAACAATATAATCTCAGCCGTAAACAGTGCTAACGTTTATTTTACAACCGTGTAATTCACAGTTTACAAGAGTTGAGTTGATCCCGTTTTACTTTTTTAAAAGTTATTACGGCTGGGGAACACCTTTAACCTTAACCGTAGCTTCGCGTATCATCATCACAAACCACTTATCGTCTTCTCTAATAAAATCGCTTTAAATGATGGGGTAGACTTTGTTTGTTGGTCGACGAAGAAAAACATTGCATCCATCCTGCACTTTTTTTCTTGTTGGCCGTGTTGCATTGCAGCGTCGTCCTCGTTCCATCAATAGTTAAGTGGAGTAAACAAAAGGGACAGGGTGAGAAAAGAGGGCGGGTGATGAGATTATACTGCCGACAAGGTTTTATAGGGAAAAAATACAGTTTTTTTAGCACGTTAAAAAGTTGGAGGTATAAATTTGTATGTATGTTTTGGTCATTTTTTCGTGTAGATTTCGAACTTTGTATGTATATACGAACTGCACATTTTTTTAATAATGCAAATCAGGAATGCATACACTTTTTTATGAAAAATACAATTTTTTTAGCACATCAAAAAGTCGAAAGTATAAATATGTATGTTTCGATCATTTTTTCATATATATAGATTTCAAATTTTGTACATATCTATGAACGAGTTAATCAGGTATACGAACACTTTTATTTGAAAAGTAAAGTACAGTTTTTTAGCACATCAAAAAATTGCAGATATATTTCTGCCATTTTTTCGTGTAATCTCGAATTTTGTACATATCTACGAGCTGCATATTTATTTATTTTTAATGCAAATCAGGTATCGGACCGTAATAATAAAAAGTTTTATGAGTTACACGACTTAAAAACCTTTCGACGAAGAAGTAGAAATGATAAAAATTTCAGGATTTTTAGAGCTCAATTATTACTTTGACGTTTTCATAACACGGGGGAACTCTCTGTATTGTGCAAATTGGAATAATAATCATAAAAACCTATAGAAATATAGGTACACTACAGTCTCATGATAATAATGCTATTGTAGTTCAGTTGTACGCAATATTATGATCAGCCAGCACCGTCAAGAAGAAAAATGAATCCCGTTACGAGTATCAGACGTCCTTGTCTTCAGCCTACTACATTTTTCCATCCGTTTTCTTGAGACGGTTAGATCCTCTCTGCTTAAATCCGAGTGTCTGATTTGCTGCACTTGGCTTAAATTCTGGGTTGAAATGTTTAAAATTCTTGTACATACATATTTGCTCTAATTTTGTGTACTGTACTCCAGGTCCATGTATTTATAGAATTTTACATACATTTTTCCACCATCATTGAGTCCGCGTCGTCTTATCGAAGTCCTGTGAGACATTTATTAAGATAGGATCGGGATCTATGTGCGCATATTTTGCTCCATTTCATGCCACGATTAGACAATGAAATCCTTATTGTCCGCCCTTTTTGACTCCTTCGTTCCTTCCTTACTTATAAATTGACCTGCATTTCTACCCTGGAACCCAACCCTGTCCCACATTTGGCATTCATAACGAGAACAATGCGACCATACAACAGTACTCGTAGTAAATAAGATGCAAGGAACGACCCATCATGAATATGGGTGACATTATTATTAGGAAATGGATAAATAAAGGTCGCAAACTAACTCTTCTCCGTAACTATTTCTGAAGAAAAGTATGTAAATGGACAACATTTTAGACTGCATAGACAGAAATCATGTACATAAAGTTGACCACTGTCCGTGTACTTGGGAAGATTTAAAGGAAACTGAAAATAGGACACGGAACTACTTAATTCTTGCCTTGTTGACGAAGAAGGAGGATGGGAATTCCTGCAGCCTTTAATTTTAGGCCATACATACACTAATATTACTGAAAGTACACATGTACAACAATAACTTTTACTCTCTGGTGGCTATGCAACGCAACGCAATTATCCAACATAACGGGAATTTTATCTATCTCCAAATTCTAATTTTGCTTTGCAGGAGGATCTTCTTCTTTCGACTCGACGTAAACATGAATCACATCACGTCACGTATTCATCAACGTAATCAATCTTAAAACTGCTAAATAAATACGATGAATGCTTCTTATGGAACGTAATCCCACATGGAAATTGATGTAAATTTGTCCCACCGAACTACTCGTGGTAGAGATGAGAACTCGAAAAAAGGATTAGTGTCAGTTATACTCCCTTGAATCTAAATTGAAATTTTAAAAATCCAGTTTTTAAAAAATTAATTAGTTCGAAAAGTGTGAGTGACGCCAAAGAATTCGACCTGGACCACGAAGAACGGTGGTGGTGGGTGCTTCCGTGCATGTAATGCATGGCGTCGCAAAAGAATCAATTCAAAATTTAGTTCATTTTTCGAAAAACTGGGAACAAAATAATGCCTGCCCTTCTCCACTAACGACCAGAATCATCCCTCCAACTCTGCCAGGACGTTGATTGACTATGAAATTAAATGAATCAAATCTGGCAGATCCTTTGCTCTTGTCGGGATGCCCTCTGGGTGGGCCGGCCTGGGGGACGGGGTCGTTTGGCGGTCAAGAGCTAATTTCTACAACCACGTCCACCTTCTCGGAAGACAATCTCATCCTTCCACCCACCCCCAGCTCAGGGGGGAGCACGAGTCTGTCCTGTAAAAGTGGGACGTCCCCCCCATCCTCCGGACACGGCGTGGAGCTAGACGCACTTCTGATAGTTCAAAGCAGCGACAGTTTTGCGGAACTTAAACCCTTGCCCCCCTTCGAGTATGCCAACCCCACGGTGCAACTCACCCTGCACAATGACCCCCGCCTCCCACAAATGGGCTCCACCACGGCGACGGGCTCCTCACCCAGCCAGTCGTCGACAGGAGGAAGAAGTGCTAATAATAGTAGTAGTAATAATAATAATAGTAACATCCACGCCCACAACAACCATTCCCACTCCTCCGGGGGGAATAATGCCCCCAATAATTTGAGACACGGTGGGAGCGGGGGTTCCACGGGGGGCAGCAGTATCGTCAGTTCGCCGACGGGAAACTTTTCATCTTCTTCGGTCGGAGGTTCGCCGAGTTCCTTGTTCGATGCGGTGTCCAGCTCAACGACGCCGGTGATCACGCCCAATATTAAGTCGGAGTTGGCTGATTGTAAGTGCATTTTGAGAAAATTTTGATTACATAGCGTGACTAGTATTTCGAGTGCGAGTACTTAACCGTTTGCAAGAAATAACGGGAAGAAAGTGGTAGAAATACAAGATGCAAGAAACCGCTATACATATTTTTTTGCACATTTTTGCAATTTCATGCACCTCGCATTTCTTTCCTTGTAGTGCAATAAATGTAGCAAACACGCATGAAACGAAATATGGAATGCAAGAAATAACGGGGAGAAAGTGATTTCTTGCAGGTGAATATTTTGACCTGGGAGAAATGCAAGAAAGTGCAGAAACTACGCCCCACCGCTGTAAATACTTCATACGGCGCGTGGCTGGATGGCGCATATTTCTTGCACCTCGCATTTCTTGCATTTCTTGCAAAATATGTAGCAAACCCGCAAGAAACGAAACCCTGTTAATGACCACATTTAAAAATCCACGTGTCCCTAATTTTATTCTTACAGATCTCTTAAATTCGGACATCGACGATATTGCTGCCTTAATCGGAAACGCTATCGCAGACTCGACCGTGCCCAATTTAGGCATAGAATTAGACCCGAATGGCGTCACCTCATCCACAATTGACCCCTGGACCGAATTGGACGCCTGGATTGAGAGTGCATGTCAACAAACGCCCGGACAGCCGCAGATGGGTGGGACGAATGTTCCCGGAAATGGGCCAGGTCCCGGGGGACGGGGACAAACGACGGGAATTTTACTAGATCAAGACGCCACGATCCACACATCCGCGGCGGACCATGCCTTCCTGGACGGAAACAGTTCCACGTTGCAGACGCTACTGGAAGCGGACAGTTTTTCGGGGGGGTCGGGCGGAAACAATATTTATCATCACCATCATCCCGACATGAAACAGGAGTTTCACAATAATAATCATTCCACGTCGATACTTCAATCAAGGTTACACCAGCCTCTGTTCATTTACATGTTTAACTTTCCCTTTGCCTATATTCTAACAAGGGAGGTCTCGCAGCGGTTGCTCTCCGATTTTGGCAAATTGGTCTCAATCGATGACAAATTTAAGTAGTACGAAATTTGCAAAAGACACGATCTCCCAATGGGCACGTTTGGCAGAAATACTTGCATCCGAAGAGGAGAAAACGCGCCTTAAGGTCGACAAATTTTACACTTACCAAATTTACTACGCGTTTTCTCCTCTTCGGGTGCAAGTATTTCTGCCAAACGTGCCCATTGGGAGATCGTGTCTTTCGCAAATTTCACACTAATTAAATTTGCCTTCGATTGACACCAATTTGCTCAAAATCTGAGAGCAACCGCTGAGAGACCTCCATTGTTAATTAATTATTTTGAAACTATCAATCCATACACTTCCTCCTAATTCTTGTCCAGTCTTAACCTTTGTCGGTCGGTGGACAAACCCAATTTTATTATGACTCGTGCAGCATATTATTATTACGCATTATTCAATACACTCACCGCAGTTGAAAACGAGTCATAAAAAATCGCACATACTTTGTTTCAAACCACCATTCATTCCGTGTAGACAATCAGAACGGAGAAACATTATGACCAGTTGTACATAAAGAGAAAGCTAGTTAGTTACCTGGCTGGCTGGCCATTTATTTAAAAAAATGTACAATTAAAAATATTATTTCATGCCAAAGAAGCCCCAGAAATACCTAGCGTTTTAATTCGAGCACCAACAACTCTCACCGTCTTCTTTGGTGAATATGTATAAATAAACAGTCCATGGCCTACTTTAATTGAAAAGTGTATTATTCTTTATTCAGTTAGAAACTTTGATTCCAATTCAAACTCGATTTGTTTGTTTTGAATAATTGAATTCCTCATTTTATAATTAGACAATTAGCCAGTCAATTTCATGCCTAAAATGAATACCTAAAAATTATAAAGAAACGCAATGCATTACTCAACTAGGCAAAATTAGTTGCATTTTTCCCCAGACAATTTTTTTGTACTAGTTCTTGCAATTTTTTTGCAAAAGGGATGCAGAATTTTGTATGCAGAAAAGGATGTAATGTGAATGACGATTGGAAATTTGCATAGAAATGCATATACAGTGGTCGCGGAAGCCGTGGGGACATGTGGGGACATTAACATTGCTCGATATCCATTAGTCAAAATTAGTCGCATTTAACTCAAGAATCCCCAGACAGTTTTTTACACCAGGTGTTGCCAATTTTTTGCAAAAGGGATGTCAGTTTGTATGCATAAAAAGATGTAAATTTTGCGTAGAAATACATACACAGTGGCTGCGGAAGCCGTGGGGACATTAACATTGTAGGATAGGGGAGGGAAGTGTTTGTATAACATGTGCAAATGAAGGGGACATCGAACAACCGCGGGGACATTGTCCCTTTGTCTCCCCCACTTCCGCGGCCCCTGAAAATACCCCCGATACCATAATAAACACCTAAATCTACACGTTAATCCAGTGGAAACAAGGTCTCGAGTCTATGAAATCTATTTGAGTTTCCATTTCAGATTACAACAACCAATTCCTGGTCAGCTGCTGCGAATCTCCGGGGGTCCGAATACGTCCCCCTCACAAATGCCCGAGTCCACCACGCATCATCACTACGGCCTCAAAGTGGATCCTTACACATTGGATCATCCCGGATCTCCCACCTACATCGACCCCATCACGGGCGAGGTCACGCAACGCCCCCACACCACGCACGTTTCACCCCCAGTCGTCACCTCCACCATGATGAGCAATGGGAGCTCCAAGTACCGGAAGCAATACAAATTGTCCTCGAACAACAAGGGCAGCAGTCCGACGTCGAGTGGGGGTTCGTACCACGACGGGTCGAATAACTTTATCTCACAGTTCGGACCCAACTCGTACGACCACCACCACCACTCGTCCCACAACGGGCTCGGGAACCAGGTAAGTTATGCCACCTCCTCCCACATTGGGCCACCTTGGTCTTCTCACGCTCACAATCAACCTCATCACTCATGGCGCAGAGAGGTACTTTCCTTGCCTCTAACTTTTCTTCTTATTCGTATAAACAAACAGATTTATTTATTCGGATTAATATCGCTTAAAAACTCCGATGGGTTTTGGCCAAAGTTGGATTAAAGACAATGTTAACATATAAATACAAAAGGATAACCACCCGTTTTAAACATGTCATAATAACCAGCGTTTCGTTTTTTTGCGGGTTTGCTATATTTTTTTGCACGGGAAAGCAAGCCACGCAAGAAATGCGAGGCGCCAGAAACTGGGAGAAAGTGCAAGAAATGTGCGCCATCCAGCCACGCGCGCGTATGAAGTATGAGCAGCGGGACCTAGTTTCTTGCGCCTTGCAATTCTTGCAGGTCAAAATATTTACCTGTAAGAAATCACTTTCTTGCAGTTATTTTGCCCTGCGAGAAACGCGAGGTGCAAAAAACTGCAAGAAATATATGCCATCTAGCAATGCGCCTATGAAGTTGCTACATTTTTTGCACTTTTTTGCAGTTTCTTGTGCCTCGAATTTCTTGCAGGTCAAAATACCTAAAAAACACTTTTTTGCCGTTATTTCTTATCGCAAGTGGTTATCTACTTGCACCCGAAAAAAAACTGATCATAACAGGACCAACTAACCCACCGGAGTTTTATTATTGACGCCGCATAACATACGAAATTATAAACCAGACTGATTTTGCATGTGCTATCTTCTCCTTCCTGTCCCAACTCTGTGTTCTTGTGAAACTGACCTCTTTTACGCTTTTGAGAGCTTTGAAATCCAACTTAAGAATTTTGTATACGACGAGTGAGTAGGAGTGGAAAAACATTTCGCTAAAGGTCGCGATTTTTCTGTCTTATTTCCCTTTCTATGACCGTCGCCGACCTCCCTTCCCTTGGTTCAACTTGTCTGTACCATTTTCCAAAAAGCAATCTAAAATGGGGATCAAGACCAAGAGAAAGTCGTCCAAGCTGCCCAGCTCGGCGCATACGATCGAGCTGGACCCGCTCGGAAAGGAGAAGCCAATTCATCGATGTGGAATTTGTAATCGGGTAAGGATTTCAAGTACTTTAAGCCAGTGGCCGCGGAAGGTGTGGGGACATGTGGGGACATATCACTGTAGGATAGGTGAGGGAGGGGTTTATATAAGATGGACAAATGATTGGGACATGAATAATTGTGGGGACATTGCCCCTCTGTCCCCACGCTTCCGCGGCCACTGCAAAGCGCTACAAAATTTCCGGTATTCCGGAATATGAGCATATTGTTTCCTCTGCATAATTGAAGTAATCCTAATCGAACCCAATATTCAGCTAGCCATTTTTTTCGAGTGTCTCATTTTTGTTGAAATTTCCACTTGTAATTTCTATTGGAAAATCGTTACGAAGTCCATAAAAATATTTAGAAAACTGGAAATATTTAAGCTCTTGATAACATTTTTCGGAATTGGTCATTTGTTCGCCACGAAGTCGATATATTTAGAAAACTCGAAAAACTCAGACCATTTTTTCTTGCCCCCATTTCTTGCAGGGATTTCTCAACAAATCGAATATCAAGGTCCACTTGAGGACCCACACAGGCGAGAAGCCCTTCAAATGTGAAGTCTGCGGAAAGGCGTTTAGACAAAAGGCGCACCTACTCAAACACGTCCAAATTCATAAACGGATTACGAGGGACTAAGTAATTTTAATGTAAAAACAAAATCTAAACGAACCCGATTTTTTTAATTAACCATCCAATCATAACTATTTATACACCTTAAAACCGCTTCCTTTTTGTTATTTCCTCTATCTCAGAAGTAGAAAATGTATGTAGAAAATGCATATCTTGTCTCATTATTCATTCCGTTGAGTTTTGTTAAAGTTTTGCGTGTTAAGAGACGGGTGGATATACTATTATTTAGTATTTTACTTATTGTTGTGACCGAATAATTGGTTAATTAATTAATTAAGTAGATAAATTTATAGCGCAGTCCGTCTCCAGATTTTGTATATTTTAAATACTTACATATGCTGGTAACAATCGATTATTCATCCCCATGAACTCTTAAATAATGATAAGTCTCACATCTCAGGATATTTTAGTTGAATCCCTCCATGCCTTCAGTCTCCTTCTTTAACACGATAAGTAGATATGTAACAGTAGAATTATTAGTCAGAAATATATATATTTAGGAAACATATTTCCCATATTTTCCATAATTTCTGTCCGTTTCATTACATAATTTTCAAATAATAACTAATTTCTGAAAAGTGATAATCGAGTAAAAAAGAACTAGATAAATATTTTTATACTTTAACCAAAATTCTGTCCTCTTTTAGTACTTAAATAATCTTCTCAATGTTGCATACCATTCTTGAATTAATTAATCTTCCCTTTAGAGAGAAAGAAAACCTGTAAAATTTCATATTTAAGTTTTAAATATTCCGTAAATTATGAAGCTTAAAATAGTACTTGATTCATTCTGTTGAAGTGTTTTGTAAAAAAAATAGTTGATGAACATGCGACGACAATCGGACCGATAAGTAGTTATCGATGGCGAAAAAAGTGAACTATTCAGTACCTCAAAAAACAGTTTAATTCTTGTCGATATTGTCAATCGTACCTATTTATTGTTGTACCGTTTTTATATAAAAATTGTCTACATTCTATGAAGAAACGTTGTCGTCTTATGTGTGATTGTACAATTTACGGCAAATTAGGCTACTTAAAATTAGTAATTTATTTTAAACTTGAACCTGTCTAAATCGAAAATGTTATTTATGTATATCGTTATACAATTTCCCTGTTTTCTTTGTTTCTTATTTGTTGTTGTACTCTGTCGTTTAATTACAAAGCAATTTAAATATGTATTAAATTCAGTTTTGGACTGGAAACTCTGCTGGACGACAATACTTGATACCACAGTTTTGTACATATTTTACATCTTAGAAATCTGGTAGTAAATCATTACTGACCGGAAGTACATGTACGACTTGGTAATAGCGGGCGTTACTGTGTGGTGCTGAAAAATTTACCACTCAGGAACAAACTACTAAATATAATACCAATCCGGTAAGAAGTTATTACCAAACGGAGTATATATGTGATGTGACTCTACCAGATTTTTAACAGTTTACACATTTACTGAACTATACATACATAATAATTACTATATAATCCAATCCACCGACAAACTATTTTTTATTCATTACTTACAAATACATACATACATACATTTGCAGCTTATATTATTAAATATTAATTAGTATAAGAAAGTCATCGCTATCATTCACGTTGTCAAATAATTGTTTACAGAAAGCCATAAATCTCACGCATACATATTTACTAATTTATGATTGCTTATTGATGGACATTTGTAGCAGTAAACCAGTAGATTATCCTTGCAAATAAGTAGGTAGACCAGCTAGTTTTGCGGTTTTGATGATGATGGCGAGTAAAAGAAGGCACAGTAAATTGAAAATCAAAAGTAATCTCGCAAATTAAATGATGATTGACTTGCCAACGACGGACAGCAGACAGGTTTGCTTAAAATGACAAATTGACCTAATTACAGACTAATACAATACCTTCTCTCGGCAAATTTGACCTGATGACATTGACTTTGAAATGTTAGCCTGGCAGTTTCGAATTAAGGGAAGTAAGTACATAATTCAGCATTGTTTTGCACTGTCCATCCAAAATCAGCGTCCCCCGCAGCCTTGTCGTGATCTTGGATTTTTTTGTCTTAAATGGGACGAACTCATGACTTTTGATTCGGTCTCTGCGTCTTTTTTCACATCAAATCTGGTTTGTTGCTTACTTGCTTCAACGAGATGTACGACGACCCATATAAATATCCTATGCACAATTTCTAATTCTAGGCAAAACTATACTATTCATTTATGTATGCGACTTATTTCACTTCAAGATAGGTATTTTTTTCAAAATGCATAGCATACACAACACATTTCAGTTTTTTCCCATGTTCTACGTGTGAGTTGTACATAGCTCACAATTTGTATTTTACAAATGACTTTGAATTCAAATTCTCTTCTCACAAGATTCGCTTCTTCTTTTTTCTGCAAGATGCATGAGACTATGCAGAATGTTTTGTTCTTTAGAAAATCAAAGCAAAATACAGCTTGGGTATAAGAATATTCAGTGGGTAGAAGAAGACCCATTCATTTCATTGCCACCAGTACTACCACCACGTTAAAAAAGTAACCAAACCGCATCACACGAGGCAGAGATGGATATTCAAGTTTCGAAAAGGTAGGACAGTAGGGCAGAGAAAGTTATTTGGATGTGGTCTACATGTTCTGAGGCTCTTCAAGCCCATTATTATTACTAAATACGTACTACTCACTCACTCACTGACTGAACTCATCCCTTCTTGGTCGTCGTCGAAGTCATTATGATCATCATGACTTTCTATATTAACGCCACAGCATATATTATTTATACTGATAAGAAGTAATATAATGCCACCAACCAACAATCACCCCAGCGAATCCAATACCACGGTGAGATTTAGTGCTGTGCGGTTCTTGAAAAATGGCAATGTCACGCAGTTGGCAATGACTTTGACTTGAAGTTCAACACTGCGATTTTGATTTTTATGCGTTAACCTGACATTTTCAATGATAGCAGTAGCACTGCTATTGGATTTGTAATTCTTTTAGACGACATGAAGACTACTATCAATTTAAGTACATATTTAGAATCTGGACATTCTGGACACGAATTACTTGGATTGAAAAAATCAGGCGTTTGGCTTTGACTTGAAGTTCAACAATTGGAAATTTAACCTGAAATTTTCTATAATGACGCTATTGTTGGACTTTTAATGAATTTCTCCTATTGGACGACGTGAAGACTCCTTGATCAAGTGATGAATCAATTTAAGTACATAAAATCTGGACTCTCTGGACACGCGTGAGACGATTTATAAGTACTTGGACTGGACTTGACATAATTAACGACACTTTTGAAAAACGATAATGAATGAAATGAAATGACATAACTATGTAAATGTAGTTGATCTCACCCAAAGATAAGTTTATATAGTTTAAATATTAGATTTAGACCTTTGTCTTGTCACTTTTACATGGTCAATCAAATTGTTAGTTGAATTTTGAATCTTCCATCGACATCCTGTAAGTTGCTTATATTCTGTTATAATTGTTCTTAGTTGAAGAATTTTGTCATTAACGGATTGTTTTGTTTTTTAGTTAAATAACTTTATCAGAGTTCTCAATTTTTATTGTTTCTTGTTCTTGTTTATCAATGATGATGACCGTTACGGGCGAATTTATTTTGTCAGTTAAATACTTCTTGTTATTATTTTGTGTTATCTATTTAATAAATGCATTGCTGATTTCAAAAGTACATAATTATTGCTGATTGCCAAGTTTATGATGACGAATTAATGATTGTGCACAGATTTACGTTTTTATAGCAAAATTGTTCACGTTGCATATTTGTCTCTAAATTCATGGATATTTTTACACACAAATATGAAATTTGCATGAAAAATCCTGGGCGTCTATGTTCACTCAAAATATCGAATGTTTCGTGAAACAATACGAAAGAATTTTATTTCTTAACTTCCTATTTTCAGCGGCCGAAATGTGTCCAGGATTTCTAAAATTTGCACTTTGTTCCGAAATCATGTTCGGATTAATATTTCTTCGCATTGCTGGAGCAGTTTTTGACCTCACCAACTTTCTGCTTTCCCTTTCTCCGTCACTCTGATCAGTCTGACATTCCGCCGTTTTGACTAATTTGGTCCTCGATCTGGACCTTAATCCTCGGGAGCAGTGGGCATGCGGATTTTCACTCCCCGCAGTGGCCATGTCTGTTCGAAAGCCACTTTTCGATCGGCGATCCACCCCTCGTTTATACTGGCCGTGAAGTGGACACAAATACGTGGATTTCATCGCTTCTGCTATGACACCGTCCAAGGTCACTTGCACCCCGATGGATTTGTTCTGCTGATTTTTAAGCGTGCCATTATGGTTACGATGATGATCACTTATCTGACGCACCACATTTGGAGGCTTGTAATTAAAATGGTTAGATCCTGGGGGCTGAATATCGTTAAATTTTCGTTTTTCCGTCGTGTTCAGGACTTGCAAAATGTGGGGAATTTTATTATTATGGATTTTTTTGACAGTCTCGTCATGATTATTATTATTATTATGAAATTGGTCCTTATTGTGTGTTCCCTTTGAATCAGAGCCTCTCGAGCTTCTGGTCACCGTACTGCAACACGCGGATGACGATCTTCTCGGATTATGAACAATATTATTGTCTTTCGATGAACATCTCGAAGATCTCGGGCTACCCGAACCACCACAATTATTCACTATCAGTCCCCCCACTTGAGACAGATTTTGGTCAGATTGTGACCTTTTACAGTTTTTATCATCCTGAGATCCCGTCGTCGGTCTAAATTCGAATGGATGTCGATCCCAATACAGTGCCAATTCAATTTCAGGAATCATACTTCGATCTAACGGTTTCCCATCGATTTCTGTAACACTTAACGGTTTTGATTCCTTCCTAAACTCCTGGACGACTTCTTGCACCACTTTTTCTGGAAGGGCGGCCTCCTTCGGACGAAATACTTTGTTCTTGGCCAAATTGGTGGGGCACGGGGGCCTGTAATTAATAATAATTATGTAAATTCATGGTTCATTTGTTACAATACATGAAATAAATTATTACCAAGGATAACCCCACGCGTAGGCGGTCGGAGGTTGCGAGTGGATCAGCGTTCTTCCCTCTTTTGTGAAGTAAAATGCTTCCGGAGGATCCTGTTCGGGTCGTGGTTCTGAAACGACTGAACCAGAAATTGGACCTGGTTTTGGAGGAGTTGGGTCCTCCAACGAGGAAACTTGTTCTTCTTTGGTCTGAGACATTTAGTTTGATAGGAAAATAACACTATACGAACGATGTAGGTCCTTACACGTACACTGATTGGTTTAATTTATGTACCAAGTTTTTCTGTCAGCAGACGCCAACCGCAAGTATCAATAAAGAACTTGAACATTTTTTGGGCAAATTATTACTCAAGACACAAGAAGGAGCAATTACTCGTGTCTTACCCAGTGACTGACAGGGAGTTTGATCAATACTTACTTGTTTGTTGGTGGAAATACAATGGTTTGTAATTCGATTAGATTCTTTTACTCGCTGGACTATTGATCAAATTCATTCATCCATTGAGCAACAAGAATAGAATGAAATGTGGACATGTGGGCATACATTTTCAGAAAAGTGTGAGTGTAAAATACATATTTTTAATCTTTTCTAACCACAATTTTACTAGAATTCTGCACCATTTTATTAATTATTGTCCCATTTAATTTTGATTATCGCTTCGAAAATAATATCATTTTAGAACAATTTATATTACTTATGAAGGAGTTGCAAAGGCCTCATATATTAAAATAGGTCCTGCTTTAGGCGCTGGGACGATTTGCATTCCGGAAAGCTCTGATTTGCACGGGACAAAAAGTACCGTTCCAGGAGAAAGCTCGCGAGCTGCTTCAATCTTGCCCGACTGTGGGACTGCTTTTCCTTGACCTTCAACGCAAATTAGAATTGAGCATGAATCAAAGTGAGGCTTCAAAGAAAAGGCTCCATCACTCTGTCAAAATAAATAATAAATGTCATATCAAGCAGAGTACAAAGAAAGAAATTTTTATGACAATAGAACCTGATAGCGAATCACTGCAAATTCTTCGACGGGTGGATCGTACAAAAGTCCAGTCCCATTTGCAAATGGTGACCCATTTATAATCCTTAGTTATGTAAATGGTTATTATTAAATTAAATAAGTAAGGAAATAAATTGCAATCGAAGTTTCTCAGCCAATCCTATTTCAATCAGGGTTTCTAACTTACCAGTCACGCCCGGTTTCATACGTCAGCATGGAACACAGGGTCTTGACGTCTTTGAATTTTGGAGTCAACCCAGCCCTGACGACATTGTCAGAAGAAGCCATACATTCGATGCAGTCTGTAATATTCAAATAATATACGCACGATTTTAAAAATATTACAAAATACGAAAGTAATTACCTCCGAATATGTAAGCGTGAGGCTCATTTGCAGGTAAAAACACAGCCTGACCAGGATCTAGAGTAAAATGTTGCAAGAAAAATACGCACCAGATCCCAACATCGTTAGGAAATTGGTTGGCCAACCGTTTTATCAAATCTCCTTCAATTGCTTTTTGTTCGTCTTCGCCTGAAAAGTATTACCATCAAAAAATAATTAAAATTGGAAGATTATGTAACCGGAAGTGGAAACGTAAGCATGCACATACTTAAAGTATTTAATCTCCTAAGAAGTTGGTCAAGTTTTGCAGCAATAATGTCATCAGGGCTTTCCATCAATCTGTTAAAAACTGCTTTGAGATTTTCTTTGTCTTTCTTCTCAGAAAATGAAGAGGTCAGATCATCTCCGATAAGGCTTGCAAGTTCAGGTACCACTGGAAGTAAGAATCATAGCATTATAAATTGTATAAGTTACATGCCAAAATGTGTAATTTTGGCTAAATGATAATTTACATTATTTATTACACTGGAGAAAGTTTACAATGTCCTCCATCCTTCTAAAGCCACACATCATTTCGAAAGGAGTCAATGCAATGGCCATTTCCGGTTTGTGGTTCTAAATACAGAGCATGAGATTTAAAATAATATTTAAGCTGTATACAATTAAAAATGCTTGTAAATACCGGATCCTTATACAAATCTGGTCGAGCAGAATGTAACACTTTAGCTCCCTCTTTATCCGGATGAGCCTGGATGGATAACGCTTTCTGGACGGATAACACCTTAAACAAGAAGGGAATATCATTTCCAAATTTTTCTCGAACTTTCTCCCCAAGAAGGCTAGGATCCGCTAGAATAAGTTTCGCCAATTCTTCACCGGACTCTTTAATTTTGGCTGGACCACTCGGGTGCGACCTGTTCCAAAAACATACATAGTATTCTTATTATCATAATTCTGTTAACAGATTATTCAATATTAATTTTGTATGCAAACCAACCCCATCCAAAGTTCGGCATATTTTTCATCCGGATCTATAGTGAAAGCATTTGCAGTGACCGGTGACGCTACAGCAGCGAATTTCGCCACCAGGCTGGAGTTGCCTACCTAAATGATTTTAAATTTGCATACGAATCTCACACAGAATCAGATATGAATACATACCTTTCCCCAATCATAACGTTGTACGGCTGGTTGCAGCTCCATGATTTTATCTTTTTTGATAGATTAGATTATTTATAATAGGAATAAGTGCAACTTTTTCTGATAGTATTTTACTAAATGTGCTTTATTTAACCCATCCGCTGGAAGCGATAAAAAAATCTATACCTTGCTCTGTAAAATAGTAATCTATGTGTTACTTTCTCCAGCTGAATCTCAAATTTCACCTATCAGACAAATTTATGATACAAACAATTTGGTTAACCCAAAATAGTCATTACAGTGAATTGCACCTATTAATTATGATTTAGCTCGAGAAGAAGTAACCCTAATTTTGTGTCATTATTTGAACAAAGTTTGAAACACTGGCCAAGTTTGAGATTCAATTCAAGTGCAAAAATAATAGTGAAAGTCGAGAGTGAAAGTAAATATATACACGTCGCACAACTCGGGCTGGATACAGATCCAAAGGGGACTGTGCAAAAAGCATGTCATCGATTTGTGGGGGTAAGAGGTCAAGCATCTTATCCTCCTCATGTTAATTATAACATGATGCATAAACATGCGTTACACCAAATAGTAGGGTTCAAAATTCTTTAAAAATTGATGACCTGCTTTACGTACGGCCCCCACAGCTTTTGTTGTGTATATCTCACCTACTGTGTAAACATTCGCTAAACTCCAAACTCGGAGTGAGTTTGCTGTTTATGTTTTACGCGAAAATTTGCCAGGATTTTAATTGCTGTTGGGCTAAACAAGGGTAAAAGTGGGTGTGGTTTGTCCGAAATTGTATTTAATGAGGTAAGTTTGTTAATTAATTAAGTTTATTTACTAAAATCAACTCCAGAGTAGAGAACTCTCACGCTGCTTCTCATACTTGAGGAACTACTTAATAATGTGTAATGTTTAATTATTCTTTGTTGTGACCTTCTTTTTAGTACTTACTTCGTGTGCCAACTATACGTGAATGCAGAATTTAAGCCAGTGTGTTCATTTGCATTTAATAGTGCAGTGGGCTTAACTTAATCACCACCATTCCATCTTCAGTTGATAGAGAGGAAGTCAATTTCTATTAAACGAAGTCGTTAAAAATGGATCGAGGCGACACATCCGAAAATGGCGATTCGTCGACGATAAGGCGAAGAAAGGTTGGAGAAGAGGAGGTTGCTGAGGCGAGTGGGTCGTCGCAGCAGCAGGTTATTATTTATTTAGTGGACAAATTGTTTTTAACGTTTCGGTAATAATTGATGTTTTATCATCTTAAATTAAAGAAGGATGGAGATGGGGATGCAGACGCTTTGAAAGCTGCTGCTGCTGCGGCTGCTGCTGCCGATAGTGCTGATTCTGATGAAGAGAGACTTCCGGAGGAAAAATACTTGGAGAAATTGTCGAAAGGGATTCCACAAGGGACTGATAAAACCCCGGAAGTTCTATCCACAGCTTTACACGGGTTGTCTGATAGGTAGCATTTATAAAATGGACATAAATCCGCTTAAAAAGTGCACAGTTTGATTTAGTCTTCTTAAGTAATACTTTATTTCGATTTTGTTAGGTGGAAGAATTGGGTGATTCGTGGAATTTTCACTTGGTTAATGATTGGACTCTTTTGCGTCATCATTTACTTGGGCCCACTTGCTTTGATGGTTACGGTACGTGTTCATAAATTATGTCAAAATTTTAGTCAAGTATCTGATGCATTTCCTATATTTTGTAATTTATGCAGACCTTGGTGGTTCAAGTTAAATGTTTTGCGGAAATTATTAATATTGGGTATTCCGTGTATCGAGTACACAATCTGCCCTGGTTCCGCTCTCTGTCATGGTACTTTCTCATCTCCTCCAATTACTTTTTTTACGGAGAGAGTATGGTCGACTACTTTGGCGTTTTCGTGAGACGAACGGTATGAGCAAAATAACTAAAAGTGCAGAATTTCGGACTGAAAGATATGATTCATTCACAGGAGCCACTTCGTTGGTTAATTACGTACCATCGATTCATAAGCTTTTCCATGTATATCGTGGGATTCGTCTGGTTCGTGCTATCCCTTGTCAAAAAATATTACATGCGACAATTCAGTCTCTTTGCATGGACTCATGTTGCTCTGCTCATCGTCGTGGCGCAATCTTACCTCATCATTCAGAATATCTTTGAAGGAATGATATGGTACCCAAACTATTATACGTAGCTGTCACGTTACTCAAGTATCGTAAGCAATTGGTTTTGACACCACACTGATTACTATTGTATAGGTTCATTGTTCCAGTGATGATGATCGTTTGCAATGACGTGATGGCGTACATGTTTGGATTTTTCTTTGGAAAGACCCCACTGATTAAATTGTCCCCCAAGAAAACTTGGGAAGGTACTTCAATTATCAATGTTTATCTAATTGCTAATTAAACTTGATTCTTAATTTTAAAACTTGATGTCATTTTAAGGATTCATTGGAGGCGGACTGTCAACAGTTGTTTTTGGGCTTGCGGTAATTTAATTGGCCAATTGAGTTATCAAATCCTGTAAATATGTCCCCGAGTTAACATTTGAATACACTTTGTTGCAGTTCTCGTACTTTCTCTGCCAATTCCCATACTTTGTCTGTCAAGTCGAGTACAACGAGACGGTGGATCAGATGACACTTGGTCTTGAATGCGAGGTTTGCAAATTGCGATACCAGATTTATAGTTGCTAAATTTCTAACATGTTTCATTTATTTTCAGCCATCTTACCTCTTTCAATTACAAGAGTATAATCTTCCATCATTTCTAGTCAATGTGTGCAAAGTGTTTGGCATGAAACCAATTATTCACATCTATCCATTTATGCTCCACTCACTGTCGTTGTCAGTATTTAGCAGTGTAATTGGACCGTTTGGTGGATTTTTCGCATCTGGATTCAAGAGAGCGTTTAAAATCAAGGTATGCTAATTTTATATAGGTAGGTAGGTAAATTTATTAATGCTCGATTGATGTGGCCGCGGCTTTTACAATCATATATAAAAGAAGTTTTATAAATTTATTTAAATATATATATATATAGATATTACTATTTAGATACTGGCTAAGCCTAGTTTAAATATTAAATATTAGCATAATAGTACATCTGTATTATTATAGGCTTGCTATTTCTAAAAATCATGAAATTAGTTTTTGAGAGATTAATTTGCATATCATTTCCTATTAAATAATCTCGCAAAATATTTATTTTTTCTTGCAAGTGAATGGCGTTTGTTGCCAACAAAATGATATCGTCCGCATAGCATAGCAAATGAATTTCAGCGGTTCCAATTCTTAAAATAGACAGCTCTACATTACTATGCATGAGGTCAAACAGGTCATTTGTATGCAAAGTATACAATTTTGGACTGAGCGTTTCTCCCTGAAGTACAGCTTTTTTAAAGGGAAAGAAATTGCTTTCTCCGTGGCGCGTACGGACTTTTGCCTTCGCTTTGGCATAAATATTCTTGATAGTATTCAGCATTTTGTCACTTATTCCTGCTAATTTTAACTTTTTCCAGAGCTGATCATGCTTGACTCGGTCAAAAGCTGAACTAAGGTCCACCAGTAATGCATATACCTTTCCCCTTTTATTCCTGATAATATGTTGCAAAATTGAGTTTAACATGAAAATATGATCTTCACAACCCATTCCCTTTCTGTTTGCAGCCTGAAATTGTGATATTTTTTCATGTTTCTCACACCACTCATTTAAACGATTTGTCAAAAGCATAGTATACAATTTTAAACCTGTGTTTATTAAGGAAATAGGTCGATAATTTTTTGGATCAAGTTTATCGCCTTTTTTGTATATGGGTGAGATAATAATATCCGCCCATCCATCCGGGATTTGTTGACTGTCCCATAATAAGTTTATGCTATCTAGTAATATAAGTCTTTGCATGTCATTAAGTCCTTTCCATGCTTCATTTGGGATACTATCCGGTCCGGGCGCTTTTCCAGTACTTAATTTCTTGATAACTGCGTTTAGTTCTGCAGATGTGAAAGCTCCGTCCGTATCGTCATTAATTATACTGAGTTCGTCATTTGGTAGTGTGTCATTTTGTTCATATGTGTCGAAAATTTTAGAAAAATGGTCATGAAATGTTACAGGAGTAATTGTTTGATCATTGTCATTACCATTACAGTTCCGCTTTGACCTATAGTAATTAATCGCTTTCCAAAAATCCGACGAATTTTTAGCGTTAGAAAGTGAACTTTGGATTGCATTAAAAAATTGTAATTTCTTCGCCTTCTTAAGATTGATATAAGTTCTCTTCTTTTGTAAGAAAATCAATTTTAATTGGTCTTTTTCTAATTCGTTCCCAGCTTTTCGGAAATTACGAAGACTACTATTGAAAAGCTTCTTCTCTAACAAGCATTTTTGATCGAACCATCTTGGTCCATACGTTATGTTTTTTACTCCTAATAGTCTTCTCTTCAACATTTCACATGAATCTAATCCTTTAAGCATGCCCTGTTGAAATTTGTCAATTGTGATGTTGCTACTATCGCAGTTTTCCAGGATGTTGTCGAAATTGTCTTGAAATTTTCCAATTTTGTGTACATCCCATTCTACCTTGACTATTTTTGTGAAAGTCTCATAATGTGGTATTGCATTTAATTTTAACATGATAGGGAAATGACAAGACTGATCGCTGGACAAAACCTTGAATTCTTTCTTATCAGTTATTGATTGAGAGATGATACACAAATCTACAACTCTTGAACCATTCTTATTAACAAAGGTGAAGTCTCCGTCTGTACCATGCTCTCCGTTACCATTCAGTAAACTAAGATTATTTTCCTGTATTATTTTAATAAGCTTGGTGCCACGTATATTAGTGACTTTGTCCTTGGATTTACTTGTATGATTTCCTGTTCTCGAATTAAAATCACCCATGTATATGCAAGAAATCTGTGCTGAATCTACTGCCTGAAATATCTCTTCTATTTCGATGTTGCTATTAGGGGGTAAATAGCTAAAAATAATAATTACTTTCCTAAAATTATCGTTTAACTGTATGACGCTATATTCATTCTTCATACATATAACTTTACTAAAATTAACTGTGCTATTTTTTATACCAATGTAGTAACCCATCGAAGCTCTTCCTTTGATTTTTGATTTCACAGCTTTCATATCGAAAATTTTATATCTATCTGTAATTTTACTGTTTAATATATAGTCATCAACGTGCCATGTTTCACAAAGGAAGAATATCGTTGGGTTAAACTCGATTAATTCATTATAGAATAAGATATTTTTAGACCTTATACCTTCTATATTCCAGGAAATTATATTAAAGTTACTGATTCTTGATTGTTGTGTTAATTGTAGAGGCCTGCCATATCGTCACGTCGTTTGTTTTCCATCCTCCACAATTTGATTCGAGGCGTTTAATGTGTACCAGGTTGTAGCTCCTTCCGTTGTGATTTTCACCGATTTCTTGTAACATCGGAACAGCAGGTCCGGTTTCTGTTTCTTCATGTTTTTCGCAAATTCTCTCAGTTGGGAACGCACCTTTCTTTCCTCGGGGGCCAGATCTTCATCAATGAAAATATTGGTTCCGCTCAGCTTCATGCGAAGAGACAGGATTTGTGCTGCGTCGCGTTGTCTCACCATTTTAAGCAAGAGGGGTCGAGGTCTGGTCATATCTGGGTTAAAAGTACCCATTCGGTAGCAACAATCATAATCGATTTGTGCGAGTCCCAGTTTTTTAGCTAGCTCTTTAATATGTTTTTCACGGTCTGACCATTTCTCACCGACTTTCTCTACTATTCCGTTAATAACAACATTTTTCTTTCGATCTGCTGTCTGTAATTTGTCGATCCTTATTTTCAGTTGGTTAATATTTTCTTTCAGAGGACTTGTTAGCTTTTCCAAATTTTGTAGTCGGGTTATGACCTTATTTTCACTGTCTGTGACTACTTTTAGAATGTAGTCTTTTAGGTCACTATCGCCCATATTGGTTGTGGGTTGAATAACTTTAGGCTTTTTGGCTATTTTTGGTTGTGGCGAAGGTGAGGATTCGAACGAAGAATTTAATTGGTCATTACATCTAGATCTTTTACTACTTGAAGATGTGGGAGTTTGCGGAAAATTATTTACACCTTTTCTCATTTGAACGTTATTTTGGATTTTAATGTATAACTCGATTTTACAGACGAGTTTGTTCAATTTGAGGAAGGCATGTAGATTAGACGGCGACTCGATTGAATGGAATTGCTAATTTTAAATAAGATTGTGCCATGTTTAGCTCATAATTTTGATTTAACAATAATCGTTTGGGTTAATTTTCTTTAAGGATTTTGGAGATGTCATTCCTGGACATGGAGGATTTTTGGACCGATTTGATTGTCAAATTTTGATGGCTACTTTTGTGAATGTGTACATTACCAGTTTCATTCGTATCGCATCTCCTCAAAAAATATTACAGATTGTAAGACTCCCTATTATTACATCTTTACATATCATTTGAACATTCAAAGTACTTCTTTCTTTCCTTGGTTTACAGGTGATGGCATTGAAACCAGAGCAGCAACTGGAACTCTACAACTCGTTAAGAGATTCATTATCAGATCGTGGAATACTTCAGCTCCAGTCATAAAAGAAACTGGCTAAAAAAACTCCTGAAATCATGAACTTTCTCTCTTTCAACAAAGTATTGTTTCCGAATAAGTATAGATTAGTTAAATTTTATTTATTTTTGAAGACCCCTCCTGCCCCTCCTTGTGTTACGCATTGTTTATTTTGTTATTATCGTATACGGGTCAATTAATGAGAAGTATTCTAAATTGATGGTAAGGCCATTCCTTACTCAAAACAAACTGGAAAATTATGTGTACATGTACTTTGTGCTTACACCTGTGTTATTGTTTAATTATCTTGTTTTTTTTCACTTTCTAAAACACATTTTCATAAAATGTGAAATTTATTTTGCCTGAAAAACAAATTATTTTGATGGTGCTTTTAAACATGTATGGATACTTTATTGTTTTGAATGCATTGTAAATTGTATTGTTCGCACTTATATAATAAGAAGATGCTAACTCTAAAGCGTTGACTCAATATTTCCTCAATCAATTTAAAATAGTGACGATCGGCTGGCTGGATGATGGTGCAAATATCCTGTGATTAAGAGTCATCATATTGTGCTTATTAGGTCAAGATAAGTCTAACTCGCTAATATATTACTAACAATCGCTAATAATGTGACGTTCGGATTTTTTTTTGTCCCTGATTTTTAACGCTATAGTATTGCATTGTACAACTCTAAAATTTTGTTGTTGTAGTAGTTTGTTAAACCTCACTTCTCTCTAGTAAATAGATCCAAATAATATGTAGATAAAACTAGATTCGCTGTATTATCACGATCAAAATAGCATTTAAGACGACAAACATAACACATGACTTAGTTGTTTCGAGATGCAATACTAACATCCCAAATGTCGAGATGGGTGAAACTATTTAGTACTAGAGATAAAAATTTAGTGTAAATGTAACGTAACGTAGAGCTAACGGTCAGTCTTGTTGTGTGAGAAATTAATAACGGAATACATACAAAATTTCAAACAAGTTGGGTACGTGTCTATATTTCGCACTTCCTGAAGCATTTGTGCTGAGCCACTTCTTAAATGGGCAGTTTGAATTGCTAATTATTACTAATTTTACTCTCTTTAAGATTTGACACTTCTTTTGGCCGTGGTTCCTCCACTGCCAGTTCATAAATTGAGAGTCACTGTCCAAATATTTTAGGAAATTATATATTTCCCCTAAAATTATGTGTTCCCAAATCTTCTTAATTATCTTGTTGGCTAGTTTTTTAGCCCCTGATTTAGGCGTTTCTGCCAACGGATTTTATCCCGACCACACAAATCATGCCGTTTCATACGAAGACGAGTATGAAGCCTTTGAGAACGATTTAATCGCATCAATACCGGAAACCAAGAGCAGAGCGAAGCGTTTCATTTACATGAACACTGATACCTTTGTCGCAGTCGCACTGCTCGTCGGAGTCCCACTCTCCATCGTGTTGCCATCACTGGGAAATATTTTCAATAAGTGGAGAAGACGACGCAGTACGGGAGAAAGTGACGCTTATCCATTCACAGAAGATGATCCCGCAGTGCAGCCAAAATTGGATAGAATTTCGACGTATTTCAATTTGGTGGATGTATGTTAATAAAACAGCTTAATATGCACATAAGCTTTTTAACTTCAGTCTCATTCTAGATACCCGAACATTCCTGCCAACTCCGAGCAATTTGCGAATTCTCCGCAAACCCCGACAAGTATTACCCATTGTCAGAAATGATTCTGAGCCGAATTCGAAATCCTAACCTGCCGTCTATGATTTACCTGGAAAATTCTCCCTTGCCGTTGAGAATTGTGGATAACACGACAACTCCTAAAAGTGGGAATGGTTCAGACTCTTCTTCAAGTAACCAACCTGCTCCTAAAAGTCTCTTCAAAATTTATAACGGCGCAGCCAATCTAGGGTCAGAGTACGGGTATAATCGTTGCGAAACAAATTTTGGGTCCGATTGTCATTATTCCATGGATAAGTTGCTGAACATGCCCACGCTCAGATTTTGGACGGCTATGCAACGCTTTCTTAAATTAAAATTTACCGATGGCAATCTCAGTTTTTGAAAAAACGGTTTTCTATATAAAATGATACTATTGTATTGTGTTGAATTATTACATGAATGTAAATACATACATTTTAAGTTATGTGCAGCATTATTATTATTTATAGAAAAGTTTTTGTTACGTATTAAATAAATTATCGTTGTTGGCCCCCGTTTGCATTGTCTGGAGGACATGGGCAGTTGAATTTGCTCTGTTTCTGAAAGATTTCATATTGCTTGTCCGCATCTGGAGGATTGTAGCAATCGAAACGATGTTCTTTCAGGTAATCATATTTCTCAGGAGGGATGCAAGGCACGTCTTCAGTGAGTCTTGGATTGGGTGGCAGTGGATCTGTGAATAATTGATTTAAGGGTATTAATTCATCTCAAAAATTAATATAATGATAAGCTACCTGGTGCAACATAGCGTTCCGGTTGACAAACGGCAAGCTCCTTAGTTTCAAACATGTCAGGGTTTCCTGGACAAGGCTTATCGCAAAGTTGATCAATCGGTTCGTCAACATTTGTAGGGCGTTGATATCCGCAATTGTACCCTAATTTTCGACACATGTCCCAGTCGTAAGGCATTGGATCAGGATTTGGATTGTCCACGCAAGGGTCAACACTTTGTTTTTGGGTGCCTAATATTGCAACAAACATAATTAAATATGGTTTTACGTTTACTATTTTTACTTAATACTGAATACTTACCGAGACCCAAATGCTCGAAAAATCCTTCGCCGATCGGCTCTTCGCAAACTTCTCTTCCTGTAACATAGAGAATGTGATAGAAGGAATTGTATTTAAATTTCTATTGCTTTTATAATTTTTAGTTGAAGTAATAACCTGGATCGCAAGGTTTTTCCTTGAATTGTGCAGGATTTTGTTGTTTCTCACAGTCAAAGTACTGTTGAAGATTTTCTCTGACATGTTCTGGGAAGCAAGCCGGGTTTGCATTGATGAATTCAAGAGTAAACGGATCTGCAGAGTTGAGACAAAATCTTGAATTGAAAATGTCCAACATTGCACCAATGTAGAGGTCGTGAGGTCCATAGTATTCTGTGGATTTTCGGAAAATGTCGTTATCAAAGTTGTAATTTACATTCTGCTTAAATTATTTAAAAAATTACCTGGGTTATCTTTTGAAGAGCCGGGTTTCATTACTCGCAAGTAGTCCAAAAATTTGCCTCCTGGCCATCCCGAATTCCGCACGGCACGCTCATACACGGAGAGCTTATCGTCCACTAAGCGATAGGAAATTGTGAATTCACGTCCTTGGTCTGTTCAAGACACAAACAAATAGAATTCAGTATAAATTAGTTGCTATTTGGCTGGTGCTTCAAAACTTGAATGCGTTTACTTAAGATATTTTTTATGCAGATTATGTACCTTCAGGTCTAGTGGAGTCGATTGTGGCACCGAACTTTAGGACCTTCAATTCAAAGATGAGTCGTTTCATGGCGTCGTAACGGGGCCTGGATGGAAGGCAGAAATATAATTATACGAAGTTAATGTGTTATTACAGAGGACAAATCCGTACTTAAGCAAAAATGTAGTTTAATTTTATGACTTTACCGTTGAGGCACAATTCTTAGACACGACATGAGTGAGTCTTCCGGAGAACCCCATCCATTCCATGGTGGGAGTGGCTATTAATTAGGGATACCAATTTATAAAAATAAGCTAAAAAATAATTATTCATACTAACTAATAAAATTATACCGCAGGTTGGCGTGGTGCCTTGGGCGCATCTACACAAATCGGTGTAAAGTCCGTGTAGCCAAAGTGTTGTCGGTAAAAATCTTTAGTGAATGCATCCATGTCGAAGATTAAAAATCGTCGTCCAAACACGTTTAGGGTCTCCCCAATCTTAAAGTCTTTTGGTTCATAATACTCGACAATTTCCTTTCGCGACGGTTCCATTGATACGAGTGGGAATTGTACTGCATTTAATAAACAATAATATTAAAATTCATCCTCAAGATTCAAAAATACAATTAAGGAATAGTAATTACGGGGCATATCCTTATAATTTTTCGGAAGGCGAGTCTTGTGCAAGAGGAGCTTGAAGGGATCGCGTCCGTCATTATTTCCATGCAGTTCACATACTTCAACCATGTCATCCACCTGTGATTTAAAGTCATTGTATTACTATGTCCATTAGGTAAGTCCTACATAAGTCTAAATTACTACCAGATGGTAAAATAGGTCGTAACGTCTCAATGTTCCAAATTCCTGTTCCCGTTCATCCCAGACGCACTTGAAACGAAGTACTTTCTGTCCAAATTCCATGTACTTTTTGCGACCGTCAGCCATTATCTGTAGAAAATATGTATTAAGTAAGAAAGTCTTAACATTTCTTAATGATTGAGACATTTAATGAGTACTAAATACATACGTCTGGAGTATGGAATGTCCTTTTCTTCTGAGATTGGAATCGTTTTTCGATATAAGGATCCTGTGGTATTAGTTCGGGATCATTCAACAACACGCCCTCACTTTCGTAAAAGTCCTGAAATTGAAATTTGGAGTATGATTTTTAGTTAAAAATTCTGTACATAGCTGTAACGCACCTTTGTCCACTTGTCACAATCAGTAACGCGAATAACTCGTCCGTAAAACATGATGTCACATTTAATGTTGAGATCCTTCCAGTGCCAAAACTCGCCTAAATCATTTTTTGGAATCTGGTGGCGTTTAATTAGTTTTCCTTGCATCAGGCCAGAATTCTGTCAAATTGATATCATTAGCATACGTTCGCATCGTAACATTGATCGAATAAAATACATGCATGTATGTACCTCAACTTTTGGCTCGTCCACCATGATGGTGTCATCTTCCAAGTAGTATAATATCTTGACCTGTCGTACGCGATAAATTTCCGACGCTGAATCATTTACGGTCTCCTTGTAGTACCCGTCAAATTTCAGAGTCTGTCATAAACAAAATAATCGTAATTCATTATTATCCGAATTAGTGTGTATTGACCATTAGTCGTCAATTTTTCTGCATATCCAATTACTTTCTTTTCCAGTGCAACAAACGCTGGAATTAGTGGCTTAGTCGGTCTCCCTCGAGGAACGCCATACGTCAAGATTGGATCATAGCTGGGTATGTACAATTAGATGTTAATTGTGTGAACCAATTGCAATTTACAGAAAACATTCATATGAGCCAACTCATGTAATAATAGGCAATCCTTACTTGTACATGTCGAAAAGATCCTTGACGGACATAGCTTTCGCCGGAATCGGTACGTTCCCAACGCCCAAATAGTCATCCTTGGAATTGAAGAATCCATTCTTATGGGCAAAAGTATGGCTCTTCCTGAAATCGGAAAGCTGCAGAAACATAATATAAAACAAATAATAGTTATAAATTAATTAGCGATTCCATTATGCAAATCGATTACAGATAATTGTTAGTTCTATTTTTATTTTGTAAGTACCGTCGGGTCAATAAAAGTGTTCCCAGGTAGGAAAGGCAATCCTTCAATTCTCTTGCTGTTCATGATAAACTAACCCGGTTTTTGATGATACGTGAAATTTGTGATTAATTTATAAGAACGAGAGACTTGTTCTTTCGTGCCGGACGGACAGAGACGCTGAAAGTATGTAGGAGGATGCTATTTTCTGAATATATTGATTTATTGATTCTACAAAAGACTACGGAAAGAAAAGAGTATTGATAAACAATCTGAGTCGGCATGGGGACTTAGAAATCATAAAGAATATAAATCAGAAGAGTCTGAATAAGTAATAATTAGGCATAATTTTCTTGATATTTAAAGAATGTCATGATGAAAGGTCTTAGTCAACCCGTTGCGTCGACGGACATGTCCAATTATACTTGATTACTTCAAATTGTTGACTAGGTTCAACATAAACTTTGAGGTTGGTGATTCTGGGGAGTCTGTAATGAAATTCTTGCCCTCGTCGCATGACCGAGTAAGATTTGGGTCCATAGGAAGGCGTCCAAGGAATGGAATTTGGAATTCATTGGCCAGAGCTTCTCCACCCCCGCTGGTCTTTGGAAAAAGTTCGCTCGAATGCTAAACAAACAAATAATTCATGATAATTTATCTTACTTAATTATCTTATTTAATATGAATTAATAAAAAAATACCTGACAGTTACAACACACGAATACGCTCATATTCTCAATTATTCCAATGATTGGAATATTGGTCTTTTTGCAAAAGTCAATTTCTTTTCGAACATCTATGATGGACACGTCTTGAGGTGTCGTCACAAGGATTGCGCCGTCAATGTTGGCCTAAAAAATGTATAAAGTTAGCGCATTACGCAATTTCATCAAATTCGCTTTAATTAAATTACCTTGGACAAATATGTGGCAATTGATAAATGTTCATCTGATGTACCGGGTGGTGTGTCAATCACAAGTACGTCAAGCCCAGTCCCCCAATCCACTTCCATCAAGAACTGTTTGATAAGTCCATTTTTTCGGGGTCCACGCCAGATTACAGCAGACTTGGGACTGTCCAGTAGAAACCCGATCGACATTACGCTAAGGTTCTCTTCGACATACTGTAAATAATTACACTGCTGTTTAAATTCGCCAAAAAGTTAGAACATGCTATGCGATCAATCACTTACCACAGGGCTCCAGCCTGACCCACTTTGGTGAACCTGTCCCCAGAAAACAAGCACTTTTAAGTCTTTCCTGGTGCATATTGATTAGATTAATCTGAAGACTGACAACTTACAATTTCACCCTCGCACCCCATAATTCTGGGTACGCTTGGACCACAAATATCGACATCTAACAGCCCAACCTATCCAAAAGACAGCATATGTCAATCTCACTTGTATAATAACTACGATAATCAGACGACTTACATTGGTATCTGCATTAGCAGCGAACGCTCTTGCCAGAAGTGTAGAGACCGTGGATTTGCCGACGCCACCCTTCCCTGAAAGCACCAAGTACTTTCTCTTCACTGACGCCAGCTTTCCAGCTATGACAGAAATTGCTACCAGGAAAACAATACAATTAGTCCATGATATACTATAATATTCGCAAATTTGGAAAATTTACCAGGGTCAGGAATTGATGCTTTCCCAGAAGAACAAATCTTTTGATTTGGACATCCATCACACGGCTCCGCCTTGCCTGCTTTTTCACTTTGCGTTCCTGGACAATCTATCAATAAATACATAATAAAATAATTAATTGCTTAGCCCATATCATTATTATTTCCTATTATACTAAAATCTTAATTTCCTAAATCTTACGTTCCGGAACTTCAGCCATTTCCGCATCAGTTGACGACATTCTTTCTCTCTCTGTCGAGTCAAATGTCTTTTTAAATGTTAACTAATTATTATTTAACAAATTTGTAATCTAAAAAAAATAACCTGAATTAATACAGCGTGGAAATAAACGTGCGAGGATGATTTGATAAATAGATAAAGCTTTGAGATGTGCGGGCTGGCTGCTGAGAACTCAACGAGTAAAAAACAGACACAGAAAACTCGCACGTGTTGCTGCACACGAAAAATTGTGTCATTGTTCCGTTGAGCTTCGGAGTGACGTAGTTTTCAGAAAATCTAAAAATTTCGGTACGGTTTCCGTTTCAAAATCTGTTTGATTTAATTTGTCAGGTAAGCAAAGCAACGGGAACAATTTAAGAAAATTTTGACGAGACAATTAGCTGGTCAAGTCGAAAAGTTCCTAATTCTTCTACCTTTTCTAATTTTTGTAGACGACTAAACCCGACTTGGTCAAGATAAGAAAGGACTTGAGAAGAGATTGATTGAACTATCTGCTGAAGAACTTGATGAGGTAAAAACAATTTTAACAAAGTTTTTATTTATTAAATGTGTTTTTTAATAAATAAAGATCTTAATTAACAAATGTATATTTTTAGTTGCACTTGATTCTCAAAGCTTTAACTCCCTTCTATTATTGTTACAGAAGATGAGTTTCTTAAAGACTGGATGTCAACTATTTTCTCGCGTGGGACGTAACGGTGGACGTTACAATTTGTCCCAACAAGGGCACCGTTTCACCGCCGGTGGGTCGACCATGATGCGTGTCGCGTCGTACCGTCAAGTCGCTTGGCAGGAACCAACGCATGACGAACTTCCAATTCCGGAAGGTAGTTGGGACGTCGCACACAAGAAAAAACAGCAGAAATACGGACGACAATTGTTCCTCGGAGCCGGCTTCTTCGTCTTCACCGTCTTCTTCATGTTCTCATCTGGAATTGTGCAATTGAACGCCACTATTCCCAAGTTGGACGATGCCTACTTGGCGAAAGGGTCAAATACTTGTCCTCCCACTCCGCCGCCGAAATGCTAAGCAATTTTGAAAAAAAGTTGTTATATATTTGCAAACTTTATGTAACTCTTTCATCTGCTTAACAAATCAATCACAGATTGGATTCAATTAAATGTAATTCCATCGTATTTTAATTGGAATTAAACTCAAATTAGTTCATCCATTTAATTAACTTCTTGGTGAAATTCGCATTTCTTTGTTTGCATGAAAAATGGCATGATGTATTTGCCAATATTCTCATCACCCCTTCGCCCACCGCGATTCTCACAGGATTGCTTTTTTCGAGCTCACAATTCTCAGATTTTTTAAGAAAATATTCAGATTTGGAATTTGAATAGGACGATGTTATGGTTTTAATTAGTTTGTAGTTGTGAAAGCAGTTTCATAGAAATATTATCAAAAATGATTATCAGTTGGAAAAGTGCACGGCTTTGCCAAGTAATTATTGGCCAACAAACCAGATCTAGTTTACAAGGAACCGGACGACTATTTCTGAACAGGTGAAATTATTTTGTGTGAAAATTGATTATATTAGATTGATTAATAATTATGTGTTATCGATTTTATTAGCGGGCAGCATCAGCGGTATTTATCCAGTGACGGAGGAGACAAAGAGGATGACAAATCTGACCCTGCCTCAAAGACTGGCGACGATTCAGCCTCTGGTCAGAAACCTGGTCGTAGTCGTAAAAGTCGACCTCCGACAGGGCATCAGCAAAGTGGGGATCGAGTTGTAGCCAAATCAAAACTTAACGACTTGTTGCAAAGCATTGTGAAAGTAGGTGGCATAATAATGATTAAACCTTGTCATAAAATTAATATATTTCGAGAGCATTTAGATAAATACAAATAATTCCCATTCTTTCTTTAGGATCAGAAACAGCGTAAGACGACATCACAACGGAAACCGGATTCTAATCAGATAGATTTCAAATTGGCTAGGAAAGAGTCTGTTCGAATGACTGAAGAAGAAATTGATGCTGAAAATCAAGAGAAAACAACTATCAAAGCGATTGGTACTGCACTGTTAATATGCAACGCATTCCTAATAATTTAATTATTTTACATAATATGCATATGTTAACTTAATAGGGAAAGAAATGTTGACAGCAGCCAAAAATGTTGCAAAAAGCTTACCCGGCGATGCTCAAGTTATTGAAAGTGAATTGGTGAAGAAACTTAAAACTAGTACCAACGGCAAAGTTAATCTCGGGTGAGAATCGTCATGTTTGACAATGTAGTAGATAGTAAAATGATAACACTTATTGAACTAATAATAACCGTTGACCCGAAATTCTCTCCCCTGTCTCAGTGATCTCTTCGAGGGTATGAAAGTAGACAAGACTCCAGGGTCTGATAGACCGTCACCGGTTCGAGGACAGAGCAATGATTTTAGTAGAGCTGAACGCGTCAGGAACGACATGAGAGAAAGAACTGGTTATCAACAACAGCGTTCCGATATTAGAACAGAACGTGGAAGTCGAACAGAACATGGAACTAGCAGAACAGAACGTGGAACTGGCAAAAGGGCACGATCTGCCCAAGAAGTCTCGGAGCTTACTTATCGACCAATCGATATATTCGGAGCGAAACCTCTTGGAATTTTCACGAAAAGTAAAGGCGAACCTTCCTCTGCACCAATTTCTTATCTAAAGACGTGGGACGCATTGCATGCCAAAGAGCTCAAGTTATCCGTCACTCATCCACCAGCTAACGGGCTGGAAGAAATGATTTTGTGGACTGAACAAGGAAAATTGTGGCATTTTCCTATTGACAATGAGCAAGGTGAGACTTTGGCAAATTATTTAGTTAATTACACACTCTCGTAATATAAATTGCTATCTACTTAATAATGTTGTGATCTTTCTCATTCAGGCCTTGATGCTGAAGCGAAAGTCTCATTTACCGATCACATATTCTTGGAACCACATCTTGATCCTTGGTGCCCAGCCAAAGGACCAATTCGTCACTTTATGGAATTGGTTTGCGTCGGACTTTCGAAAAATCCGTACTTGACTGTCACAGAGAAGAAAAACCAGATTGAATGGTATCATCAGTACTTTTTGAATAAGGCCAACATTATCAAGGAAGTAGGTGCTGGTGAAATTAAATAGCCACGTATGTACGCATTTTCTACGTCTTTGTTAATTAGTAGTTTACAATTATTTATTGTTCAATCAAGTTCAAGTAGGTAATAACTGAAAACTAGTGATTTTCTTAATATTTCCCTCGTACCTTTATTGTTACTATTAGACTTGAGAATAAACTCCTGCAAAATATATGAAAAATAGTTGTTCATTAAATTAATTTTGTCACAATTAATAATCTGTATACATTATTTAATTAGTTTGATTAATGACCTTGAACTCTTAAACTCATCGGGTCGAAAGGGCTCTTTAAATGAATTTGTGCTGGTAAACGTTGTCCCATAATTTCGATCGAAAAACTGTTATTATTCGCAATATTTTTCGCATTTGTTAATTTCTGTCCCATCAAGTCTTCATAGAGGTAGCCGTAGCCAATCCCATTATCTAAGGTGAACGCATAATCCGCTCTTCTCAGGTATCCGACTGGTTTATTTGTGGTGTCATTCCAAATCGTCTCTAAACCCCAAAGGGGTGAGTCCTTGTAATCAATTGTGAAGCAGAATAAGCGTTTTTTGAGGGAGCCAGAATTTTTGTACTTCACGAGGGCATCTCTTCCATGAAAATCTTCATTAGATTTCAATTTACATGTGAATCCCAGCCCAGCTTCCAAAGGGCTGTCATCCGATCGGATATCAGCATGCCAATGGCGATAACCTAGGTCATTAGTTAAACTATGTATAATTACATGTATATAATTTAAATGACCAATAACAATGGAGATCTCCCAGCGGATGTTCTCCGATTTTGACGAAACTAGTGTCAATTTATGACAATGATGACAAATTTAATTAATATAAAATTTGCAAACGACACGATCTCGCAATGGGCACTTTTGGCAGAGATATTTGCATCCGGAGAGGAGAAATCGCGTCCTAAAGTTGACAAATTCAACACTTTCCAAATTTACTGCACGGTTTCTCCTCTTCGGATGCAAATATCTCGGCAAAACGTGCCCAGTGGGAGATCGTGTCTTTTGCAAATTTCATATTAATTAAATTTGTCATCGATTGACACTAATTTTCTCAAAATCGGAGAGCATACACTGTAAACCCTCCCTGATAAGTAACTACCATACCTTTCTCAATGCTCAGCGAATCAATTGCCCGATATCCCGCATTGACAAGTCCAAACTCCTTACCAACTTCGCAAATATGGTGATAAATTTTAAAACATTTATCATTAGGCACGTGCAATTCCCATCCGAGTTCACCCACAAAACTGACCCTCATAAGTCTGACATTGATCCCGTCCAAGGTGCAAATTTTATGCGTCGAAAATGGGAAAGATTCATTATCAAAGTAAATCGTGTCATTGAAGACGGAAGTTAAAATCGCTCGACTGTTTGGACCTTGGACCGACATCATCCCATAATGATCGCTTTGGTCGACCAAGTCCACCTTAAAATTCTTGGAGCGAATGATCGACATGATGGTGGAGTACGTGTAGGCGGAAGTAGTTCCCCCGACGGCGAGATAATATCCCAGACCCTGCATAGCAAGATCACAATTTAATTAGATAGAGGCTAAAATATAGATAGAGGTAAATCCAGGCTAAAATCAGGGTAGAACAAAATATTTTGTGAAAATATAGTGTTTTAAGCTCTGTTTTTCTCAGGGGCTGTTATACCCCCAACAAGAAGAAAATTTGCATGGAGAAAATAACAGTCATTCCAAAATCCAGGTTTTGTAAAGAATTAAACTTTTTCTTACTATCAAAATACTTTGTCAAAGAATCATTTATTTTGACAACGATGAATAGGTAATTTCTTCACAAAACCTGTATTTTCGCATGACTGCTGTCTTCTCCACGTAGATTTTCGTCTTTTTGTGGGTGTAACAACCCCGGAAATCCAAATCCTGGAAATAACGTAGCTCAAAATACTCTATTTTGACAACATATTTTGTCCACCCTTGTTAAAAATCATTGCGAAATTAAGCCGTACCGAGAAATCTGGGCCTTCCTCCAGTCGATGCCTCTGGTCCAAAACGGTCACTGTAAGATCCGCCTCAATGCCTCCATTCTTGTTAAGAAGGCAAGTGTAAATCACCGATCCGGGGGGTTTGTTCATATCATTGGAGAAGATGTATTGCGCAGCTTTTGTGGCGTCGGGACCCACCAGGAAAAATTTGCCGAAATATGACCTATAATTTAAAAAAAATTGAAAAATTGCATTTCGCTTTTCATACAATATAACTAAACAATTTTTTACATGTCGAAAATTGCACATTTTTTCCTGCAGTTTAATGCTTCTTGGCGTATCTATTAAGAGAAACAGGTATTTACACACATAATCACGTAATGAAGAAAGTTTGAAGATATGAAAGTGCGTAAGTCAGTAATTTTACTATTTCTTGATGTTTTGAAAAGCCAAAGCTATATTCCCCTGCAAGGGTTTCCTTGTAAGTGATGTCGGAATTCCGCGTGTGACCATACTGACCGTAGTAATCGTACTAAATATGTGATTAAAAATAATTAAAAGCTCAATTAATCAAACCATACAATAGAATTTAAAGTGATCATTGTTGCAATAATTCAAAGTCATACAGGTTGAACGGGACACGGGCTTTCCACAAAATATCCGGGACGCTCCCTTAAATCGTACATCAATCAATTGATATAAAATGTTTTACAATCCTCAAGCACTTATCAATGATAAGTTATCATCCCTCACTTACCAACCTTGCCTCTCTTGGTAGAAACAACCTTGTTCCGTTAACGTGGCGTGCAACGGGCCTAAAAATTGGTTCCTTCCAGCCAGCTTTTCATCATTTTTGTAAACAATATTGTAATTCTGCGCGTATGCCTCGTGACTTCGTTCCTTCGCCCAAAGTTTGTTGGGGAGGAGTTTGGGAGAAAATCGTTTCACGTCGTAGCCAAACATGTCGAGGTCTGGTTGTCCGGAATAGATCCACTTGGCCAGTTGGTTCCCACACCCGCCCCCCATCATCATCCCGGCCGAGTTAAAACCACACCCGTGATAAAAACCACGAATGCTGGGGTCCTCGCCTTGGAATAGGATCATTAAAAATTTATTTTACTTGCTATATTTCTGGCCGGATGAAAATCGTATGTCAAATTTGACGTAATTCTACACAAGTGCCCGGAACAATGGTTTGTGCAGAAAAAGTATGAACGATTCTGCATAAAACTTCTGACAGGTATATTCTAGGTTTTGCAAAATTATGCATAATTCTGCATATTTTGTACACAAATTTCAGCATAAATTTTTCTGCATAAAATCCAGCCAATTCTCTGCATAAAATCCCTTAAATTTTTCACCCTGGCGAGGAAGCAGGGGGACAATGTCTCCACGGCCTCTCTCCATGTCCTATAATGTTAACGTCCCCAGATGTCCCCACAGCTTCCGCGGCCACTGTCTATCAAAGCTCACCCATAATTGGTTTGTGGTCCGGAGTAAAACTTTCTGGGCCGCAAATGGTAGATTTTATACCGACATCTTTCAGCTTTGGGATTCTTGTACTCGCCAAATCAATATGTTTCCCAAAAACGTCCCAGTCCAGGTCGTAAAGTCCGAAACTGAAGTCATTCTCCACCTGCATGCAACTTATAATTGTACTACAAATACTTTTTACACCCACACAATTTGAAGAAAGTAACCTTGTCGAGGATAATTGGATCCGGTTCATACCCACCAATCGCCAAAGTGTCACCATGCACGCGGAAATATACGGAGCCATCGTGATCTCTCATATTGGGCAAGCCTTTAGCTCCCTCGATTGTGTCGAAGACGACGTAAGAATGTTTCATGGGAATTAGCGGAATGGAAAGTCCCACCATACTGCACACGGATGGAGACCAGGCACCTAATCAGTCATGATTTATCTTAATAGCTTCAATAGTGACGGCGGAAGTTGGGGGGACATAGGGGGGGGGGGAGGAATTAACATTATGGGATAGGTGGAGGGATCTATTAACATTTAGGAATTTCTGGAGGGACAATGTCCCCCTGCTTCCGCCCCCAATGGCGATTAATGTCTTTTAAAAGTTTTAGTTTCTGTATGTATTTACCAGAACAGTTTACTACAACGGATGTCTCGATATAACCTCGATTGGTCTTGACGCCCTTGACAGTTTGGGATCCGAGGATCGAATTTTCCGTCTTGATTTCTTGAACTTCACAGTTCTCGATAACCTTTGCTCCCTTCCTGGTTGCAAACTTGGTCAAGGCTTGACAAAGACCGTTGGGTTCCACGTGTCCTTAAAATGTTATCAACGTCAGTGACATTTTATCCGACTACTCGGCAGATTCATCTCTTAATGTATGAATCATTTTTTGAAAATTACCATCTGCAGGCGAGTACAATGTCCCATACACAGTTTTGATGTCCAAAAGTGGGTAAATCTTTTGACTTTCTTCCGGTCCCTGGAGAAATTTAAATGGATAGCATTTATTTAATTTTGCTTAATCCTTGCATCATATCGGATAAGTACCCACCAAAACATGGGACTCGATCCCAAAAGCTTTTCCAATTGTGTGAAGACGTTTATACTCGTCAAGTCGTTCCTATTTACACATTTATTAACCGAATTTCAAACATGAATTGAAGCTTCACTGTGATTTCATATTTTTACTTGTTTTTTAAAAATAAATGATTACTTTTGTCGATGCCAAGAACAGCCCCCCAACCATGCTCCATCCTGGGTCAATCCCAGTCTCACTTTCCAACCTGTCCAACATGCTCCTCGTGATTTGAAGCAGTTCAATTTCCGTGTCATTGGGTCGCAAACTCCAAACGAGGCCGGCCGTGTGCCACGTGGTCCCTGCCGTCAGTCTGTGGCGTTCTAGAAGGACCACATCCGTCAGCCCGAGCTTGGCCAAGTGGTACAACGTGCTGCACCCAATGCTTCCCCCACCTGGAGAAAAAGCAGTCTGTTATTAAGGCTTGAAATCCGTCCACATTTTTTCTCTCTCTTACCAATGATAACCACATCGCATTTTGTAGGTACTTCATGCATCGAAACGAAACGTTGAGATGTTAGGCTGCATAATTTATGGGGAAAGTTTCCGAGATTATTTTTTATTTTCGCGAGTCCAGCCCGTAACATTTTTTCTGGGAAAGTACTAATTAATTAGTAATAATTAACTAATTAAACTGTTAAATAAAGTGAACTATTTATAAATAAACACTTATTTATTTCCTGTATGATTGATTGCCTTCATCTGGTATCATAAATACATTCATAGCATTAGTGAACTATGAATTGAGATTCTCATCTTATTTACATATGCAAGCACTATATATACATATTTTACTCTATTTTGCATAATCAACCGTGCTGTATCGTGTCATGTGTTATTGGGTGCAGATTAGGAAAAGAGACAAGGTCGATTCTTTTAAGATGATGATGCTCGAGTAAACAAGGTTATCGATAATCTCAAATTAAGCTTCATTTCATGTATGTAGCTTTAAGAAAGAATAGATTATGTGATAACCACTTGATTGTTTGCATCCAAACTAATACGAAATTAGCATGGGGCTATTTCACTTTATTAGAACTCTTTTATGATTGCCTTCATCTGGTATCGTATGTGTGTATATTAGTGAACTATTTTAATGCATGAATTGAGATACGCATCTTAACATTAGCACTACATGCATTCATACATACATAATATGTACATAATTTACACATTTTACACGCCAAAATGCTAAGAATTAAGAGAAGATTACACATACATACGTCAACTGCTTATCGAAAGCTTCAATAATGAATAACTTGTAACATTTTGCTCCATTTTCTAAATAGTTTGGACACTTTTGGACATTTTGGACGTCAAAAATTCCGGACCCAAAACCGATTTTGGGCAGTGGTTAAAACCGATTTTCGCCGTACACTTATTAAAAACCGCAGTGAAACCCTGGTTCCAATACATTTAACACCGATCCAAAACAAATTTTAGCACGGGGAAGGGAATCAACCTTTCGAAGAAGCCTTTCGTTTCTGCGGATCGAAGTAGTTCCACAAACGCCAAGATATTTCCGAATCGGACAGGCTGCAGGGGGTAGTTCTGAGAGAGGAAAAGACTCAGGGCAATCAGCGTTTTCTGATAGAGTGGTTCCATTTCGTGGGTCAATGACGACGCAAATTTTGTCATTTTGTTGGCATCAGAGTCCAGATTGATGTCTCCAATTCGTGAAAGTATCGTTGTCTCAGGTCCGACCCTGGTTTCCTGTCCGAGCTGAAGATATGATGGCACGTTGGGTTTAGAAATGTCTGCAAAATGCAAATTATTATAATTTGCATTTTGCATTATAATTATTATAAGAATGTGCGTAATCAATTGCGACTTTAATGTATTTACCAGCTCGGAGTAAAATTATAGATTCGAGGAAAGAAATTTCAATTGGCGACATGCAGAATTTCATACAGATTTGAGACATTGATGATATGAATTGACTAAAAAAGACAGAATTACAGATTTTAGTTATACACTACATATATATTCAGTGGTCGCGGAAGCGTGGGGACAAAGGGACAATGTCCCCACTATTATTCGATGTCCCCATCATCTCCCCGTCTTATATAAACCTCTCCTTCTCCTATCCTACACTATATGTTAATGTCCGAGATGTCCTCACGGCCACTGATTACACATCACATGTATTTATATTAGGGCGACGTACCCAATCGTGGGTCCCATTTCCATTGAAAATAATGCCTCATAAGAGAAATGAGGAAGTCCAAGCAGAGACAAGTGCAGAATTACCAACTGATTCCAGCACGTCTGCAAAATCGTGTCTTGAAGCCGTTTTTCAAAAAAGGCAAATGGTGGGTGAGACCGAGCATGTTGAATCGTCAGGGTTAAGATGTTTAGGATATAGTTCCCTGAAAAAAAAGTGTCAACCGGACATACACATTATTATAATTGTCAGTTTTGAATTTAAAAAACTACTTAAAATTGTGGTCCCCAGCTCTCCGATTTTGAGCAAACAAATATAATTCGATGATAAGTTTAATTAATCTGGAATTTGCGAAAGAAATTCTCTCCCAAGGGGGACGTTTGGCGGAGATATTTGCATCCGAAGAGGAGAAAACTCACAGTAAAGTTTCCAAATTTTACACTTTCCAAATTTACTGCGCACTTTCTCCTCTTCGGATTCAAATATCTCTCCCAAACGTGCCCATTAGCAGCTCGTTTTATTTGCAAATTTGATACTAATTAAATTTGTGACTAAATGACACTAATCTGCTCAAAATTTGCGAGCATACGCTGAGAGACCTCCATATTCTTAGTAATCAATCCACCTTGAAACAACGATGTTTGCGGTGGTGCCGGTAGTATTGCCGTGGACGGAATATTGCTGCGAGTTGGACAATTTTGTAGCGCAACTAACGCCTGCAAATACTGGTCCGAAGGTGTCAGCGTTCCTCCAGAAAATGTCGAATTGTTCAGCAGCATAGGCCACATCCAGGAATGATTACTTTCACATTTTGTCGTCGTCGACAAATTTGAAATGGTCGTGATAAAGGGGGTGGTTTGACTGGGAGAAGGTCGCCACGGAGAAAGTCCATGCTTCCGCCCGTACCCCCCGAGACTTGGACTTTGATGAAGATGATGAATTTTATGATGTGCTTTGTTGGGCTCGGAATACGATTTAATTATTAAGTCGTGGTGTCCATCTTGCTCAATTTTTGTAGTAGGATCGACGCTTTTTACTTTCTGTACTTCGCCAATACTTTGGGATGTGGATGAAGACGGGGGTTGTGGCGACATGGAGTCCGTTCCTGTATCGCCATTCATGGAGGAAGAAGGCGGCGACTCGTGTCTGAACCGTCGACCTCGTTTCCTGTTCTTCTTTTCCAGAGAGTAGCGAAATTTTGTGTAGCCTTTGGACCCCTTTCGAGGACCGCGTTCTTCTTGGACGGCTAACATTAAAAAAAAGAGTATTTGAAAAAAAAAGTTTCCAAAAATATATATTCCATCTTGAAAATCAGTGTAGATTAATACTCGATAGCAAAGTTAAACTTTATTTCGTTTTCTACTTAACCTGCGTGTTATATATTTTTTTAAATACATACTTACAATTTAACCCACATAGATAATTTTGGGGGGAAATTTTGCCTGCAAATTTTATACAGCTTTTTTATCCCTTTCCGGGACCGTGATCTTCCTGGACAGCGAACAATTACAAAGTATTAAGAAATATGCGTACAATTTATTAATAACCATTTTGCTAACCGTGTTATGAGGATAATAACTTGTGTTATTCTTTAAAAAATTGCTAGCTTTCACCTACACTCAGGCGATTATGTACATTTATTTTTAAAAAATTGAGGCGATTATGCACATACAAGATATGTACAAAAGATTATACAATTACATACAATTTAACGCGCATAATTTTAAGGGGAAATTTTGCCTTAAATAAGTTCCTACGAACAAAATCGCATGGGGGAAAGTTACATAATTCTAGAACTGTTTTGTCCATACAAGAAAATGACATAACACGTAACAGAAAACAATACACGAGTCGTCATTGTCTAAATACATATGTAAAAAAAGTACCCTCCTGCACTTTATCCCTTTTCCATGTAAATACATACATACCTAACTTATGTACATACGTAGATAAATGTACTCTCACCCGTCAATCAAACTCTCAGGTGTGCATTGTCATCCTCTCCTCCTTTAAATAATCGTGCCCTAACCGAAAAGCAAACTGGAGGCAGAAGTGGAGTGAGTTCAGCCAGGTTATGATTAATGCTTAAGTAACCCTGCCACTGGAAACCATTGGACAGTTCAATAGTTCAATTGTTCATTCTGCTGACTGACTGATGACGAGTGACACTTTATTCCTCTCTCTCGGGAGAAAGTGGTGGGTGCGTACTCCTTGGGTATAAACACTCGGTCATATTCAATAATATGACGATGAAGTTTTCCACATCACATCGCTTTTTCTTTGTCACTCGCTTGATTTGCATTATTACAACAGAATTATGAAAGTACTTGAAACGACTTGATGGAGAAATGGTAAACATAGGACTTTCTCTTCTTACTTGGGATGGAGGTCTCCCAGCGTATGTGATCCGATTTTGAGCAAATTAGCGTTAATCGATGACAAGTTTAATTGGTATGAAATTTGCGAAAGAGACGATTTCCCAATGGGCACGTTTGGCAGAGATATTTGCATCCGAAGAGGAGAAAACGCGCAGTACATTTGGAAAGTGTGAAATTTGTCAACTTTAAGGTTCGTTTTCTCCTCTTGGGATGCAAATATCTCTGTCAAACGTGCAAATTGGGAGATCAATCTTTTGCAAATTAAATTTGTGATTGATTCGCACTATCATTTCCCCAAAATCGGAGAGCATACTGTTGGAGACCTCCATGCTTAAATAGTTCCAACCAAGGGTTGTTTGTACAGACAAAATTTGTCATAGGGTGCAAAATAACATTGCGTATGTATGTACGTATAAAAAGCGAAGCGTGTCAAGCGTGTGCACAAATCATAACTAATTCAGATGAGATTTCATACACCAAGAGCAGCAGCAGAGCAAGAGTTGCATATTCGTGCCCCCCACTTTATTCATCATTATTTATTGTCCTTCCTGTTGGATTTTGAGAGAAGAATAAGTACGCAAGAGAAAGGTGTGATTACACTACCTGCATGCACACCAGTGGCCGCGGAAGCGTGACAAGATCCCCACGGTTATTCGATGTCTGCATCATCTACCCGTCATATAAACCCTTCAATGTAAATGTCCCCACAGCTTCCGCGGCCACTGATGCAGACACAATCATATAATCAACATCACGCTATATGCGATCGACGTTCCCCTTTGTTCCATTATTATCATTCAAGTTCGCTCATTTTATTATTTCGCCTTCTTTTTCTTCTTACCTTTCACTCTGGTGAAATGTCGAGTTGAAAGTTGTCCAACTTTCAACTCTTTGCCAAACTTTTGTGTTTTTCTTAAGCTTCTTAAGCTGATGGATAAGGACAAGAAAAATTATATGGGGGCTCGATCCAGTCGATACATTATGTTCTAACAGTGGCCGCGGAAGCTGTGGGGACATTAACATTGTGGGATAGGGGCGGCCGGAGTTTATATAACATGGGGACACCAAATAACCTTGGGACTTTGTCCCCTTGTCCCACTCTTCCGCGGCCAATGTCTTCTAATGCAGAGAATGATGATACCAATACTTTTTTTGTGGCTCAAATTATTTTCATTTTTACTCCAACAACTTATAATTTGCTCACTATTTTGTTGCATGTACGTACGTATTTGTTGCAAGGGTATATCTAAGATAAGTATGAGAAGAATAGATAAGTAGGAATAAATGGTTTCGAATGGAATAATGAGGACAAGGGAAAAGGTGAAATTACATGCTCTTTTGACACGCGGTCAATTTTCTGGACATTAATTATTCAAAGCTATACTTGTGCCTTTTAACTCTCCTTTCTTTCTTTCTGGCTTCCATTGGACAACAATATGCGAGGGATGGACACACACTTCATATCAATCCGAGTCGAGAATATGTACGTATAATACACTTGATAAAAGTGGGTTGATAAGAGGTATGTATGTACATACATATGTAGATGATGGGCCTTGGGGGAGCGGAGTGGGTCTAATAAATGTACCATATGTATTTATAACATGATGACAAAGCAAGATAAGCGACATAAAAATGCACCTTGATTATTTTTGTGATTTCTTACTTTAAGATTAATTTATATGAAATTTGCAACCGACACGATCTCCCAATGGGCACGTTTGGCAGAGATATTTGCATCCGAAAAGGAGAAAACGCGCAGAAAAGTCGACAAATTTTACACTTTCTACTGCGCGTTTTCTTCTCTTCGGATGCAAATATCTCGGCCAAAATGTGCCCATTTTCTGTAGCATGATGCACGATGACAAAGTAAGATAAGCGACATGCAGAAAAAATACGCCAAGTAAAAATGCAGCCTGATTATTTTTGTGATTTCTTATTTTAAGATTATTTCGAGATTTTGTATTTTTCTCACCGTTTTTATTCATGTTTGCTTCAATGCACTTCTTCAGTCGACATCCAGGACACCAATTTCTTCGGTTCTTGTCAATTTCGCATGAACCACTTCCTGCTGAAAATTTTTGGCATGTATTTAAATATGTAATAATATGCAGGGTTGTCGTCTTTCTTTATCCTATCCGATAAGATACTTCAGATTATCTCGATTATCTAAGAATCTGCTAGCTCTATATTTTTGTCTTATGGACAGAATGGAATTCATGCATTTCTAATTTGACTGAATAATCAACTGTCAAAATTAAAAACAGCGCTTATGTATGAACCCAATTACAATAAACAAATTTATGAAGTTTGATTCTATTTAAAACTCTTCCTCTCCAATTAAATTTCATTTTTTTAAAATCACTATGAACTGAACGACCCACCCCAGTTTTACTTTCAAATCATACATTCGTCTCATATTTCTTCGATTTGATATATGTAATTACAACCTGCACTTTCACCCTTTGAAATTTTAACTCAATCTGTCCAACCGATTACGGACTAGTTATCCAATCCGATAAGTAGGACCATGCACAATTTTATAAAAAATCGAAAAAAAAGTCAAAATTTCCCAAACCAATGCAGCTATAGCTGATGTTCCTTCGAATTGACCGTTTAAAGAAGCAGCTACACCCATCACAGCAATAAACTCCGTAATGCTTTCCGAACGATTTATCTCCGCAGACTTTGCAAGGGACGGGAACAGGAAGTGTCCGGCCTGGAAAATTACATAATGTAATCAAAATAATGCTTTTTCATTTCACATATTTCATTTTAAAAAATAGTACTCGCTTACCCATCCTTTTGGTGATGAACAGACTAATTTTGAAGTTTAATACGACCCCACGCCGAGATGCATATATTTCTATGAAAATGTATGGAAATTCCGAGAAAACTGAACGCTCAGTCCCCCACAACCGTTCAAATACGACTAACAAAAAGTGTCAGCCTACAGTAGCACCACCACCACCACCTGTAAATCACTCGTACAAATAGTCGTGTAGGTCACCATGTCAAGAAATTCTAAATCAAACGTAGTATGACGAAACACCTTCGTTTTGTGGGTAGTAAAGTTGCTTTAGTGAAGTGAGTTGCATTTCATTTTCATGGAAGGCAAGGTGAGACGAAGAAAGAAAGCAGTCGCAGTTTCACGGTATTAGCTTAGCATACATACGTTACGCTAATGCCGGGTTGCGGGTGGTGGGTGGTCTTCCCGAGAAATAAGGACGGATACCCGGATTTGCTCAACCCTTTTTCGTATTCATACCGTAAATACAGAGAAATCTTGTAGGGGTTGAAATACCGACTTGCATTTCATGGATTATTATTGTTATACGGGGAAAGTGAAATGGCGTGACCATTCTGCACGATACAAATTGTCGAATAATAAGCTGTCCTTTAAAATTTTGATGATTTCGTGCAGGTAAAAGTGACACTGACAGTTTATGTATGGACATAAATGCGTGACAGTTGGGGTGAAAGTGGTGGTTTTTACGGGGTGAAAGTTCATTTTTTGAGTGGATCTAACAGCAGCGTAGTTACATCACTCAGTAATTTTGCAAATAAATGTATAATTAAAACGGGATTTTCAATTTTTACGCGAAATTTATTAATAAATCTGTCAAATGTATGAATTCATTTTTGTCACCTGTGTTACAGAGTCTCAAGCAGTTTAATAATTTCAAGTCAAGAGAAAGATAAGCCAATTCCTATTGACGATGGCGATTTCTATCATTTAAGGACAACCACATCCATCCTTGGGGGAAAGTTGACACTGGTCATGCCTTCGCTGAGGGTGCCGATCTAGATTTTGACCCGTATACTGCGTCTTCCAAAACCATCTTGATGGTTTCCTGTACTCGGCTGGATCTACATTTTCTTCACAACAAGGTCTCCTCCTCCTGACCTCTTTGGCGTCATCGTCCTTAAAGTATTTCATCACGGAGAACGAGTCCATCTGTCTTGAAAAATCTTCATCCATGCTTTTCCATACGCCAACCTCATTAAAAGTGGGTTTGGGATGGGTCGCCAGCCTGAAATCGGGATAAGTGATGGATCCTAAGAACTTGGTAGCGTTATCGGCAAAGGAGCAAAAGTCGGTGGAAAATTCGGTGAAGCTGTGGCCCAAGGCGCGAGCGTTGATCGAAGCGCTGCGGGAATTCTGCAGGGACGCGGCGCACTTGTCCATTCCGCGATGCGCGTCTCGGGCCAAAAGGTCGGCATCATTTCGTAACTCGTTGCTCGGGGAAGCTTGTCGATTTACGCCGGGAATTATGGTACAGTTTTCGAACCTTGTTTGGTACGGGGTGCCCCGATAACAGCCTCCGTAATAAGTAGGGAATGGAGTTGGGTAAGCACAATAATTTTGCATGGTTCTTGGATTAATTGATACGAATCGATTTTGTCAAAGTTTTCAAGAACTAAATATCAAAATTTCAAATCTGGGAACTTATCCTAATTGCCTTTCACCATGAAGACGGAAAAAATTATGGCAAAATAATTGAAAATTTGCTTTCACTTTCTGACTTTCACCAGAAATTATCTGTTATCTGTTACATTAAAATCTCCCTGAAATTATGAAACATAATCGTTTTCTTGTCTTAACCGTTTACCCAAATACAAATAATTTAAAATGCCGAACAATTATGTAAATATTTAAGCATTTTTGTGATTTACTTTCACTTTATGACTTTCACCAGTTCTTAATAAAATCCTCCCCAAATTATGATACGACTAAAACAGAACAGTTTTATATTCTTAAACATTCACCCAAATAATTTATTGTTCCATATATCGAATCAATTTTAAATTTGGAATAGTATTTTTCTTTACAATAAATTTATTAAGCCACGAATTCACTTGCATTATTGTCACTTCCTCCAGCACCACCACCACCACTCGGATTTACCGGACTGGACAACCCCATGGTGTGAAACGTGTTGAGAAAATCTTCGAAATCAGGGTCAGATTCGTCCCCATCGTCTCTGGCTGGATTAAAATTGTTGAAAGTTCCGTGATATTCTGCAGTGAAAGTATTCTCAGTCCCACCACCGCCGGTCTGATCCGACGAGTTTCCATTTTCATACTGGTATGAACCCGAGACATCGAAGACACCTTGGTTATTCGATGACTCACAATCACAACCGCAACAATGTGACTCGTAGTCGTCCGAATGCTGACCACTTCCGTTACCGCAATTGATACATTGGCAGGACGAAATAGACGCCGGAAATGAACCAGCAGACGAGTAAAAGGTGTACGCTTGACCCCCATATTCAACATCGTCTTCGAAGTACTCGTCCTCCTCCTCGTCGTCGTCTGGTAGCCGTGGGGGAGGTTCGTAGTAGCTCTCGTTACAGCGAGCATGCTGCCCGACGCCATAGTCCTCGTCGTAGTCGAAACTGCCAATATTCACGAGCCCACTTTGCGCCGGTTGAGTGCTTGTGGCAGGACATGAAAAGTATCCGTAGAGGTTGGAATTTGAGTCGGATTCGTTGCTGATGAGGGTGTTATCGGGGTGATTATTATCGTGGTGGTGATTGTTGTCGCCACAATTGTAGTGGGGGGAATAGGGGTATCCGTAACTGTAGTTTTGGTGGTATGTTGGTGGTGCCTGGTACGGAGAAAGGTTGCTGTACGGGTAGTAGGAGAAGGCATACGTGCCATGATTTGTCGGGGGTTGTCGGGCATAGCAGAAATTTTGCGGAATTTCAGACGAGGTGCTGGGAATATCGGAGTCTGAGCCGTGATTCCTCGCAGCAGTTCCGGTCGCATCGATGACTCTGGTTCGGTGGATGGTGATCGTTTCATGGAGGACGATGGGGTTCGCGAGTAGTCCGGCAGAGGTTGGCAATACTTCGGGATCGTCGGTGTTCGGATCGGTGTCAGATTCTTGGTTGGAGGTGGAGTGGAAATTGACATGAGATGCTTCGAGGACTGGAATGTTGTGCGTTTTGGAGGGGGATCGTCTCACATTTTCGGATTTTTTCTGGCTGGCGATGCTAGCAGAAGCACCACCACCTGCATCGTTTTCCGATTCGTCACCGTTATGATCGTGCACTTCAGTTTGACTTTTAGCTGACATTTTGCGAGAAATCTCAATTTTTGGATGCACCGTTCACGATAAGTATGCAAATTTTGGTGATGATAAGTCAGTGACCAAGATTATTTGACATTTTATCATTCCAAGATTATTTGACACTTTATCAATCTATAAGGTTACGACAAATGGCCGAGTTACAAAATAAATTTTCATTTTTAGAAAACTAAAATTTTTTGAAAATATGTCATTGGTTACAATGGGAAATTTGGAAATGTGATTTTTAGTCAAAGTGCTTATGAAACCGTCATGTCCGTCTGTCTGTCCGTCCGATCATTTTACGATAACTTTCCTTAAACTCGTCCTAGCGACTTTAAATTTGGTATACATGTAGTATGTGACAAATGAGGAGTTAAGTTTGAAGATGGGCGAAATCGATTAAGTGGTTGACCGGTGGTGGTCATCTGGGTGGGTGGAGTATTTCAAAATCCTCGTTGAAAGTTGTAATTTGGCATCGAGATTGCTAATGGTGTCTAATTGAAGAATATGAATTTAAATTGGGAAAATTTTCGACTGGAGGGACCCGATACCATACCGATTTTTGGAAATTATCCAATCGAGCTGAAATTAGTGCAGAGATTGCTAATGGCCCCTGATGAAAGAATATGCGAATTGAAATTGGTAACATTTTTATGTGGAGACACCTTTAAGGGGGTGACTCACATCGATTTTTAAAAATTGTATTAAAAAGATGAAATTCGCTCCTGACACTCGTAGAAGACTGAAATTTGGCATGACCCCGTGGGGTAGACTAGATTGAAAAATATGAAGTAAATATTAAGATTTTTCCACAGAGATTTAACAAGGTGACACACTGCTTTTTATATTGGTAGAATAAAAATGATGCACATCGGACTAAAGAACATGAATAATATTCATATTCATTGAATATGAATATTTTTGTGGGCCCAGCCCAGAAGACTGAGACCCGTAATGGTTTTAAAATTGGTCAAGGAGCTGAAATTTTGCATGCTGGATTATGGGAACATTTTTGCCGATTACGTATAGTAGTTGGTGCAGGTCGTCTGACTAAAAGTTAGAAGCTGACACTGACCCTGACTCGGGCTAAGTAAAGGCTGCACACTGGATATTTCAAGTTTACTTCTCGAAATAGTACCCTCGAGATTTTGATCTTAAAAAATCAAGCTAAAAATTACGATGATTTCATCTTTAAGAATGAAGTCTCTATGTCTGCCCATTCAAAAGTTATTAAAGGTCAAAGTCGTTGGTACACAGGCCCAGGGGACGTGTACCAACGATTTAAAAAATAATTATTTTATTTGTAACTCCACCATTTGTCGCAACCGTTAAAAGACACAAGAGTTACCTAGATACTAAATGTCAAGCAATCGTGTTATCATTCTACACGGGGCACCACGCCATAGAAACGATGTCAATTCACTACGATTTCTTGGCCAAATCACGTAAATCATTAACAAATTCTCATTTTGTCTAAAATTATTACTCTCATCTCATAATTTCGTAATTCTAATCGAAAATAGTCTGTGTATCTTCATCACTTTCCACCCCCACTTCCGGTTGCCAGTCAATCTCGTCCTCTTCCTCATCTCGTGACCCTGGTAGCACCCCGGCCCCTCCGGCCGGACGATACGGACAATTTTCGGCATGGTTCAACTTTGCAAAGTTGAATTGCTGTTCGTCAATTGACTGCTGAAGTGCTGATAAAAGTAGTCAAAATTC